CTGAGGTAGTTCTGTCTGACAACGGCGTACAGTTTAAGTCGCACGCGTTTAACGCCCTTTTGCAAAAGTATGGTGTACAGCATGCGTATACGGCCGTTTATTCGCCGCAAGCAAATGCTTCCGAAAGAGTAAATAGGTCCATTCTGGCCGCCATAAAGGCTTATATACACCCCGATCAATCCAATTGGGACGTCCAACTTAGCAGCATTGCTTGTGCGTTGCGATCGTCCACACATAGTGCCGTAAAATCTAGCCCTTATCGATTAGCTTTTGGACAGCAAATGATCACCAGCGGAGAGACATACCCATTACTAAAAGGATTGGAGCTGCTAGAAGACCGAGACATACAATTCTCAAAAGAAGATTCGTTTGAAATCCTCAGAAAAGCCGCCACCGATGGAATGCGTAAACAACATGATCGCAATGAGAGGACCTACAATTTACGAAGCAGAATAGTATCATTTAGGCCTGGTCAGGAGGTTTTTCGTAGGAACTTCCAACAGAGTTGTTTTGTAAAAGGATTTAACGCAAAGCTTGCCCCAATATTTGTTAAAGCGCGAGTGAGGAGAAAACTAGGTCAGGCGTATTATGAATTGGAAGATTTACAGGGCAAACTGGTTGGAAAGTTTCATGCAAAAGATATTAAACAATAAATAATCAAGCTTACAATCGCTCCAAGCTAGTATCACACTTTGTTGTTCCCCAAAGTGTGATTTTGGTGGGGGGGATTTGTAATGTACCTTGTCGCTCTTTTGTCCACCAAAATAAATAAGCCTAGAAGCAGACTTTAATTTTTTTTTGTCCCACTTGGGTTACCAAAGAGAATGAATCGCTGCCAAGCTCAGCTCAAAAAGGTTGCACTCAAGAGAAATTCTGGAATCAAAATTACATGAGAGTACCGTGGGTTGGCAGACAAAAATGGCGATCTTTTTCGAAATTTGGGGAAATTTTGGTTACATGAGGTTCTGACACGCGAGTATCGGTCTTTTCTAATTCTAACGCCAGCCAAGGCAGACGTGCATATCTCGAGCAAAGTCAAAAAGTTAATTCAAAGTGCCAGCCAGTCAAAGATTAGAAAAGTTATTAATAATCGTGGGTTATACCATATTGGGTAAGAAAATAAATCGGCTGTCGTCCCCAAAATTAGGCAATGCTGACCTTAGTCAATTTTATTTAGGTACCCAGGTGCAAAAGCACACCTTTATTCTCCCAGCCATTGGTTTTTCCATCAATACGCTCCGATCTCCAGACGTTCCAGGCAAAGCTCAGCTTTCCCGAAAGAGATCGGCCCAAGCAGCGGCCAGAGAGGAGAGGGGCTTCAGTTTTTATTACCAGCGCAAACGCAACGGTCGCAGCTCCGACGCTGCTCGGCGCCGAGGCCGCGGAAAGTCGGAAAACGGCGGAAAACCGCCCGGGAAATACTGCTCATCGTCGTACGAAAAGTTCGGCAGAATCTACGTTTTTTTTGAGTGTGAAAATCTAATAATTGCCTGAATAAGAACCACCCAAAAGAAAAAGTCACGCACACACACATGTAACCTGCAAGACCACGCTGCAATTATGTAATCGCTTTGTAACTGACCTACGTTAAAGTACAGTGGCCTCTCGTATGAGCATCTCCGGTTGCTGGTTTTCTATGTAATTTTACCTTTAAATGGTATTATTCTAAAAGTACGCCACTGTACTCTTTCCCCTTATGATTATTTCAAGTTCTTTTTTTTTCTAAATTTTATAGTTAAATTATATTTTTTCTTAATACTTAAATTTACTTCCTTAAAATGCGCACACGCAAATATAAAGAAATAAAAGCCCATTTGTGAGTGTGTATGCGAGCGGTATAGCAACGCCAGAAAATCAGTGAAGAAAATTCTAATATAAACGTAAATTACTATTTGGTAAAAGAAAATGAAACCAATCAAGTAAAGTTATAGCTTGAGTCATGTTTAAGAAAGAAAAGAAGATCAATTTGGCGAGGTTCTTGTGTCGTGCGGTGAAACATATGTATTATTAACATTTCAGCGAATTTCAGTGACAACGTTCTACGAAGAAAGCGCTTTCCTCGCCGGATGTTCAATGAGTGAGTCACCCTACTTATTTTATATATTTTTATAAATTGCATAAAGAAAATCCCCGACCAGAATTTCCGACCAAATAACAAAAGCCGAAAGGTCAAAATTGAATTAAAATAATGAAAACTTAAAACGAAATTGAAATGAACGAAAATTAAAATAGAAAAGAAAACATGAAGTGAATGAAGTAGAATTTGAAAGAAAAGAACCGCACAGAAAAGAATGAAGTAAGAATTATAGAAATAAACCAGAATGATTTGTGCCGTAATACGAATTCGCCGCAAGTTTCGCGAATTCGCCGCTTAAGCATTGCCAAATGTAAAGTCAATGGAATCCACTTAGGTTCCACAACCCTGACCACTGGTTGTATTTACTTTTCTCATACACACGGGTTAATTTCCTTCCTTTTTAATTACATATCTTAAATTTATTTTTGCCCCTTTATTTTGTTACTGTTTAAATACTATATTGCCATTATGATTATATTATTATATTTTAGATAACTATTATATTTCTATATCTATAAATTTATATTCTGTTAATTCCTTGCGTAAAATAGCGATTGTGGGTGGGAATACGCCCTGTAGAATTATGTCAGCAGTACATTTAAATATTCTATGTTAATAAATGAATTTTATAATGAATTTTGAGTAGACCGCCAATTAGCTAAAGGGGACATGCCGATAACAGGAGATGTGGGGGTACCATAGAGGGTTAATACCCTCATTTAGGGATCACACCCTAGCTATGGGACGGTGTGATCATGGAAGGGTGGGCACTTGTGGTTGCAACAACATCTTGCCACATTCTTGAGATTTTTATTTTTTCCTTTGTAACCATTTTCATTTCCTAACTTCAATTCTAAGCAAATCTCCCAAAATATTCGTCAGTCCGAATTGCGTTACCGTCGACTTATTCTTGCACGTGATCGATTTAATGATAATATATTTATGTGATTTCTTTTGTGGAGATAATGGGCTGTATATCAACGGACTCGACGACTAGCCGGAACCATCACGTGGTCCGCACGATATACGAATTGTCATCTGCTCTTCCTTTTGGAAAATATTAAGTTTTCTGGGATCTCCCTCTGTACGTTACATGCTACACGGGTTCGATTCTCACGACGGACAAGTAAAAATTGTAAGTTTTTTTCATGAATATAAAATATTAACTAATCATAATTTCTACATTCCCAATCTTCCGCAGTCCCGTAGTCTACATTTACAACCATATTTGGCTTTGGTTAGATAAGAAATCCAAGCGCAAATACATAATAATAAATACATAACCTTAAACATTTACAATATACATGACACACAACGCCTGCATATGTATATAGGGAGGAGTACATAATATAAACGTATATACAAAAAAAATCATGATTGAACATGTTTTTTGTTTTGTTTTTAATTTCTATTTTTTAGGAAAATTTCCTAATTTTTAGAAATTTTTGCCCTTAAATTTAGTAAAATTACCCTAAAATTTAGAAATATGACGTCAAAAAAAATCAAAAATATAGAAAAATGTGACCCTAAAATTTAGGGCGAGCTTGTCTTGAAGACAAAAGTAGGGCGATTTCCTTGACTTTAGGGTTAATTTTATTTTGAGTGCACTTTCAAGTTTTGGCAACCTCACCAATTTTTTACAGCTTCTGTGTCTTTTAACCATTGAATTAATAAAAAAAAATCATAATTTTATAGGTGGTGCAACAGTGTCAAAGAAAGTAAAAACTAGATTTCAAGTAGTTTTGTGGGACGTTTTCTACAACCCGGCCACCCCAGTTTTTTTTTTTAAGTTTTTGAAGTGCACAGTACCAACTTGATTGCAAAGCACATTGCTTCCAATATTTATTCTCACACCTATTTTGGCACTATCCTCACTCTTTTGCCGTATTTTGGCGTTAGAAAGAAAACACGAAATCAATTTTATCTTTCGAGCAGAAAGCACGATTTGCATAATTCAAAAGCAGAAATAGCTGTCTTTTCATGGTCAGATATAAGCTTAAATACATTTTTGGATTGCAGACGATTACTCCTCAGCCAAATGTCCAATAGCTTTGAAAATAGGTTTCCATATTCTCTTTCTAGTTATCTACCATCGCTGATTCAAAATTTTTAAAAATCGCTGGGGGCCGTTTTCCCTAGGTAAGTCTGCTATGCCCTTTCTCAAAAGGTTTCGACCTTTACAAATAATTCTCAATTTTAGTCTTAAGATTTAAAAATTCTATTTTTAAAAATGTACAACGTTTTTTGGTTATTTTTTTTATTATTCAAATTTTTTTATTCACAGAGAGTTATATAGGGATTCTCGCAGATAGGAGTAAGATTGGAACTAACAACTTTATGCTCGCAAAAGGTCTTTTGGCGCTCTAACATTGCACTTAGCACTCGTCTACAAGCGGTTTTCACATCTGCAATCCTGGCTGTTTCAAAGTCCAGCTTTTTGACCAGATCCTCAATGCATTTTACTTTAAAGATACTTTGATTTTGAAGTAGAGATCTATTACAATGCTCTTAGCACATACCTTTAAAAATGATTTCTTGGTTTTGATCTGGAAATGGGATAACATCCTGACCACCTTTCTGCCGATCCAAATTGTTCTTAAGAGAGTTTAGCAAGGCATGGGACTCCTTGTGTATTTCCACCCAGTCCTGCCGTTTTTCTTCTTTCTGAGTCTTGAAGGACCTGCATTGCGTCCAACATATCTCCCGAATGTTGGTCACCTTGCAGGTCCTACGAAGATGGCATCTCTTTTTAGTCGATTGGAGTTTTTGCCTTTTAAGGGAATAGCTTGAATATATGATAAGAATCTTTTTAGAGAGCTTTACCCTTGCTTATCCTCTAGTAGAAACTTCATATTCTGCTCATTTTCCTGCAGTCGATCAATTAAATTTTGATTGGTGGCCACCAGCTTCTTGGTGCCACAAATATGGTTATTTAGCTCAACACCGTAGGCTTCTATTCTGCGCAATATATTTTCCACATTGTCCAAGTGGTGATTAAAGTAATGAAGCCTTAAGGCAGAGGGACTATCTATAGTTTCCACAATCATGCTTTTTTTTGATTATTTTTAAGATTTAGAATTTTAGGGATAAGACTACTTAAGTAGTAACAATAGCTATCTACAAATGAAATATAGGAAAAAGTGGAGTCCGCAGACAGTCGAGGAATAAAACTAGGACTTAGGATTAGGTTAGGAACTAGGAATCCTATGAACTTCAGCGGCAACTCATGGCATTTGCAATGGTGACCATCTTGCGCACCACATTGGCATTCGTGCCGAAATACGGATCCACGTCTTGTTTGCCCATGGTCACGTCGCACTCCATGCGCGTGGTGGTGGGCGCCACATAGTCCTCGCCGGCGGTGTCCTGGGCGGAGGCGTGGAACTCCAGGCAGCGGCTGACAGTGAGGATCTCCTCCAGATTGGACACCTTGATTCCGGCGCCGGGCATCACAATAAAGTCCCTGTGGTGCTTGGCTATCAGCTGCGCCAGGCAATCCACTCCATCGGCGGCCGAGGGACGGAAGCCACTGCTCAGCAGCCGCTTGAAGCCCAGCTCCCTGAGCAGCTGGACATTCTCGTCCATGCGCTTCTGGTCGGTGAGGTCGAAGGCGCGGTGAAAGGTCACCGGGAGGCCGCCCGACGAGAGCATCACATGCCGGCACTGATCCACGTTGATGCTGCGATCGGGATTCAGGGATCCAAAGACAAAGCCATCGGCGCCGTTCTCGCGCAGCAAATCCATGTCCGTGAGCACGGCGCACATCTCCTCGTCGCTGTAGACGAAGTCGGTGCCCCGCCGGGGCCTCAGCATGCAGTAAATGGGCAGCGTGAGGGTTTCCTTCAGGGTTTTCAGGGTGCCCACACTGGGCGTCAGGCCGCCTTCGCCCAGCGCCGAGCACAGCTCAATCCGCGAAGCTCCGCCCTCTTCGGCGGCAAAGGCAGATCGTATGGAGTCCACGCAGACCTCCAGTTTGATGTCGTGGCTGGCCATTTCGCTAGTCACTGATGAAAAGCGGGGTAAACAAAAAAATAAACAATTTCAAGTGGAAATCTGCTAGAGGTGCGTGCAGACCGATAACAATCAGCTGTTCACGGCTGGTCGATAGATAGGCCTATCGATGATAGTTATGTTAATGGTAATAATTATAATTAAATTCCTAAGAGTAAATAATTTATTTCTTTAAAAATTTAAGTAACATTTTTATCTTTTTTAATTACTGGTAAAAATTAAATAATTATTGAACCCGCAGACGCCGTGCAACACTGGTCTTTCCACCAGTGTTGAGCAATTCGACAGCACGAAAACAACACTGCGCTGTGCTCATTTTGTTGTGAACAATTTTTGTTAATTTTTTAATTTGATTTGCGAGGGTCGTGCACGAAAGGCAACGCACAACGCAAGCCCGAGGATTGGAAACTAAGATCGTGCAGCATGCGCCAGGACCCATAGGCAAAGGCAGCAGCAGCAGAGCAAGACCAAGCGCACTTGGAGTTACCTAGAAATGACAATGGGCGAGCCAACCACGTCTCTCGTTCTGCCCGTCATACTGCGGCCCATTTTCTCCCAGGTAAGTGAAACCATGGCCCAGGTGCGCTATTCAGCCCCGCCAGATTCAATTGTGTTGCGTAAACCCCTGGGTTTCAATTGCCCAACTTCCGTCTTTTTAGCTCGAGCGACGCGACGTTGGCGCTGCCCAATCTCTGCGCTCCGCCATCCTCAAGTCGGAGCAGAATAATCCGGGCTTCTGCTATGACCTCGTCGCCACGATTGTGCGGCGGGCCGATCTGAACGTGAACCTAAACGAGGCCGTGCTCCGATTGCAGGGCAACATCACGGAAGCGGACCGTAAGTAGCCACGCCAGCAGCTCTAGTTCTCAGTTAACTAAGTAACCTTTTATTCCCAGTCAATGAATACCGCTTGACGCGCACGGAGGAGCCGTTCCAGGAGCTCAACCGCAAGTCCGTGGCCCTCAAGGTGATCCTCAGCCGCATACCCGACGAGATAAACGACAGGAAGACCTTCCTGGAGACCATCAAGTGAGCAACAATTCAATATACCAAAGAAATAGTCCCAAAAACTCCAAGTTTTATTATATTTATAACTCCGAGAAAGGAAGCAGCATCCCTATAACTATCCTTGACTACCAATGTATCACCTTTCTAACATATTCTCTTACATTTCCCCAGGGAAATCGCCAGCGCCATAAAGAAACTGCTCGATGTGGTCAACGAGATTGGCTCCTTCATACCGGGCGTTACGGGCAAGCAGGCTGTGGAGCAGCGGAAGAAGGAGTTTGTCAAATATTCCAAGAAGTTCAGCACAACGCTGAAGGAGTACTTCAAAGAAGGACAGTAAGTGTCGCCCACTTGCTTACTATTTACTATTTACATGGGATGTTATCACACGATACGCCGCGATACGCCAAGATAGCCGGTTTCTTTAATCGGCTCATATCTGGTTTCTTATCGTTTCGGGCCAACCGTTTGGGATGATGTCATGCCACTGGCATTCCGGTCATTGTTTGGTTTATCATTTTACGGCGGAGATTCTCTGGCAAGCGGGGGGTTTAGCGTCAGAGCCGCCTATTTTAAATTGTAAATAGCAGTCAAATTGCTTTGATCGGGCGATTATCTTTGACCTTTTCGCTATGACTAACCAATTTCTCTTCTATTTTGTCTACTTTCAGACCGAATGCAGTATTCATAAGTGCACTTTTTCTAATACGGCAAACGAATCAAATAATGCTGACAGTTAAAAGTAAATGCGAGTAGTGAATTAAATCTTTTAATTATGGCAAATTTTAGTGGCATTTTAATTTTATGTTTAAATAACCATTTAACCACCCACAAATCAAATAAACTCAAGAGAGCACACACACTTAAATACTGAATACCCAATTGCCCGATAAAGTCCAAGTTAAATGTTTGAACGTAAATGAAAAAGAAAATGAAAATCTGTTGTAACTAAATAAATAGGCCTAATTTACATCGTAAATATGTATTACAAATAATCGGACACTAAATTCAGCGAAGCCTAAGCAATGTAATTAACTAGTGAGCAACTATTTATCGACGCGATGTGTGCGAGAGTTATTTTCGTTTACAATTTATTGTAAATAATTCATTCTTTTTCTGTTAACAACACCATCGGCTAGTTTGTTTTTGTTTAGGAGAAAGCGCCTACGAATAAATTTAAAATTAGTGAAAAAACGAGAAACAGGAAATGTATGTACTACGGGGAGAATAAAAACAAAAAAAAAAAACAAAAACGAAAACGGAAGACACTTAAATTTTTAACTGTTTTTAATTGTTAGAGTTTGAAATTTAAACACTATACATAATAATCATTTACTTAATGATATGTTCGATTTGAGGAATGCGGAAGCGAAAGACATTAGTAGCCGACAGCACTATCAACAGGAAAGGAGAAAGAAATTATTTTAATTAAAAAATGTTATATGAAAAACGAAGAACACTAAACAAAAAAACGGCAACAAACTCATAATGTAGACATAGCGAAAACAAAAACGACAAATAAATGTATTTATATTCCAAACTGAAAACGGTGTTTTATATTGGTACTAATTAATATCTTAAATATCTTATAAAAGTGTAGTTGGGTTAAGTACAACATATTATCATAATATTAATAAAATTAAAATTTCTGATTTTAATTATTAATATTATTTTGTTGTAATCTTTCAAGTCCTCTGAGATTTCTGTGTACAATATTTTATCATAATGTTATTTAAATTAAAAATTCTGATCTTAATTATTGATGTTAATTTGTTCTATTATATTAAATCCCCTGAGATTTCTTAGATTAAATCAAAGTCCCAGATTTCGGCGCACATGGGGTTAACAGAGAATGCCCCTGTTAATGGCTAACAGCGTGAAGTAATAGTAAACCCCTAGCTAACAGACCCAGAGCAGGAACTCTCCCACTTGCAACCCCAAAGGAGCCAGAGAGAGCGGGAGAAAATTACCCGTTTTTCAGTGTCATTTCGCAGAAAAATCGATTCCCCGCACACTGGATACTACCGAGTACTGGGTACTGGGTATTGGGCACTGGGCTCTGGGTTCTCTGGGCCACTCTGCTCTGGCACACTGAGCACCGAGCTGGCAGTTGGGTAGAAATCAGAGTACAAACCAGCAGCGCGACCGAGATGACCCACTTTTCGGTTTTCGCACTGAGACCCAACTGCTACCCACAGAAAGTGGACAACTAGGCGGAGTTTTTTCTATATAGTGTAGCAGCTAACCGATCGCGTTTAATCGGTTATTATGTACAGCCTACGTAGCCTAGTGTAAACTCTATGCATTTATGTGAATTTCCCAGCGGAAACGTGGAAGAGGAAAACCTGAGGCGAACTGAAAAAGCAGCAGCAGCAGCGAGCAAGAAGCAGAAGCACAAGCAGCAAAAAAGGTTCGCAACCCGTTTAAACGAAAACGAAAAAAAAACCTAACCCGTTTACCCAAAAAAAAAAAGAAAATCCAAAACCAGTGCTTTCGAAATCCAAAATTTTGGGAAACCAAGAAAAAAGTGCAAAAATCGTGTGGCAAATTCCTTTTTTTTCGCGCAAGCTGAAAAAAAGAGCCGTTATGCGAGCGAGCGAGCTCACGAAAAATTTCGCTGTACACCAAATGTTTTCCCAACAGAACCGCTGCTGCGTGAAAATTTCATTTTCATTTTCTCGCCAAAAGCGGAAAAACTCGCCGCGAGTGCAGTGAAAAGGCCCCTGTGAAAGATATATAATTCCGGGAAAATGGTGGGCCAGTGAAAAGTAAAAGTGTAAGCATATCGATGAAGGAAAAAAAAAGAAAGAGCAACGTAAAACACTACACTCTCCCACACACACGCAAACACACCTACACATGACAGCCCACCCACCCACATGCTGATGCATATATGTATGTACAATATGCAAATGCGGGTAATCACTCTAATACCGAGGCAAAGCGAAAGGCTGAATGAAACCGAAATTATAGAAAAATGCATAAATAAAATCGGAGAATTCAATTGCATTTAAGCATAAAACGGCGCGCACACACGCACACACACACACACTCGCAGGGAAGCATATAAAAAGAGCGAGAGGCAAGTAAGTAAAGTAGATGTAAATGGCCAGCGAAACTGGAGCAGCACCAATACCACTGCGAGTGCCATAACGGCAGGAGCAGCATGTGTGTGTGTGTGTACGAGCGTTTCATATTCATAAGCTCCCAGCAGCAATAGCAGCAGCAGAAGAAGAGGAAGAGAAAGCAGTAGCAGTAGCAGTGGCAGTGGCAGAAGAAAAGTCCCACTTTTTGGGGTTCCACTCTGGGGGCGGTTTTCACACTTGCCACACAGCCTGCGCAACAACAGTGTTAAAGTTGTTTGCTGCTGCGTGCGTATTACAAACATACATGTATATATATACATGTGTTTGTATGTACTTACACAAAGGTATCTAACAGCGGTTACCGTTAGTTTCTACGGCTCCAAGTTCTAATACCCGTAAACTCTCGCTTGAACTCCTCTACTGACATTTTGTTTATATTTATATTTATGACCCACTGTTCTCAGTCACTCGGTTATTCAGTTGCAATGATCTTAAGTCACGCGTCGAAAACCGGGAACACGGTGCGGATACTTAATCACATCCGATCGATATAAATTTAGGGGGCCTAAAACCATTTTTTAAAAAGTTATAATAACAAGTAACGCTTGGTTCCAAAATTTAAACTTTCCATTTCCAAAGAAAAAAAATTAAAAATCATATTATAATTAAAGAAAACACCTTTGTATCGCTTTATTTAATGAATTCGGAAATCCCCCTTTTAGAATCATTACCTCTAAAATTACTAAAAGGAAATGGTAATTAGTTTAGAGAAATGGTCTTACAATGAACATTACCTAAGTCAATGTTAAACCAAGTGTGTTGGCACTAAGCCACTTTATTTTCTTTGGCAAGGCGATAGTTCTTTGACTTTAGACTGTAGTCGAATAGTTATACATAGTTGTTGTTACAAAAATAATAAAAAACCTTATTTTGCTTCTTCCTATCTGAGCTAATGTTAAGCTAAATGTTTTCATTACCTATGGGTTTTTTTTAAAGGTTAATGATTATTAAATATTGCAGTGTTTATATGCCGGTAACTAATGAGCTAAGGGATAAATAGATTTCTAACATTATGTGCAATAGGACTTAAAAAATTACTTTTAAGCTTATCGTAATCAAAAGTTATTGTATCCCCAACAGTTTTAAAGTACATTTATAACTATACGTGACCACGTGTCGTATGAGTGATTGTTGTAAAATTTATATAACTTTTTCCACCAAAAAGAAAGCCAATACAATACAATTTTATTGGATTTTTTCGGCGAGGATTAATCGTTGAGTTTGGCCAATTTTGACATATGGCAATCATTCAATAATTTATATGCTGGGCTGCCAGCCAAGCTGCGACCATGAGATTTCCGCAGGCAATCCCCCGGCCACCATACCATTTTCCACTTCCCATTTCCCGGTTCAGGCCCTCCTCTTCACCCCCCTTCAGCCCCCCCATAAGTGTGCTATGGTTTTTCTATAGTATTCCAAGCGACTGTGTGTGCGAGAGCAGCTTGTTATAAATAGGCGAGATAGTTTTTGTGCTCGTGTTCTGGTTCCGCTTTTTTCCTTGGCTCTGCGATTGAGGTCATGCCAGCAGCAGGATAATGAACTTTTCCAACATCTTAAATGTAATTGCTCGACTTTAAAAAGTTTCTGTTCGCAGTGTTATTTTTAGAGCTCGCCACTCGTCATAGGCTCGAGAACTTTGACGGTCCTCTATGCATAAGGCATGTGCGACTATTTATGCACGTAATTGTTGGCAATGGCTGTTGGCCCCTCGCTTCTTCGGCTGTAATTGCCGCAATTAGAAGCACTTAATTGTTATGTGCTTGGCTCGGCCCGAGTGTGTGAGCATTCAATTAATTGAACGACAGCTCATTAAGGCATCGAACATCGCGGCAAGGGTGCCTTTAAACTTAGTCTATCTATGCAGTAAATATTACCATTTTCGTTGAGTTTTTGTGTCACTGCAAGATGCTAATTAATTGCCTTTCCTCACCAACTTGTCTGTCAACAAATCGTACAAGGTGGAAATTGCCCTTTGCAGTCGAAACTTTTGTTCTCTGCATTTTATTTCTTGGTTTCCTGGCAACTTCATTTGGGAGTAAATCAAAGTTGGCCCCGCCAAAAACCAGAAAACGCAAGAAACTTTTTAAATTAGTTTGTGGCACTTTTGCAGCCAACGAAAGTTTTTTTGAGGACCACCAAAAAGTCGCTGAATATTGTTTTAATTACGAGCTTTTGCATATTTCACTTGTCGCCTGACATTTGTACATGAAATTACGCATACGCAACGTTGTGCGGAAATGAAGATACTGAGGTGGTGGTGGACTCCCCCCTTTTCATTACCACCCCCCTGTTAGATAACGTGGCTCAGTTCCGAGTGAATGGGAATTTTCCATTTAATTTACTCCGATGGCCGCAACGACTTTGGCCAGAATGTGGGTTAATAGAGTGTAAAGCAACGCCAGGCCGCAACCCAGTTTCGGGTGGTTCGGTGGGTTCGGTGGGTTCCAGTTCCATCAGTTCTCAACATCAGGTCTCCCGAGAGGCTGCCCCTGGTGAGCAGTCTGAGGTTCGGGCTAATCTGCACTTTAAGAACTCATTAAATTTTCAAGCCTCCTCACAGCGCCGTCAGACATCATTGAAATCTTCTCTTGAAATTACGCACTTAAATGTTTAATTGCTAACTAGATCGCTTGGTTTCCTTTTGGCACTTTAAGTAAATACTTAACAGCTTAAACTTAAATACATTTTAGTTTATATTTAAATTTTTTCTACTACTTATATTTTGCATAAGAAAATTATAAATACTTAAGCATGTCAATTAAATGACTGATGAACGTAAATTTACACACATGTTGGCCTTTAACCAGAAGATAATTAATTGATGGTGACTTTAATTTTGTACCGTGTTTGAGAGGCTGGCAAACAAGTCGCCTGTGACGTAGGCACCCATGGCTGTGTGCGTGTTTGGAGATAAATGGTGCCAAGCACTGCTCAAGTCCCCCAAAAGTGTGCGGCAAACGGTGGGGTGCTTAAAATAGTCACCGACAGGCACAGACAGACACTAGCGATGGGTGGGCAGTAGAGGGTTAAGGCAGGACGAGGGGCAGGACGAGGGGCGGGACGAGGGGCGGGACGAGGGGCGGGGAGTCGCAAGTGGCTTGGGATGATGTTGTGTTTGAAGACAAACAAGGAAATGACAGCGGCCGGATAGTAATCTAAGGATACTGCCGGACAAAGGACACGCCAAATATAAGAAAAGAACTGAGCTCTAACTGGTGCACAGGAGAAAAAGAATGTTCATTTAAATTTTTCAAAAATAAAAAAAATTATCATTTAAATAAATTACCAAAGAACTTAAAAAATGGATAAACATAGAAATTTTGAATAACTACATATAAATATTTATTAATGTACTTGTTATTAAATTTATTACTGCATTCTTTTTGGCCACATATTATAGCATATTAAGATTATTGTGCCCTTTTTTATACTAAGAAGTTTCTTTTGTTATCCATTTATGGGGCATTAAAGCAGCAACTTAAACCCCGAAAACTTTAAATCTTTCTTGTGTACTTATGGCTTTTCCTTCTGTGTACTTTTACAACTCGCATCCACAAAGGCCTTTTCGCCCACATCTACTTCAATTGCGAAATGCTTGCAATGCGCTTCATCATAATTAAAAAATCCTGCGGCCCACATGCACACCCACACAAGCGCACGCACGAGCACACCCACACGCACACACACACGGCAAACATGGCCACACTGGCTGTTAGTTAACAGTGGCGTAGCAGCGCTGTTAGCAGTTGAAGTCCTTTGCCCATGCGCCAACTCTCTCTCTTTCTCTCTCTCTCTCTTCTCTCTCTCTGAAGGGATATTTTCTCCCGCAACTAATATAGGCGACCTCCTCGCACAGTTACACTCCTCTATCTCTGTCGCACACCCAAAAATTCGAGTAGAACCATTAACAGCGGCAAAGTAACAGTAACAGTAGTAGGGCAAATGTGCCTCTACTTGTTGTTGTTTTTGTTGCAGTTGTAACCCACACACACATACACACTGTGCATAACAGCAACTAGTGGCTGTGCTTTTTCCATCGCCTTTCCCAGTTCGCATTTTCCATTTCCCTCTCACATTCACATTCAAGTCGCGCTGCACTGCAGTTGTGTCAGTAAGTACTTAATATTTATGGTGTGCAGTGTAGGGTTGTGTAGTTAGAGTGCAAAGTGAAATGGCAGGACATCGAGTCGCTATGATTGTCAGTTAATGAGATAATTACAGTTATTACGGGTCGCCAGGAATACGTAATTGAACCCCTCGAAGGCTGGACTTTTAAGCCGTTTAAAAAGTTTAGGGGTAAATTGGAAAAGTTGTGGTACGGATTTTAAATAATTTAGTTTTAATGTATCGGAGATTAATAACTTTATTTATCCTAGCTCTGTTAAACTTAGTTTCTCTTTAAATGAACCTTAACTTTATGCCATCTTAAGCCGGTAAATCCCTTTAAAACCCTAAGTGGTTTATAGCTCGACCATAAAACCAACTTTTCCTGTGGCTGGAGTGCAGGTATCACCTTTATCACAGCAACAAGGTGCTCATCCGCCTTTAGAAGTTGCCATAAAAAGTAGTAATGGTGGGCAGCTCGTGGGACCGGAAGGGCGTATTGCAAATGCCAAAGACTTCCGTTTGGCTCCGGCTAGATGCTGTCATGCAACCGCCCACTAGGGCGGGGCTCCACCAACACACAAACACAAAAACAAACACCAGTGCCGAAAGCGATGGCAGCAGCATCCTCATCACCATCATCATCATCATCGGCACTGGATAAACGCTGTCATAGCTTTTAAATGTCAGCCAGTGCATCGGTATCGGTATACTCTTCCACATAAACAGTGGCATTGACAGCCCACACACACCCATCGAGTGGGTGGTGGGCTCCCTCGTTGGTGCAGTGGGCGGTCGACTGGCTTCCGATGGATGCGAATGCGAGCTTTGATGTATTAATAACAATTTATCGATGCAGCGCAGCTCCGGTAAATGGATTTCAATTTTGTATATCCTGAATTTAATGATTGGTTTAAGGTTTCAAGTTATGGAAAAGCGCTTTCGCTCGAAAGGCCATTCCACTTATCTTTCCCCCTAGTGAATCGATGCTGATTACAACTATATCTCTGGTCTTGCCGCCGTCTAGACAAACGGGCGCCAGCCATTGTCTCAGCTGGCTAGGGTGGCGTATGAGTAATGCAACTGACTTTGAATGCTTTTCGTGGCGTATGCGTAATGTTTTCTTTGCGCTCAGTTAAAGACGGTCTGTGGAAGCAAAGGGAAAAGTGATTCAGATTACAGTGCATTTTAATTAATGTGCTGACAAATTAAACCGATTGCATAAATCCAAATTTTAAGCCCAGAGATTGCACAGCTGCTGGAAAAAGAGATAGGCAATCTCAGCTTTTTGTGGCCTGTGCGTGGACAATAAATACGGTCAGGCAGGCAATTAACCCAAAGTTCAAAGTTCGCCTACCACATACCACACACATCTCTACAACACTACAACATCACACGTGCGTGCTGCTCATGAAGAAAAGTCAGAAAAGGCAGCTGACCTATTTCCACACTTAGCAGCAGCAGAAGGCCCATGAATAAATAAGCTGGCCAAGGAAAAGGGATAATAAAAGCAGCAACTATTTATAGGAGCCAAGTGTCGTTTTGGCCCAGCGGCAGTTCAACCATTCTGGCTGCAGGCAGATTTACTGTCCCCATTCTGATGTCCGATTATCGTTTTCTACCCATCCATTGCAGTCGTCCGAGGGGCAGCCACAGCATGCCGTACGAGTCGATGCACCATCATCAGTCGGCGGCCGCTGCCGTGGCCGCTGGCAGCGCCCCCAACGGAATGCTGGACGCCCTCAGCCTGCAGCTGCGCGACGCGGAGATGCGGCGCACGGAGATCGAGCGGGCGCATCAGGTGAGTGTCCTTGCTTGGCCTTAAACGCTTTTGAATCACTTTGGATTTCGTTCTTGGAGTATTTGAGTATTCTCACTGCTTAATTTACTAATAGAGGCATTCCAATTAAATATTAATCTGCTCTTAAAAACAATGATTTTAAAAATTATATGCAAAACTAAGTTTTAATTTTGTTACAACGATATACATGTAAAGAAAAGAGTCAGAATCGATTTTCATAATATAAAATATATAAAAAATGTACTAACATATTTTTTACATTTTTTTTTTTAATTTTTCTATTTTAAAACTTTCTGAAAACTCTCTAAAATCGAAGAAGAAAAATTAATTTAAGTAGCTGTTGTTTTTTAAACATGATTTTCCATGATACAAGATGCATCTTTTATTTTCAAACATATGAAATCGATATACCCCGAATCAATAATAAACTAAACAAAAATTAAAAAAAATTTAATTTCATATTATTTTAAATTGAAAGCTACCGATTTTAGATCAATGATATTTACTCAAATGATTTTTAATTTTTTATATAAATTTTTTCCCCAATATATGACAAATTAAATATTTAAAATTGGAATTGTTTTCTACAGGAAACCCTGGCACAAATACGCAATCTAAGCGGAAGCGCACGTCCCGATGCCGAGGCGGTGGAGAATCTGCAGTCGAGAGCCCGGGAACTGGAAAAGAAGGTTAGCCAAAAAAAAATATATTCCCCAAATTCCTCTAATCCATATCCGTTAAAACCTAGGTTGCGCTAGAAAATGTGCGCTGCGAGGAGTTGCAAATCGAACTGACCTCGGCGCTGAAGGCCAAACAGGCGTCCCGCTCGGTCTGCTCCGGAATGGGCAGCATGTCCTCCGGGGCCATGTCCTCCGCCACCATTCCTACATCGGCCAGCAGCTCCACCGTCACTTGGGCACCGACAATCAGCCACCAGGACCAAGGCTCCGAGATCGATATCATAATGGCAAAGATTGAGCAGGTAATTCCAACATGTATAAACTAAAACCACTATAAATATCCGTGTAAAATGGTATATAGATTTTTATGAAGGTGCTTAAAAAGGTTGTTTATAAAACAGCAACAGTTTACAGACAGCAAGCAAGTGTAAAGATAGTGTGTAGCCTCGAATAAAATTATATTTCGGGTTGGCAATACGTTATAGATTCCCGAGTGTCCATCCCGAACTATAATTGATTTCAAAGTTGAGGGCCCAACTTCAAGTCCAATAAAATCAACAGGCAAACAGCCAGTCTAAAAATGTTTTGAGGAATTAAGTTCAGTGTGGGTATTTTTTGGGAATATTCCATTCTATTCCGTCTGTTTCTCGGGATTCTCGGCCAGAGCCTCCTCGATGAAGCGGATGACCTCCAGTTGGCTCACCAATGAGCTAGATGACGAGCCATCATCATCTTCGTTCCCATCATCCATATAGCTCGGCGAGAGGCAGGAGAGGAAGCTCTCCAGGCTGCAGATGCTATTGGCCTCCATGGAATCACTTGGCTCGAACTGGGTGCTACTCTCGCTGGAGGCGAGGTTACCCTGGCGGAAAACCTCATCGGTGCTGCTAATCTGCAGCTGGCGGCGCATCTGCTCATTTTCCCCGCTCAGCTTACGGATGATTTCCTGGTTCTCGTCACTGCTGCGATCCTCCAGATCGGCGGTGATCTTCATCAGCTCCAGCATATTCTCGATTCGGGCATCCTGCGCCCGCACAACCTCCGCCAAACCGGCCAAGTAGCGCTCCTTCAGCTGATAGCTATCGATGAACATATCGCCCTCGCTGTGCTCCCGGTACTTCTCCATGATCAGCGCCATTCCCGTGTAAAACTCATCGGCAGTCTCCTTGAGTTCCATGTTCTCCCGCAGCATCTGCATCTGCTCCTCGTCGCTATTGGTCTCCGCCAGGTACTTGAGCAGCTGCTCCTCCCGGAACTTGCGACAATTGGCCAAATCCTGGTCCACTTTCTCTGCATCAATCAAGAGCTCATCGGTCCGGGCCTCCAGTTCGGCCAGGCTGACGGCAATGTCCATGGTCCGCTGGATAAGTGTGCCTCTGGGTCCGGGAAACGTCGGACCTTCCATCGTTAGAAACTACTCAGGGTGGTTCTCTGATCACTAACGTTAAATTTGGAATTTTTCCCGAGTTTTTTTCGATAGAAAATCGATTCCTTTAGACTTGTCAGAGGCCGAGTTTATACGAGAAACAAGGGCAGATAAAGCAAGGTCTACTGGGACTTGAATTTAAAAATTGTAAAAAAAGATTGTCACCATTTTTTGATTAAATTGAGATTTTATAAATATTTAAAGTAAAAAATGAAAAAAGTAAACACAGATAGGGAAAGGGTTTGGATCAATTTTAATATGTTAAATAGAAATTGATTTAAATATAACTATTTTTGTTTTATTTCTATGTCTAAAATTGATTGAATTCCAATTCTCTAACCACCATTAAAAAATTCTGTAAATATGGTAAACTAAGAGATTTATCTGCAGCATTACATATGTAAATATGATATGATATCTAAGGGTATTATACTGTGTCTTAAATTGATTAAATTTTAATTCTCTAATAACCATCAAAAAATTCTGTAAATATGTTAGACTAAGTGCTTTAATTGAGGCATTAAATATGTAAATATGATATGATATTTAAGGTTATTATATTAAAGTCGTGTATATCCTTTGTATTAGGCGGTTATTATAAGGCTGTAGATTAGTAAATTCCCAATATAAAATACGATAATTTATTTTATTATACTAATCCCCCTATTTATTCTTTTAACCCACAGGATAATCGCGTGCTGGCCGAGCTGGAGCAGCCTCGCACCTCGGCCAGCGCCAGCATGTCAGCATTGCCGCCCAGTTCCATGATGAGCACGGTAAATAGCGAATTTAGAACCATATCAAAGAGTGGTGAGTACTTGGAAACTCTTCTTTAAGGGAATACAAATAAAAAGAAACTACTTACAGAACTCGAAGAAGAACTGAACCGTTACAAAAGGGCCGTTCTTGGCGGAGGAGGAGGAGGAGGTGGAGGCGAAAGGGGCGGTGGCATTTCGGCCCTCTCCTCCGGCTACTCCAGCCTCCCGCAGTCGCTGGCCAACGGAGGCGGAGGCGGAAGCGGAGGGGGCGGGGCCAGCACCAGCCTGAGCGGCACCAGCCTTGGCTCGCACAGCGCAGCCGCCGCTGCTGCTGCCGTGGCCGCCGCCTCGGGAGGAGGATCGGGATGCGGGATCGGTCCTGGAGGCGGAGGCGGAGGCGGTGGCCTATCATCCATATCGGCCCTGGTGCCCAACTCAATCAGCGGCATATCCTCGAGTCTGAGCAGCCATGCCATTCAATCCATGCAGTATGGCGCCGGACAGACGTCCGTGGAGAAGCTCCTGAGCGGAACTAGTGGAATCACTGGCATTCCACCCCTGCCGGTAAATATTCACACGATGAAGGCTATGCCGACGGCATTAAGTCAGGTAAACCAGCTATTTTCAATCGCAATGAACTACGAACAACAAGAGCATTTACAAACAGCAACATTACCGCTGCCGATCGATTTGCTTTCAAGCTTGCCACATCTAGTCAAATGCTATAGCTACTTATACACGTTATAGTCTTGATATATAAGTTGTATGTACAAATTCGATGCGTTCAAACTAGCCATAGAGTATAGCAATTATATCCGCTTCCGTTCGTTGATCGTTCTTCGCTGCTGCAGCCGCCGGCCGTTTGTTGTAGTCTCATTACTGATGAAAATAAAAGCATTCACATACAGAGCCAACCACTGATGAATCACCCACACCACTCACATTACACCAAGTCACACACATTGTACCTACATTTAACCCTAGATCGTTTGCCTATCTGTATCTCAGAATAAATTTCGCTAGCATGCTCGAAATTCCACCTCTTTCACTCTTCAATCACCTGTATTCTGTTATAAGATATATGTACATTGAGGATAGTTTTAGAATATCCTTTAAACATGAATCTTTAATATTATACGATCATAATCCTCCTGAATATTATCATATACTACTAACTTAAAATGTTGTGCTGATACTCTATTCATATCTTCTGAACTTTTGAAAAATGTTATTCTTTTAAAAAAGTATTCCAAAATTATAAGATTATTTTAAAATAAATTTTCAAAAACATTTTTAAAGTTCATGATTACCATGAGTATACACATTTGCTGCATTTACAGACATACAAGCATATACCTACATACTAAGCATATCTTTTTTAAAGGAGTTACATTTGAAAGCTTTCCGTTACTTGTTGATTAACGTTTTTTTGATGGTGATGATTGGATGCTAGCCGTGTTACCATTGCCATGATAGCCATGATTGCCCGCTTGGAGACGGCTTCAGTTAATTGCAGAAACAATAATTGCCACTCATGACCAGCCGAAAATCACCACCAACATTCGCAGTTGTTCATGCATAGATGTCCATTTACCAAAGTTTTAGATCTTTCCACGTTTTTCCACTCGCAGCCGAATAAACGTGTATCTGTGATCTCTCTTTCCGTTTTATGTGCTTTCTCTGTCTTCCCTTTCTCTCTCTCTCTCTGTTTATCTACTCTCCGCTGATGAATTCTCTATAACTCCGAATCGAATCATTGAATTGATTCGAATTCGAAACGAATCAATCTATATGTATGTCTGCATCTGTATCTCTGTGTGTGTGTGATCCTATGTTTGTGTAACGACACCTGTACAAAAACCACTGATACTAATACCCTGTAAATTCTGAAAATACAAAAAAATACCAAATTCCACACACAAAAACCAACACACACGGCAACTGAATTTGAAACCGAATTGAATTTGAAATTGAATCGAATCCAATCGAATCCAATCCCATTGAGAAGCGCGGAACAATACAGCTGTACAATTTGCAGAGCACAACCATGCCCCTCCTGTCACTCAACTCGCATAACCTGCCGCCCGCCGGCTCGTCGAGCTACTCGGGATTGGGCGTCGGTGGCGGTGGCTCCTCGCTGACGCATCCCTCGATGGCCAATCTGGGCATCCTGGACACTGGTGCCCTCCTGGGAGTGAGTGCCGCCGGCCTGGGAGGATTGGGTGGCATGGGACCCGGTGGCGGTGGCATCACCGGAGCCACCTCACTATACGGATTGAGCGGCGGCGGCGGAGGCGGAGGAGCCGGTGGTCTGGGCAGCTCCTATGGTCCACCCTTCCTGGACGTCGCCTCGAGCGCCTCGTACCCGTTCACCGCCGCCGCCCTGCGACAGGCGTCCAAGATGAAGATGCTGGACGAGATCGATATACCGTTGACACGGTACAACCGCAGCTCGCCCTGCTCGCCCATCCCGCCCAGCAATTGGGGACTGGACGAGTTCACCGACGGCCTCAGCGTCTCCATGATGCACAACCGCGGCGGCCTGGCACTGGGTGCCCTGGATCTGGACAGTGAGTGTTGAATAGAATAGAATCAATAATGATTATACGAAGCTTCTTACTTACAAACAGCTCGCAATCACGGGCTGAATGGAGCCAGCGAACCGCAGGTGGATATGCTCGATATTCCCGGCAAGGGACGCTGCTGTGTGTTCATAGCCCGTTTTCCTTACGATCCTCCAGAGTAAGTACTTTAGTACTCGGTTATCAATTCAGATTTATAGCCATTTCCCCATAGCATAAAGGTCAGAAAGTAATTTTAAAATATACATTTTTCATGAATTATATCATTCATTCAACATAATTTTATTTTAAACCATTTAAAATTGTACATTAAATCAATAGAAATTAATGAGAACCTTATTTTTAGACTTTGAAACGCATTTTATTTATACTCAAGAATAAAAGTAGATATTTTTTTTAAATTTGTAAAAATAAATTATGTTAGCCCCTGAAAGTATGCAATACATTTTTATAACCCCGCTGGGTAACCAGTCGTATACGCAATGTTAAAAGATTGGTCTCCTTCACTAGCACTAAAACCTTTTAAAATAATGTTAGAATCCTAATCATAATAATTAATAATATAATAATTAAGTAAAGTTTATTAAGAATTTATTTCATCTACTATATGTAATTTTGTTAAGAGAGATTGTGAGTTCTTAACTTCAAAAATATGAAAATATTTTGTAATCAATAACTTAACTAACTTAAACAGCAATAACTAAACGATTTTCCTTATGCGCCACCCCCAAACGATCTCCCCAATGGTTGTATGATACCGAAACAAACCCCTCACCTATATAGAACATTCCAGATTAACCTCTGCTATTTTCAGTGTTCATAATGAATTCCTTTCCATGCCTTGCAGGGAGGCTGAGGGCGAGCTCTCCCTGTGCGCCGGCGACTATCTGCTGGTGTGGACCAGCGGGGAGCCCCAAGGAGGCTACTTGGATGCCGAACTCCTAGACGGGCGACGCGGCCTGGTTCCAGCCTCCTTTGTGCAGCGTTTAGTGGGTGAGTAAACCTTCTATATCTCTTAATCCCTGAGAACGCTATTGGCCTATAATCACCCATGTATCTATGCTAGGCGACGACCTCCTGGAGTTCCACCAGGCGGTGCTGTCGACGCTGCGCGATGCCGAAGATGGTTCGATGCAGTGCGACACCACATCGCTGCCCTCCTTGCCGCCGCACAACCCATTGCTCACACACACCCACGAGGATCTGGCCCGTTTGAGTGAGACGCACACCGATCTGGAGCACGACCAGGACGACATCAGCGACAATGGTAACTATTCGCGGTCCAAAACTTTTCGTTTTTAATCTTTTTGGTTTTTGTGGCGATCCTCGAATGTGCGACGCCGTGCATGGCATGTGAATACATATATATGTGAGCAAAAAACTTAGATCCTTTGATTAACCCAATCGAATCCAATACCCACATGCCTTTGGGGCATCGCTAGCACTTTTGTACTCAGTCCGCTGCATTTAGAGCCTCAACTCAAGTCAGCTGGCTAATGACACACTTCTTGCTCCTCCCCGCAGTTCCAGCACCCAAGCACTTGACGCTGGAACGGCAGCTGAACAAGAGCGTGCTCATTGGCTGGTCGCCGCCGGAGCCAGTGGGCTACAACCTCATCGACAGCTACCACGTCTACGTGGACGGCGTGCTCAAGGTCACCGTGAAGGCCAACGAACGCACACGCGCCCTAATCGAGGGCGTCGACTCCACGCGGGTGAGAAGCGCCTCTTAATTTGGGTTAAGGAATCACGATCCTTTTAAAATCAAGAATAGGTTCTCGAGAGAGCTGTGTCTTCAAACCTGAAGCTGATCCTTTGATCGCGAATGAACCGTCTTTAAACAAGCTCAATGCATCTTGTTTTTAGGCGATTTATTCGGATCATATAATACCATTTACACACTTTCTTTCATTTCCGCATGTTACTTCGTAAATTATCAAATGAAATATTCTCACATACCTTTTTTTTAACCAGTAATACCTTTACATTTTTTTCTACTATTTATTAGTAACTGATTACATAAAATAATCAATCCAAACTTATGATGAGAATTTATTTAAAAGATTTATCATTTAATTTGATTCCAGGGTTCGGAAATTGACACACATGTTAAAAGGGTGAAAAATTGTATTTTACAGTGTGAGCAAAATTTTTGGCATGTGTGTCCAATACAAAAGTGTTAAATTGTGAAGAATAATTGTTAGCACACACAGCTCATTAGTGTTTTCTACACAATTTGTTATTAACACGAAGTGTTTTTTACACATTGGGTTTTTAACACAAATGAAAATTACATTTTACATTTATTACATTACTGACATTAACGAGTCGAAGGGAAAATGAAAAACCAATATGTTATTTTCCGAACCCTGTTTTATTCTACTACTGGAAAAAACCATTCAAACTTGTCTTGATCAATCAAAATATGATGTCATTACTTAGCAGATTAATCATATTAATTTTATAAAATCAGAGACTGAGATATTTTCAAAAGAACCAACCTTTAAGTTTATTCTTGATTTTATAAGACGTTTTTCTCACCCAATTTACTCAACCTAGAACCAAGTAATCCAAGTTATATTTCCACCCACAGCCGCACCGCATCAGCGTGCGGAGCGTGACCCAGAACCGGCAGACCTCTAGGGATGCCGCCTGCACGATGATCATCGGGCGGGACACCGCCCACCTGGGCCCCTCGGCGGTGCGCGCCTCGCACATAACGTGTTCCTCGGCGGTCATCTCGTGGCTGCCGGCCAACTCGAACCACCAGCACGTGGTGTGTGTGAACAATGTGGAGGTGCGCACCGTCAAGCCGGGCATGTACAGGCACACGATCACGGGCTTGGCGCCGAGCACCCAGTACCGGGTGACCGTGCGGGCCAAGCACCTGCGGGCCGTGGGCCAACATGCCTCGAATCCGATGGGCCAGACAGGAGTCACCGGGCGGCCGGGTCAGGAGGAGGCGCCCGGAGCGTATGCCGACTTCCGCACTTTGACCAAGGGACTGCCCGATCCGCCGCAGGAGATCCAGCTGGAGGCCGGCCCGCAGGACGGTACCATTCTGGTGACATGGCAGCCGGTTAACAGGCCCACCTCGACGGGGCCTGTAACCGGCTATGCTGTGTACGCCGATGGTAAGAAGGTCACCGACATCAACTCGCCTACTGGGGATCACGCCCTCATCGATATCGGCAAGCTGGGCGTCTTCAATCCGCGCGCCGTCACCATCCGCACCAAATCGAGGGACTCCCAGTCGGCGGACAGTGCGCCCATCTTGATACCAAGTGAGTAATGAGCTTAAATCAATTGAAAATAATTTGTAAATATAGGTTATTATTGGTCTAAAGAATTTGCGTTTACCTAAAGTAAATTCGGTTAATTGTTGATCTAAAGAATTCGTTTTGAACTAAAGGAAATGTAAATTAAACTAAAGTAAAATTCAAAGTATAATCTGAAGAATTCGCGTTATAGTTTTGTAAAATGTTTTATTTCATATTATCTTAACAAAACTTATCAAATCGGTGGAGTGGTAGATCTAAAATCGGTTGAAACCAATTGAATAATGTTATTACATCTTAATCTAAAGAATTCGCGTATCCATGGTATCTTTCCTTAAACAGCGTTTAGATATTCATTTTCCCATTCAAAATTCAATGCTTAGGCAGCGATAGTTCTCTAAAACCTGTATAATCTACTTTGTAGATAGTCACCCTGTAAAAAGCTAGTTAAAACCTATTCTAATCTTAGATATCACTCTTGCAAATGCAATACATCTTGTCGGTTTTGTCATCGACACATGTCGAAACCTTGGCGTAACTGTCGAGTCGACTGATCGTGGGCACCGCGACTTCTACAGATCCTGTGATGTTGTTAAATAGAACGGTGGCTTGAAAGTCGGCGGTGTTCTGATTGACCTTGAACATGGTGCGATAGGTGGCCACCTCTGTAAAGGGCACTTCATCATGGAAATTTTTATCTAGGTCGATTTTTATCGCTGTCTTGTGTATGTATTTTAGAGTTAGCTCCGAGCAAATGCCACTGAGATTCCTGCCGGCCAAATATTCATTGATTCTACTGATTACCTGGGGAGCAATACGCTTTGCCCAGCCATCCTTGAGTCTTTTATAAGGCACACAGGTGCAGTAGTGTTCAGGTATTCCAGCATCCTCACACGTCCTCGACTCATCGATGGGAAGAAATACGGACTGGCATTTGGGACAGTCGGGAGATTTGGTTAGCTTAAAATCATCTATAGAATTACCCAGTTCGATGATGTGCTTCAGTGTGTTGTGCAGATCGTAGTTTGAGGTCAGGCGGTTCTGATTCAACTGCAGGGCACTTGCATATTCGGGATATTGATCTCGAAACCAGGGTGGCAAGTAGATAAACATCGAGGGAAGTCGCTCCTCCAGAAACCCACTTTTCAGGGACGTCAGCTTACCAAAACGAGTTCCATGATCAGAGAGGAATATCATAATACTCTGGTCGAACACTCCATCAGCCTGGAAGTCTAGAAGATACTGCAGCACATAGTCCTCCATTTTCGAGGGCATCTGGAAGCTGTCGTGACTGAAGCTATTCGACCAGAAGAGACCCCAAATGGGACGCTCATCCACGAAGCGTCGGGCAAAATCTCTGGCCATATCGTAGGCATAGCTACTAGTGATCCGTCGCCCGATGCAGTACCTCATCGAGCAGTCATGGCATTTCCAGGTGTTCATACCCGATTCAAAGGCCTTCTGGAAGGGCCGGAGGTAAAAGTCGGTGGGTTGCTCCCGAAAGCCGGGCTTAAAGTAGTTGAATGTGTTTATGCCAGTCTCATCTTCGGCATACGCGGTCAGATAGCCGGCATTCCGAAAGTGCTGCCATATAAAGGGAGTCCTGTCCAGGCAGTTCTTCTCGTGCCAGTCGCAGACATTCTCCAAGGCCGAGTCTGGATTGTAGCCAGTCAAAAGGGCGAGAAGGTTGGGAAAGGTGTTGTCGCCAATCTGCATAGAAAAAAGGTTTCAATTAAGAGTACTAAACCGACAAAGAGGGAAATATTCTTGAATTGAGAACATTTCTTCTTGAAAACCGTGCAAGACCGAATTTTCTCTTTTTGAGTTAAATGTTCACAATATCAGAATCGTTTGGTGTTGTTGGAAATACCGCTAACTCAACTTGATTCAAGCATATTGAAAATATTTTTAAGCTAATTGTTCTTGAATTGAGAACATTTCTTCTTGAAAACCGTGCAAGCACAAATGTTCTCATTTTGAGTTAAATGTTCTCAATATCAGAATCGTTTGGTCCTGTTGGAAATACCGTCAACTCAACTTGATTAAAGCACATTGTAAACTTTTTCAATTCATTTTCAAGATGAGAACTCAAAAATTCTTTCAGTGGAGAGTTCACTCACCTTATTGTATCCCTGCAGCTCAAACCATCCGTCTCTCTTGAGAAAGCTATGAACTTTTGGCATGGTTCGACGTAGATTAATCCGCGACAGGCTGTCTATGCCGAACATTAGGACGCTTGGCTTCCGTTTGGACGGTTCCAGGGAAAGTCCCTCCGGAGGTGGCTTATATTGGATGAGGGTATAGGCATCGCTCTGCAGAATATCCGACTCGTTGCCAAGACGATGACAGGCCAAGATGAGGCCCTGAACATGAAGCGGCACCTCGTAGTACTGCGTGAAGTATTTTCGCTGCACCCTATAAAGACCGAATGAGTAATTAGGTGTGATTCCACGAATTCTATTTAACTCAAGAGATATCGAAATGTCACTAGGCACTAGGTACTTTACTTATCGTAGCTGTCGTGCTCTTGCTCGCGTGTTATCTCCTGATAATAGCAGTTGTATTCCCCCTCGTTAGAGTTCATAATGCTAGAGGCCAGCGTTTCATTGATCATCAACACATAACGCTGTCGACTGATGTCATAGATCGGGGTCACCAGAGCAGTTTCGTTGGAGCAGGTCTCAAAATGTTCGGGATGGTAAATGGCCATGGCATCCGATTCGAAGGGATCCACATAGGGAATCTTGCACTTGGCTGTGTCCACAAAGAAAAAAGGTAAGGCTTCCTCTTTCACAGGAAGGATATTAGCTATATAACTAGCTGATCCTTCCACTTCCAAAGCTTCAGAAGCTCTGGACTCTTCGTTAATTGTCCTATATTGAGTATTTTCATCTCGCGTTGAAAGACTGAGAATCACTATTATGGCTATTAGGCAGAAGAAAACCCATTTAAGGAACGGATGGAATGAGGCTGTCATCACTTGGAGTTCACTTGCACACTGAATTCGCAAACGAACAATTTTTAACCATTTGGTGAATCGGACCCATTGTGCTGGAGCTATCAGTTCTTTTGGTGACATCCGCTCCGGTGACTCTTATCTAAGTCCCTTTTTTATCAACTGGAAGTAACAATGAACTTTTTAACTTATTAAAAGGTGCTCGTATTCCATTGCACGTGCTAAAAAATCTAATTTTTTACACAAATTTATATCTGATAGTGAGAGAGGTTCAGAAATATTTTTGGAAAAGTACTTATCAAATCAAAAACTGACATGCGACCTCACACATCTCTCTCTAATTTATCAATAAAGAATAGTTCAATGAAAACACTGTTAGAATTTATAAAAGTAAACACAACAAAATAAGCTATATATGACAAACGTGGTTTCCAAGTCATAGTTTCTTTGGCAATGTTGCTTAGAATTGTCTATAGAATACCCCTACGATTTGTTGACCTCCAAATCGACCCACCCCAATCTATGTATACCTTGAATTTAATTAAATTTATTTGTTTTGCGAATCTTTTCGAAGTGTCAGTATCAGTCGCTGTTCTATTCTATGTGTGTGAAGAGCGCAGTCGCAGCCCACCGCTTCTGCTAGCAATCGCTGATTTAATTAATAGTATCAATTATGATTTTTTATCATACTTACTCCGCTCGCTTTAGTCTTAACCTTTCGCCTGCCGAAACCGCACTAAGTAAATGTCTTATCGACGCCTTGATTGCATAGCCAAAGCGCACAGGTTGATTACCGATATCAGCTATCGTGGGCATCCCCGATCAGTCGAATAGCCGAAATATATGTAGAATTGAGGATTATCTTATCAGTTAACAAATAAAGTCTGTGTAGGCCAGCAGCTTTAAAATGTTGTCCAATGAGTCAATTTTCTTATCGCCAAAAAAGTTGATCTCATAAATATTGGATGTTTTATTCGTTTCCGTTTTTATATACATAGTACGTGATTTGCAGATTTGCTCTAAAGAATTCGTGTTCTTATTTTTTTTAAACAATGTGGATACTTAAGTGATCTATTTGTATTGGATATGATTTTTTCTAAGAAAATATTCATTGTTTTCAATTTTGTAAACTAAAACTAATACTATTTGTGATACCTGTTCCTCCACAGATACCGTGCGCAATGCCGTCGCCCGAAGGGTTCCCAACCAGATGGGCATGGGTCCGCAGTTGCCCCAAGGACCTCACGGGATGCAGCAGCAGATGGGTGGGATGCCGGGGCAGCCGGGTCAACCGGGTCAGCACATGATGGGTCAGCAGGACCATGGGCAGTACGATCCCAACCAGATGCAGCAGCAGCAGCAGCAGGGAATGCAGCCTCAGCCTGGTCAGCCGGGTCACCAGGTGAGTTTCCGGCGCAAGTGGCGACGCCTTGGAGTCCGCCGACCATGCGTACACTGTAAATAATGTTCTGTGAACTCGTTATCGTTTCGTTTTATCATTTCGAATTGGCCAAGAACTCTTCTCTAAATTCTATTGTATCTCAAACTCTTGAAGCCAACACACCATCGAAGAATGTACATAAGTTATTCTCGTGTAAACTCCCACATATACTTATATTCTACCCATCCGAATGCTAGTCACACAAAGGAAAACCCATTCAAATTGATACCCAATACCCATTGCTTGTAAAACCCGCGCACCATCGAAACCAAGATTGAATCCGAGAATTCCCGAGATCACTTTTAACCATTTTGCATCGATATCAGTTCATTTCCGAACCTCCAACTTCTCTCTATAACTTTCTCTTTAAGAGTTCAATGTTCAATATTCAATGTTGACCTTCATTTACTTTAACATTTACCTTTTCCTTACATCTTTTCTATCTCTGTTTATCCTCCAATATCTTTTGGACTGCCTTTGATTTCATATATACTATCCTAATACTTTCGGTCGATTTATTTTGCAAATGAACCTATTATATACATACACTGAGAGAAATTGTTGAGACAAACGCACAAAATTCACACAAATTTCACATGTCAAAGAACTGCAAGACAGTTGAGTCCCCGATCTTTGTGATAAGAACCGAACCCAAGCAATTGAATTGAGACCTTCTCCTTCACCCAAAGAACTTGTATGTATGTAAAGTTATTTTTAATCCCTTGTTTTTATTATTTTTCTCTTTCGATTTTCGATTTTCGATTCAAAGAGATATGCCAGAGTATGCCACTTTTGCTAGAACCTTTTGAGTTTATTCTTCCGTTTTTTTGGGTTTTCAGTTCGTTCGAGTATAGTTCACAACTAGCATGTCAGCAGCAAATTGCAATTACCAAATAATAATAATAAGATTTTGAACTTTGTTGAGTTGTTCAGATCTAAACTAGAGTTTGTAACTAAGTATTGAGCGGAAATGCCGAATATGCAATTGTCTTAAGGAAAACAAAAGCAATGCAACGAACAATTTTAAACAAAACAAGTACATATTCATTTTCATTATATGAAACCAAAAACCGTACACCTCGATACTTCGATACCGAAACCGATACCTCGAAACAGCCCGACGGAGGCTCCGGATTGTTAGGTGGCCTGCTCGGTGGCCTCTTCTCGAAACCCACACAGACTCAAGTGAACCAGAATGTAAGTTTTACCCACAACATCTCTCGCATTTTACACACCTCGCCACACCACACTAGAAATAAGTAATATATATCTTTATCAGTATCTGTAACACTTTGCGTACAAGTATCTAGATCCTAGATATATTTATTTGGTTAGCTTGGCTAGAAATTGCGCTTAGCCTAAAAAACTGGCTAGAAACTGAAAAAATTGAGCTTGTATATTAAAGCAAAACGAAGTATTTGACAGACTTTGATTTCGTTTTAGTTGTTTGTAGATTTCTTTCTCATTCGTTTCCTTAGCAAGTAATTAAGTATGCCTTTAGGGAACTAAATTTGAATATTTCGGCTAACCTGTAAGTACCACAAAAAGTATTCAAGATTGGAAAGCAAGTATTTCATTAGGGGTTTAAAAGTGCATGGCTTCTTCTGATCCTACGATAAGTGAAACTTAGAAGGAAGAACTACTACTACTTTAATTTTGACCCAATGCTTAGGCAATCCCTTGCAGAATTGCTGATTAAATTCTTTGTAAGTCTTGAAATCTCTGTAAAGAACTATACATATGTAAATACATATGTGTAAACACCCAAACACTAGAAGATACCACTAAAGCCACCCACATAGATACTTTGTATACTCGAACCCGTGCTTTCTTACTACCGTCAAACATCCTAACCCCTCAGTACTCGTACATACTCGTATAGCTTCGTACTATCGACTTTCAGCTATAGATCTTTGGCTTTTCAGTTCCTATATATATATATATGTATTTAGCTCGTAATGCTCCATTGACACACACACTCACACACACTAAACATAGACATACACATACAGCTTTCGTACTTCCTTAGTTGTCTGAAGAGAAAACTCTAAAAGCGAACCAGCTAAATGCAGACGCCTTGAAAACCTCTCTAAAGACAATGTGAATGAAAAACAGAGTACAAATTAATGATTGCAATACCAAAAAAAAAAAAAAAACAAACCAAAAACCAAAAGCTAACAAAATTTTAAATTCATTCAAATTGATTCAAATTCCGGCGCTCGTCGACGACACACAAATACAGGGCTACAATCAACCAGGGCAACCGGGAACGCAAAGGGGCATGGTTCCGATTCCGGGAAGGGCCCAGGGACCCCAGCAGCAGCAGCAGCAGCAACCCTACGGCCAACAGGGTCCCATGGGAGGACCACGCTTTCGAGGACCAGTTCCTGGCCAGCTAAACATGCAGGGCCAGCAGATGCAGGGTCAAATGCAAGGGCAGATGCAGGGTCAGATGCAGGGTCAAATGCCTGGTCAGATGCCTGGTCAAATGCCGGGTCAAATGCCTGGACAAATGCCTGGTCAAATGCCTGGTCAGATGCCGGGTCAAATGCCTGGTCAAATGCCTGGACAAATGCCTGGTCAAATGCCCGGTCAAATGCCCGGTCAAATGCCTGGTCAAATGCCTGGCCAGATGATGGGACCACGAGGACCGCTCAACCAACAGCAGGGTCAGATGATGCCCGGCCAGCAGCCGGGACAGCCAGGACAACTAGGACAGCCGGGACAGGCGGGTCAGCCCGGACAACCGGGACAGATGCCCGGGGCCCAGAAGAAACCCCGCTACTTTGTGGCCATGTTCGACTACGACCCCTCGACGATGAGTCCCAATCCCGATGGCTGCGACGAAGAGCTGCCCTTCCAGGAGGGCGACACGATCAAGGTAAGAGCCCCCAGAGCCCCCCGAAAATATCTCCGAAAAAACACCCAGTTATCCGTACACAGAACCACCAAGAACAAAAGACCAAAGACACTTTTCAGACCAGCAGAGTCCAGCGGTAATCTTGCAGAGATGATCTGGTGAGCCCCGATCTTTCGATCCGATCAGATCCGAAAGCCCAATCGAAGATGCAAATTGATGTCCAGAACTATTGGCTGCGCTTGCTTGTTGCGCTAATTGAATGAATCAGTGCATGTTTTTCCTTCGCCCCCGAAACTCAAACTCTTTACACTCAAACACCTTTTACACACATTCAGAATCAGAATCAGAACTCATTTGGGAGTAAGCCCCTGATAAACCCAATAACTAACCAAACCGTACTCTATATCCACTTTGTAGACGTTGTTCTCTCTTCTAATAGTTCCATAAATACTCGTTAAGTTAGCGTTATGCACTCAATACACACTTGCCAACTACAATAATCACTTATGTCTGATTATTATATAGTATATCTTACTAATACTGGAATTTTCGGGATGTTCCCCATAGGTATTTGGTGATAAGGATGCGGATGGCTTCTACTGGGGCGAACTGCGTGGTCGCCGTGGCTATGTGCCGCACAACATGGTCTCCGAGGTGGAGGACACCACTGCCTCGATGACGGCCGGTGGCCAGATGCCCGGTCAAATGGGCCAAGGTCAAGGTCAAGTGGGCGTCGGCGTAGGCGGCACTGCCCAGGTGATGCCCGGCCAGGGAGCTCCGCAGCAAAGTATGCGCAATGTCAGTCGCGATCGGTGGGGCGACATCTATGCCAATATGCCGGTGAAGCGGATGATCGCGCTCTACGACTACGATCCCCAGGAGTTGAGTCCCAATGTGGATGCCGAGGTGAGTTCTACTAAATTTCAGATATGTTTTGTTATATTTTGAATTGCCCTCTTAAGCGGCGGGAAAGTCAGGCGGGCAGTGGTCTAATGGGTGGTCTACTGGGCAACTTACTGCCAGGTTTTAGTCAACATGTCTTGGCCCCCAAGGCGAATGAAGTGAGTCGAGGGCCATTATCCAAAATCAAGGAACTAAGCTCTTAATTATGGCTAGAAGACATTTAAATTAGAACATTAGTATATACTAAAAATAAGATCATCTGTAAAATCGTATTTGGGCTTTCTTAAACTTAAAACCGTCTAAGTAGTTCATATTATTTTAATCGTAATTAAATTTATAATTCAAAGTTTGAAGAAATTTTAAAATTGGACCATTAATTAACAAGTTATGAGGAAATAAAGTAATGCCCGCTTGGTTGATAGCGTGCAAGCAGTGCAAGCAGTTGCTTGTATATCTCCATCTTCCTCGCACTTCCGTTACTTTAGTAACGGGTATCTGATAGTCGAGGTTCTGGACTATATCGTTTTTCTTATTTTCGTAGTAATTAAACCTACAACTCAAAGCTTAAGGAAATTAACCATTTAAAGCTATTTTCGATTGATATTCTAGTACACTGGTTAGGCTTAATTAAGCAATTATTAAATTAATAATTAAAAATGGATAATATTCAATATTAATTTCCCTTACTTCCATATCCACTTACAGCAGGTGGAATTGTGTTTCAAGACGGGCGAAATCATACTCGTTTACGGTGATATGGATGAAGACGGTTTCTACATGGGCGAGCTGGACGGCGTGAGGGGCCTGGTGCCGTCGAACTTCCTGGCGGACGCGCCCGACCAGTACAACAACCAGATGGGGCCGGGCGGAGTGGCCGGCAGAGGCGGGCTGAGCCAGAGGGGCAGGGGTCAGGGGCCAGGAGCGAGGGGTCCGCCGCCCCCGCCACGCGACAACATGATGCCCGGAATGGGCGGGCGCGGCCAGCCGGGCAAAAGTAAGTAGGCTTTGTGCAGATCACTCAGATCGAGATGCCAAAATGGACTTTCGCCTTTTCCGTTTACATTTACTCTTTCGTTTCTTTTGCGTTCCATTTGAATACGAATTAACCAGTGATCGATTGATACTGAAAACCGATTCGAACAACTATTACATATATATTACGGGCTTATAAACAGTTTCTTTTTAACGTTTTCGGTTTAACTTTTCGGTTGATTCGTTTTCAAAAAATTAAAAAAAAATAAAAAAAAAAAATCTGAAAGCCAATACTACAAAATAATACAAAACATGTACTTTAATCTCGAAAGCACTTTATAAGATGAATAACTATGCAGGTTCTTCCAGACTACATAAACAATTCCACCAGCGGGATAATATATACTATATACTACTATAGCAATCCATTTCTGTTCCGAAACCCCCCAAATGTTTTTCGTTTTCGTTTTCAGTTCTCCCCCCAAAAAAACGATATATATTACAAATCAGCGAACACAGAGAATATTTTCACTCCTTCTCTCTTCCTGTCTTAACTCTCTATCGCAAAAATTTCAAGTGATACAAAACAGTTACAAGTTGAATACAATTTCTGATTTTGAACGCCGCTAATTTGATTTCCATTACGATTCCGAGCGAACTTTTGTACAACTCTTTTCTCCCGATTTTTTTTCTTACTGTTTAATATTAAATGCGATTTTTGTTGATGTACAAATTAAATAATTTCCAGCACCAATCAGTTCGATATTTCCAACTTTTATATATATACCTATATAAATATTTCCTTCTTGTTTTGTACGATTTTCGTTTGGACTCCAATGATATAATTCTAATCCAATAAAAATATACAATAGATAGTTGTTGTTCTTGTTGTTGTACACACACAATATAACATAATATTTCCCAGGCATTGTAGCATCACCATTCGATCAATCATGTAATCATCCTGAAATCAGAAATTCTGATTAATCCATTAAATCATGCTCATTTCCCAAATCGCCTTTATAACCTCTGTACATAACTCTTTCACTTAGCTTTCTTTAACTTGTCTGTACCAACTCTTTTTGATTTTACTATCCTTTCTTCTTTCTGGTAACCTGTCTCTCCTTGTCTTGCGTGCCATTTTCTAGACGTGTAAAATTCTAGATGGTCTCTTGCATGTTACTCAACTAAAGTATCTTTGAAAACAAAAAAACAGTTTGGTTTTCATTTTGGTTGACTTGTTTTGATTTGGTTTTTAGCGAAGCAATTGTTTGCCTTAACGATACGAATTACTTGCACCTGATTGCCGAATGAATTGATATTGATTGCCTAGTTGATCACCACCGAGCCATAGATCACCAAGTCTGAACCTCTGAATGTGCCTTGTACAAAAAAAAATGCAAGAAAAGAAGATGAAGTAATGCTAATGTGAAAAGTCACCCAGAACGCCTTGATGATGGAGACGGAGCCAGAGATTAGTTGGTGGACAGATCCTAGGGAACTACGAGTACAGCAGTATGGTCCCTAAGCCCCGGAATTCCGAACCACCCCAAATAAATAATAGACCCCCCAAACCCACCCCCAAAATAACGTTAAACGAGTACGAGTATCTGCTTTTCGAATCAAATATTTCTTTTAGCGTTGTTTCCTCTCGTTGATTTTTGGATACTTTTCTGTTCCTTTTTTCGTTGACTTCTTTCCTTTTCTGGTTTTCTGAATGTTGGTCTTGTTTGTTTGCCAATTAGCTTCTTCGATATATATTTGATATTTGTTAATTTCTGTTCAAAAATATAACAACAAAAACAACAACAGCATCAGCAAGGGCTCCAAGCACCAAAAATCAAAATCCAAATCCAAAAAATATAGCTTATATAATTCTCAAATAAATACGAGCAGTATTTTTCTGTATCTAATGTACATTTTATATTGTAAAATACTTGACTTAAATTTTAATAACTACTTATATTTCCATATAACTTATATACAATGCCATATGTACTAAGCCGATAAAGTGCCCGTCCAAATGCTACATACATATAATTTATATCTTATCTAAAATATCCTGTAAACTGCATACGAAAAAGCTTGTGCAAATGCAACCAAAGAAACGAAATCATCTGAACATAATTCAGAGACCCCGGGAAGATCCCAATCGGGGTATTCGAATAGGGCTATATTTCGTTAGCCAAAGCGAAGAAGGTAATATTTAATACAATTCTAATCTACTTACGTCTGGACCAATAATAACCACAATCAAATCAAAAATGCAATCATTTAACTAAACTCTTTCTGTCTTTTATCACATTTTACTAATCCGATCTTTGATCTTTGACCCTTTGGCGCCTCTTTCTCTCGTTTCAATTATGTCTTTGCGCAACCAAAAAAAAAATTCAAACATAACATTTTCGAAAAGCCCGTATTATATTTGGAAGTACAGTGAGACCCTTGGTTTTTCTTTAACCCCTTCATTTTGAGTTGTCCATTGATTTGTTCGTGAACTGCGGTGAATTATATAGAACAACGATTTGATTTGATTAACCCCACCCGCGCGGAGACGAGTAAATATATATATATGTATCCAATCCAATTCAATCCAATCTTTCCAACCAACCAACATTAATCACAGTTTCTGAACAGGCAGCTTTCTCCGAACTATCTGCAAAATGTGCGCGAATAAATTCAATACTTCGATTGGTTTTTCATTTCTTTTTCGAAAGCCTTAGTTTAACTTTTTTTAAGTTTCGATTACAATATTTTCCGTTTTGACTACTACAACTTCTTTCAAATAATTTTTTGTAATGGTCTGCTGTGGTAAATGTGAAGTCTTTATGTTATATTCGTTGCTATAGATGCTCGCCCTGCTTCCCCTACACTGTTAGACAACACGGGCCATCCTGCCCCCGATCACCAAACGCAGGTAAATACTCTTTCTCTTTTGTTTCCTTTTGTTTTGATATATCGAACGTATGAAAAGAACGAAAAAAGATATACAATATTTTCAGTTGTTTGTTTGTGAAAATAAATGCTAAAGCTAATCTAAAGAAAAGAGTTAAGAATACGCCAAATGTAACCACAACTGTTCACCTAATACCTCAAAAACTAAAAACTAAACCTACTACCATATTATTATTGCTACAAAACAGTTACAAACTACTACTACAACAACAGTTACCTATCCCTATATGCCACCTGTACCTTTACCTATGTATAACTTCACTTGCTATCTCTGTCACTCATTACTGTCACTTTTCGGTTCCGATTCTCGGCCAAGCCAAACAGTTAAAAAAACAAAATAACCCATTAGAAAGAAACCGGAAACGGAAGCAACGTATTATCCCGACACTCAGACAGAAGAGGAACACGCCATCTCTCTCCTACGACATACTGCTATCGCTTTCTCGCACACACGCCAGCTGTGTCGTGCGGTCTCTTTCTCACTCTCTCTCTCTCGATCGTCCATTGTTCCGTCCTCTTTTCTCTATCTCTCTCTATGTCTATAGCTTACTTCCTATCTCACCATGTCTATATATGTAACTCATTCCAAACCCGATTCAAACGCTTACAGTACAGTACTTGAACATGCCAATTAACGATATCAATCAACCGATTTATATATACCTATATATATATATATCTATAGTACATATGTATAGCTAGCAACATGTTTATCTTGTAGTTAACATCCAAAGACAAAACAGCGACATTATAAATACAAACATTTAAACCAAAAACAGCAAGAGGCTCGTCCGTGTAAAGATATATATCCCAAGATCGTTGAGCACTTCATGTTGGTGTAATATACTGCAGAAAATAGCTCATCAACCGATCGCATCGTATGTGTGTATAGTCTGTATATAAAATATTGCAAGGATCTTGAAAAAATATCAGCAACGATTTCCACAGCAACAATCATTTACATCGATTTCTCCTAAGTTTGTTACTCACTTGATTTCCATACATTTTATATATCATTTTTTCTAACTGTTTCACTGCTTTTTATTTTTGTTGATACGATTTTAGTTACTTTCCAATTTTACTCAGCTTACAGACTTCCTAAACTTTTTAGCTCGATCTAAGCTAATAGAAGGGTAAAAATACTAAAATATTTCTATAAAAAAAACTATCTATATAATATCAGATAAACCAGCTTTATAATATCCAAGTTACTTCTTCTGATGCTAAATATTATTGCTTCTAAATTAGCTTGGAGAGCAAACAAAAACGAATTCCGGAAAATGAGATAAAAACTGACCAAATGTGTACAAATCTATTCACACAGTAGCCGAAACTCCTTATCTTAGAATCGCCAAATACCAGATACAAAATACACACTCAAGTAAACGTATTGCTGATAAGACGCGATACATACTACCCATAAATATATATATATATATATCTATATATGAATACATTTTTGTTTTCTTACTGGTATACGCTACTAATTATATTAATTAATTGCTACTACTACTATATGGAATATTGGATGTAATGTGTACAAATTTCTATGTGATTCACTGTATGTGTAATTCCTTGAGTTTTTCGTTTCGTCAGCTTTTCGGTTTTTATCCCCGCCTCAGTTTTAACCCAAACTGTATTTGATTTCTATCGACATTTCCCTCATATGATTTCCTCTGGCTCACCTTTCGCCCTGTATGATTTCCTCAATAGATTTGCATTTAGCTTTTACTTTAAACAATGATCAAACAAATGGCAAAACAAATGAATTTAATTTTGTTTGTTTGGCTCATCGACACGAACTCATTTCGGATGATAAGTATTATTTATGATTTCACTGATTGCCTAGACACGTTCACAAAACCAAACTGAACACAACCTTCGACATTTCATCAAGGTAGTGTAAATAAAACTAGAGCCTTAGAACAACGTTTAGAAGTCCGGTCCAAAAGAGTCGCGAGTCCTCCCGCACTGTCTGAAAAATACAAATTTTTGTTCAGAATGCGTATCTTTTTGAAATCCCTTATTTTTGCCATGCTAATTTCCTGTTTCTCCTTTGGCCCTAGGCCCGTTTTCGTTTTTCAGTTGACAAAATAATTGAGAAACGTTGCTAGTTCTACATATATTTTGTTCGTTTCGTTCCAAACCAAAAAGGATGTGTATAAAGTTTAAACTATAAATGATCAAATCACGTAATGCTACTGTTACTCGTTTTAATTGAGACCTTGAAGATCAAGGCTCCCGATTTCTTCGCTCCCTGAAAGAGAGTCGAAGGATATTGCGGAGCTCATTGATTGAGTCCAGGCTGAGCACTGTGTTTCATCTAGCGAGGATTCGGTTTTTGACTAGCCTTTCTCTTTTTCGTAGTTAAACGAACGTAGCTGCCATTACCACTAAGTACTAACACAACCAAATCCATCGACAAATGCTCGAGGACCTCGCTAAACTAACCAACTACCCCGGCTAACGAAACATTCTTGAGAGAGCATTGAAAAATCCATGAAAATATTAAGAAAACCCCCTCATAACTATACGTACCATATATATACTTAACAAACTAGTTTGCCATTCGTTTCTAATGCGATCGCTGCCTGATTGGAAGTCCCACTAACATTCATTTTGTGGTCCTTGGACCAACCAACACCTTGCAGGGGATGATCGGTCGCGTTGGTAATGTCGGCCTGCAGCAGCAACAGCAGCAGCAGCAGCAGCAACTCCAACAGCAGCAGCAATATGGTCAGCAGCAGCAGCAGCAGCAGCAGCAACAGCAGCAAATGGGACAACCTGGAATGATGGGTCAGCAGCAGCAGCAGCCGACGATGGGTCAGCAGATGGGACAGATGGGTCAAATGGGACAGATGGGTCAGCAGATGGGTCAGCAGCAGATGGGTCAGCAGCAGCCGCCGGTGACGACACAGGCCCCAACGGGCGGACTCTTCTCCGGCGCAACTAGCCTGCTCTCTGGTGCTACGTCGGCTGCCACCGGTGGTCTATTTGGGTCGAAGCAACCGCCCAAGACGGATCCAATGCAACCACAAGGTGGTGTGCAGCCAGTGCAGCAACAAGCAAACGCCTTCGGTGCCCAGCAGCCGGGAATGCAGGGAGTGCAGGGAATGCAGGGGGTGGGGATGCAGCAGCAGCAGGGGATGCAGCAGCCCGGAATGCAGCAGCAACCCGGCATGCAACCCGGCATGCAACCCGGAATGCAACAGCAGCAACAACAAGTGCCACCGCAAGCCCAGGCTCCGCCTCAAGGACCGGGCGCCGGTCTGCTCGGCGGGCTCAAGGGCATCGCTGCGGCGGCGCCCGGCGGCGATGTCCTATCGAAAGGCAAAGATCTATTCGGAAAATTCGGGTTCGGCTTTGGCAAATAACCCCGGTCATTCTATAGGGTCCTGTTATATTATTCGTAGATTAGACTTATTATTACTATTATGATTATGATTATTGCTATTGATTACGATTACTAAGCTAATATATATATAAAAAACCAGAAACCAAAAAAAAACACAGATGACAGACAAACCAAGAAATGCTAAAGTTAAAAAAAGGAAAGCCCATTTTGAAACCCGGTCCGCTGTGTTGTTGTTGTTGTTGAATATGATATGATATGATATGACTAATAGTACTAATGGTAATATTTTTTATTAATTAAATTGATAGAAATATTATGAGTGACCGACACAACAGCAGCAGCAACGGCCTCACAGTTGGAACCGAGAGAAAAGCCCAGATAAATTGTTGTAAAATTATTTAACAAATTGCCTGCCGGTTTAGGTGACTGCAACTCGATAAAGACAAAGATTCCACTAACACTAGCCCCATTAACAAAAAAAAAGGATAAAGCTCTATAATACCAGACTCACACATACAGACACATAGATACTGAACACACACATATATTATACAAGAATACAAATACAAAATACAAGTAAGGGAGGAGAAATATATTATATACATACATTATATTTACAATTATTTGTTAACGCACATTGTTAAATTTGCTACTGTTGCTGACCAGTTTATAAATAAAAACCAAAAATGAAGGAGAAAAGAAGGAGGAAAGAGAAGAGAAGATAAAGCAAACACATAAGGTAAACTAAACCAAACATAAACATACATATATTATATGTATATATTTAAAGTATATTGAAAACTAAATTGAGATACACTAAAATTACATTTATAAATCAAAAAAACACAACCGAATGTTGAGCAATGTCAGACAGGCGGATGAAAGATACATACATTAAAGTAAATAAATAAATCGATATGGTACATATTTACATATATTCGCATATACTAAATACGATTTCGCATTCAAGCCAACCTCCAATCGGGCGCATTTCCAAGACAAGGCGACCTTGACTTCCAGTCCAGCACAAGAAGATATGACATTCTAAATCCCAAAACCACCATCCCAGCCCCCTTCTTTCCAATCCAGTGATAATCGAAGCCAAATCTGAAGAGCCCCCATCCCAAAAAACAACCCATCCTTCGACTGCTCGACTCAAGAACTTCTATTCTACGCCCCACTTTTTCAGTGTTTGATGTCCATAGAAGCCATATGCGATAAATATCAGTGTAACTTAAAGCAAACCAAAGACCAAGAGAGATCTACTCCTACATACATATAATGGGATTCCCAAATGGCAAATACAAAATATAATGTACTAAGCACAAGATAAAAGATCGTAGCATTAGACGACCCAGGAGACATGTTCACTAAATTCAAAGCAAGGAGACGTTTTTCACACCTTCTCTAGCAACTTAAGCCGCCCCCTGCTATCTACTTCCTATCGCTGTCCAAAGACACCCTACCCAACTATCTTTCGATCGTTATTTTAATACTACCAATTACCAACTATCAATTACCAATTACCAACTACCAATTACCGATAGTTATACGCCGCATACGACTACTTCTGTTCCTCGCTCTCTCTCTCGGGGAACTTTGCTTTTATCTCTGGTTATCTCCGGTTTTGAGAACGGAACAGAAGCAAAACAGTCAAGTGTTTCCTAATGTTTGAAAATTGCTTTCACTCAGCCCTCAGAAAAAAAAAACAAAAAACACTCAGCATACACAAAAACAAATACATCGCGTACCTCTTGCTTTACGAAAATACAAACATTCAAGAAATGGAAAGTATAAAAATAAAATATATTAATGACAAAATTTACCAAACAAATATATTAAACAAGGCATATTTAAAGAGCGCATAGAGTTGCATATGTACATGTGCTTGGCCGGCAAAAACAAGAATAATTGTGAGCGAACGATTACTTTAGACACACACTTACATAGATACACTGCAACAAGAAACCGAACACTGTAAATTGTAAACTGGCAAATAAGTAGACGGGGCAGGGATAGTAGAGATGAGATGAGGTGAACTTACCGAATTCGAAACGAGCGTTAACTTTTCCCACGTAAATGATTTAAATCTTACAATCAAGTCACTGTATTATTCAGCCACATCGGATAGACAATTACAATCTACAAGCCTGACTTCGGCCTCCACCGAAGCCGCAAAGTTCCCGTTTCCGGTTTAGATATATCTCGTTTCCGGTTTACGGGGACAGACCGGAAATACACACAGAAAGCAGACACAGAAACACACTAACACACAACTCTATAATCATTTACTAGACACACACCTATACAAGTATACAACAGTTTATTTCCTCGGAAACAAAGCGAACAATATAGAATAATTGAAATTAAAATCCCATAAAAAAACAAACAAAATAACACACTGGCAAAAACAATGATAATGGCAAAGAGTACTATGCAATATGAAAATGGATAAAAAAGAAAACAAATGAAAACCAACTAAATTGTTATACTGTATTATTATACTTTTTCTATAAATTATAATTTCCTTATTGAACGAGAAAAGCGAAAAAAAATAATAATTAAACAACAATTTCAAAGAAAAAAGAACCGGCATTTCAATTACTTTAATTAGTAGCGGTTTTTCAGATGTGCATTACTCATACGACACGTATGCCCGCGTATCTCTGTATCTGTTCAGCGGCACGAGGCGTTCTTTATGGGCTCTTACGGCAGCTGTTTATCAGAATACTTTCGCCTCGGTTATCTTGATATATTCGTAGAAGAGTACTGTATTTTAATAATGCATATAAGTATTTACAAAGAGTCGCTAACTAAACACCTAAATCTAAAGTAGTTAACTAACTGCGGCCGCTGCTGCTTAATTACGCAATTTGCGTGCGAACGTCAAGCGGCTTAACAGGTGAGGAGATAAATCTTCTGACGTCCGTCGTTCATAACCGGATCAAACAGATATCAACTAGATTACAGTTTGGCCTCCAGCAGAGGTGCTTCCTTTTCCACCTGCAGATGACTCGCCAGCTGGCTGTCCTCCTGGCAGAAGCGCACATTCGCCATCACAGGCAGCATCTGCTGCACTTTCAAGCTCATGTTCTGCAGGATCAGCAGGACATCGTGCGAGCCCATCTCCTTGGCCACCGAAATCAGCATTTCACTGAAGGTGGCATCGAATTGCATGAATCGTGTGCAATCGAGCACGACTGGAAAATCATTCTGATAGAGTCTACAGGCCTGTCTAAGCTCATTCCTCAAAGCATCCACGCCAGTGTAATAAACATCCGACTGGGGCACAATGTGCACATAGTATGTGGATTCATGCTGAAAAGAAATAAATAATTATTCAATAATTTATATAATTTTTTAGGATTTAAAATCATATCTACCTGCTTTAAGGTAACTTCAAATTTGGGATTTCCCAGGCGCAGTAGAATAAACACCATGCTTAAAACGATTCCGAAAAGCAGACCCAACTCCACGCCGGCCACCAAACAGATGATGAAGCTGCCCACCCAGCTGAAGAAGTCCTTTTTGTTCGTCTGCCAAAGCTCTTTCACAGGAGCCAGATCGATCTATTCATAAAAGAATATTAATAAATATTTCTGAAATATATTTATCTTAGAAGTACCCACCATAAAGATAACCGCTGCTATGAGAACAGCGGACAGCGAAGCCTTTGGGATGTACTGGAAGTAGGGTGTAAGGATGCTCAAAGCGGACAGCACTATTAATCCCGTGTAGATGCCAGCCATGGGTGTCCTTACTCCCGAGGCCTGACTCACCGCCGAACGGGTGAAGGCTCCGCAGGTGGGCATGGCACTGAAGAAGGAGCCGGCAATGTTGCAAAGGCCCAAAGTGAGCATCTCCTGCGAGGCATCCAGATTGCCATCCTTAACTAAAAAGGGGGGTAAAAATCAGAACAAAGAGAGGCTAACCAAATATCACTCATACGCACCGAAGGCCTTGGCAATGGCCACATTGGCCAGCACAGCCACAATTGGCACCACCACAATTCCGCTGCCCAGCTCATGCAGAATATCCGTGAACACATAAGTGCGGTTTTGATACTCAAAGGCAAAGGGCGGCAACTTGATCGTGGGCATGGCCGAGGAGACCTTGGCCGAAAGGGCAAAGGGCACCGCCTCAATGGAGCTCTTCTTCACCCAAATGAAAACTATGAGGCCCGTGAAAAAGACGACCAAAGCATTGCGAGATATACTAATGTACCACAGGATCTTCTTTAAGCGGCGAGTGACAGCCGTGTCCTGCTTGAAATTCACTTGTGACAGGAGCTGTGGACGAGGTATAAATATATTAAATACTTTGCTATTGATTTGTTGTCCTTATCATATTAAATGGAAAAAACCAGTCTCTGCCTTATTGTCATGGAATATTAATTATCTAAATTATAATTATGGCTAGCGTTTTTTTTTGCAGCTCAAAGTCTGCTTAGTTTGATTTTAAATGCAAGCGTGACATACGATAATTTGCAAGGGTTAATGATACATATGGGTAAATCAAATAACAATTATATTTTAATGTTATGAAAGAGATTATTAAAATACAGAGAAATACAAATACTGGAATATTTCTCCAGTTTTCAAGTTCAAGAGAACGAAAAAATAAAGAGGAAATGTGCTTGATTTCAGTATTTTTACTTCTAACTTTTTTGAAAACACCTGTACTGTCAACTGAAATCTAGAAGAATCGTTCTTACAAGCGAGAACAGATTTTTCTTGATAAGAGATACATTTCATTAAAATTGTGACCTATTTAATCTTAGAAACGAGAGCGTCTATGCTTGAATCTGGGAATTATTCTTCTTGAAACCGAGAAAACATTTATTAAAAATAACATTTTTCAGGGGAAGAGCTCTCTTTCTTGATTTTATTGAAATAAAACACTAATATCGAGACTGTATGTAAAAATTCTCAATAACTTACCCTCAACAAAAGCAGCACAACCATGCAGGAGACTCCCATGGCGGCGTCCGTGGGCCGAATGTTGGTGAAAAAGTCCACCAGCGAGGGGAATCCCTTGATGCGAACCCCCAACAGGTTCTTGATCTGGGCAAAGACCACAATCACAGCCGTGCCCGAGGTAAAAGCCTTAGTCACCGGAGCAGGAATAAAGCTCACGATGAATCCCAGTTGAAACACACCCATGGCCAGTTCCACCAAACCGGCGAGAAATGCCAGAACAATGACCACCTGCACCGGCTTATCGGCGCAAAATTGAAGCGTGAGTATGGCCATCAGGCTGGTGGGTCCAATGGAAACCTGCGGTATCGTTCCGAAGAACACATAGATAATGGATCCTATGAACGCGGAGTACAATCCATATTCCGAGGAAAGTCCTGCCAAAGCGGCATAGGCGATGCTCTGCGGAATGATGGTCAGACCCAAGGTGATTCCAGCTATCAAGTCAGCGAAGGCCTGTTCCCGATCGTAGCTGGTGATCCAGCTGAGGAAGAAGATGCGCCGCACCAGCCAGTGGGCCTCCTTGGGCTTCGAATACTTGCTGGCCACATCTAAGTCAACAGTGTGAACCTGGCCGTAATACTCATCGCCATTCTGAGCCGTGTATTTCTCCTTCTCCTCGCAGTTGGCTGAAATCGGGGGATAAAAGGGTTTTTTAAGAGGGGTTTTTAAGAAGGAAAGAAGTCCAAATTCCTACGATCGTAAATGGTGGAAACTGTGGTGGCTTTGCTAGTAGCTTCTCCATTTCTGCGATTACGATTCCCACTACTGTTTTTGGGCCACAACCCGAACGTGTGCTTTCGCGGCCAACGCATTGTGTACTGATTTCTCAGTTTCTGTTTTTCAGTTTCGCCAATGGTTTCGCCAGGTACAATCGCTCGGCCAGCCGAAATTGTTTGATTTTGTCAGGGGGATTTTTAGCATTTTAATAATAAATAAAAAACGAACCCAGTCCGGCTTGTCCGCTGGCTTCCCGAGCGATCCAAACGAACAGCGCAAAACTTTAATTGTGTGAAATCGTAATTAAGCACATATGTTTGCGTACTCTCGCTCTGAGTCTGAGTTCCCGTTCCCGGTAATTTGTATAAATAACTGAGATTCTTAACCGATATTCAGAGGGCTCAATTGGAGAGTCGGTACGTTTATATACCACTTAATTGTACAGCTCTATATGTATGGGCGGCGAACTTGAAAACCCGTTTATATCTTCCTCAATCGCTCTTTATGTAAATCGCATTTAAAATCAATTTTTTACCCAGTTTTTTTTAATAGGTAAACAAAGCGAAACCCGTATGGAGCCAAAATAATATAGGTGATCAAGGGTTATTATTAAAATTCACGGGAAGTAAATGAAAAAATTAGCACATTGAGTGCTACTCATATGGAAAAAAACCCGTATGGTAGCAAGTGCGTACCGACTCCAAAGGGTGACTAATAGTCATCATCTCTCTGTCTACAGATCTTAATTAATAGTGCAAGCCATTGATCATAGGTGTTACCTTTCACATGAATTGGTTAAAAACAAGAAAGGAAGCTAGCTTCGGCCAGCCGAAGCTTATATACCCTTGCAGATCATTCCTATTAATTAACAAATCGCAAAAATGTTCAATTTTCTAATATTTCTCATTAATTTTCCGATCGTTCCTATGGCAGTTATATGATATAGTCGTCCGATTTTGATTAAATTAAAATTGAAATTCGGAAATATTTAAAAAGAGTCATATCCTAGAGTAGAAGACAATACAATAAAAACCAAAGAAGCTAGAATTTATTTCCTATTACTTTTCCATTAATTTTCCGATCGTTCCTATGGCAGCTATATGATATAGTAGTCCGATTTTTTAAATTATTAATTCGAAATTCAGAAATATTTAAAAAATAACATCCCCAAAAGTAGAAGGTAATATTTCAAAAAACACCGAAGCTAGAATTTTTTAAAGTTTTTTTTTCCGATTGTTCCTATGGGAGCTATAAGATATAGTTGTCCGATCCGGTCGGCTCCGACATATATACTACCTGCAATAGAAAGAAGACTTTTGGGAAAGTTTCATCCCGATAGCTCAAAAACTGAGAGACTAGTTTGCGTAGAAACAGACAGACGGACAGACGGACAGACGGACAGACGGACAGATGGACAGACGGACAGACGGACAGACGGACAGACGGACATGGCTAGATCGACTCGTCTAGTGATGCTGATCAAGAATATATATACTTTATGGGGTCGGAAACGCCTCCTTCACTGCGTTGCAAACTTCTGACTGAAATCATAATACCCTCTGCAAGGGTATAAAAATCTGTGAAAATCTATTTCTTACGTATGAAAGTTATTGTCGTCTACGACAATATTGTTATAGCAATGTTAATAATAGATTTGCCATGTCTAGAAAAGGTATTATTTTACATAAATTGTTTAACAAAATCTGTAAAAATGTATTGCGTTTGAAAGTTATTGTAGGTAAAGTACCTAATTATATTTTTTTCCTTATTTGGTAAACTTTAAGATTTTCTCTAAGTGAAGTAATTCCTTTTTTTAGTTCTTTTAATTTAGCTTGGTTATTTTATAGGTTTATTTAAATACAATCTGGTTATACTATAAACCTTCCAAATTAAACCGCAATATAGTTAAATAATTACTTAATTTTGTTTTGTCAGCAAATGTTAATATTTGTGGATGACGGTTGGCAAGTTAAATATTTTTTATACACGGGTGTTATCGGTCATGATGGGCGAAAACAAAAACCCAAAATGAATGCTAATTTGTAACATCAGGCCAAAATTTTTAACAACTTGCTTCGACAAAATGTATCTCCAGCTGTTGCTTGCTGCTAATTAATGCGGGAGATCGGCGGGTGGCATATATGGCGGTTGTAAAATTGGCCAAGTAGTGTAAATGGAACGGTTATAAAATGATCACGAGATCATGGCAATAGTGAATCACAGATGAAAGAATTTCAGCTAAAATCAAAGGTTAATTCCACTCGATATGTCCTTTTTTATAATCCCAATTCGCTCTTTGTAATTCCACTTAACACATCATCTTTAAAACCGTACGTTTGTATTCTTTAACTGAAGTATTATCCTTACCATCGAAGGATAACTTCTTGACGATCGACATTATTAATCGCGTATCCGCATAAGATTTGAATTTATATATCAGAAGGATATAATAATTATCCTTTTCCACTTGAGTGAACCAAGTGCACCGCTTCGCAATCTAATGAAAACTGCCGAATAAGCGAATTTTTGAATGATAAATAAGTGGGCGAGGGCACTGGATTTTTCTGATAAACACGAAAAATGAAAAGAGTCAAGATGGAAACGGCGACAAACAGTCCGCTTTTATTTTCAGCTCGAGATCAGCACAACAATGGCATACTTAACGCCCATTCGGCAGGCGGATGGGCGAGCAAACATTGCGGAGGGTTGGGTTGGGATGGGATGGGAATATATAACTGGAAATGTCAACGGCACCGGTGGCAGAAACTACCGCGATATCGCTGTCATGTCTCCCCAAGTGAACCAAGTGCGCAGTGGGGGAGGCACTCGGAATCTGGAATCGTGTGGACTCCAAGTAATTTTCCACCTTTGGCTGTTTGGCTGTCGGTCTGCCGGTCAAGTGGCATTCCACGCACCTGGGTCGATAAATGAAGGATAAATATTTGGATTTAGACTTGACAGATCAAACCATCATAAATAAATTACCCAAATATCTTTATCAACATTATCATAAACTGTAACACCTTGTGACAGTCGTTCTAAAAGGGTTCGTTTCTAATATATTAATATATTATGAAGTTTTAAACAGATTTTATAATTTGAAATATTAGTAACAAAGTAGTAATCCTACTTTAATTATTACGTCAACCATTATAAGATCATTTTTATCATTTTGTATACATTTTTTCCAAGTGGCTGACTAGAAGCCTATAATTATATCTCCATCTCGGAATTCCGGTAGGTGTTAACTATTCCATCAGGCGTTACAAAGACCCGGCGTGTGGGCCTGACAGATTAACGGCTGCTGTATATGGCCGACCCTGCTGCTGTTGGGTTGTAAACGAGAGATAATATAGTTAGTATATCTGATACGGTGCTGCTCCCGTACAATTACCTTATAAAAGAGTGGATTTACGGCTGACTTTGAAATGATTAAGGTGGCAGCAGATCGGCTTTCTCGGAAAAAAAGGAGTTCCTGGGGACACCAAGGTCGTTGGGTGTCTGGTGGCGTTTATCTGGACACCGGGTAAATATGCGGATGTTTTTCCCACAGCGGCGTCTCGCAAGATAGCGAGGGTTATTAATAGGTTCGCCCATATTTGTGAACTAGATTTGGAGTAAATATTTGGCCAATAGCTCGCAGGTTAATAACAAACCAAAATGCGTCATCTAGTCGAGTGTTCAAATTTCGCGCCCATCTAACGATTTCACCAACACTGTTTTCAGTGTTTAATAGCGAGCGAACTATCGATACCCCATCACTGGCCAGAAATCGAATAGCCCCGCGATAACCATTCGATACCGAACTCTGTGGTTGCACACACGCACCCCTGTTTAATTGAAGTTAAATAAATTAACTAAATAGTTGTTTGACCGAAACTAAATTCACCGTTAACCACCCCCGTCGCCGCGCAGTTCGTCGGCCCGTTCGCAGCACCCCCGCGCCACACCACTTTCCCCCCGCCCTGCCAAAAACAAATACGCCGTCGAGCGCTAGGGATGTGCAAAAAAAGTATCGACAGCGGATAGGCAACGTCAAGCAACCTTGCTCGTTATCGCTACAGTACGCAGGGAAAAAATAAAATTAGCAACAAAAGCATATTTAGCAGCCGAGTAACAGTGCTAAACGCTGCCGAAAAAGCATATTTTGGCCGCGCCACGCCCCGCCCGCCCATTCGCGATCGTTTCGGTAAATCATCGGGGGGAAAATCGCAGAAGCGAAAATACAAAATATTCCCCAGACCAGGCAGCAAATTAGCAGGGAAAGGGAAACGGAACGAACGGAACAACAGAGAAGAGAGAAGAAAGAAAACTCCTGGTTACTCCACTGATTACTGGTTACCGCTCCTGGCCTCCTGGCAATCGGAAATCGCCCATCGGCACACATCCACATCCCGATCCAATCGACGTTATTATGAACAACAATAGCAAGCGGAAAACCCGACCCACTGGCGGTGGTGGCGGAGGAGCTAGCGGCGGCATCGCCAGGTAAGAAGAAGAAGCACCAGCTGCACTGGCGAAAAAGAGACAGGGGCGCCGAAGGGGGCACACAAAGCGGGCAGGGGGTGGCGGCACAAACGCACACCACTGCATTTGGGGCTGGTTTGCTTATGCTCTTGCTTTTGCTTTCTGCTTTTTGCTTTTTGCCGTCGCAGTTTGCAGTTCGCCGTTGCCGTTGCCCTGACAAATTGAAAACCCGCGACAACCAAAAGCGCCACAAAGAGCTCTTTTCTCTCCCGGTCCGGTTGGCTAAAAAAAAAATAAATAAAAAAAGGTGAAAGCGCGTCTCGTGTCGTTATTTTCTGCTTCTTCTTTTTCCTGCTCAGCTACTTTGACTACTGCAGCCAGCATCTCTGGGAAAACCGAAAACCATTCTTGAATTTTTTTTGGAATTGGAATGCAAATGGCGCTTATATAATAGGCCATCGCGTGTGCGAGTGTGTGTGTGTGTGCTTTCAGCATCGAACTTTTTATGCTTTGTTTACATTTCCCTTTCACAACGACCAAATGTGTGTAGAGAACATAATTTGTTTAAAGGTTTCCGTTTTGTCGCACCAATGAGTCGCATTGCCACCCCCGTAATACAGGGGGCTTCAAACCCCCAACCACCCCCTCCCCTGTTCGCTCGCTGCTGCGCCCTTAAAATTTTCAATTGAAATATGACTGCAGCGCACACATCCACAGCCACACACAGCCACACATCAACATCCACATCCGCATTTGGATACAGTGCGGCGCATAAGTATTGGCACGTTCACGAGTTTTATCTTTATCTCAGCAAAAACAGATTAGCAGAGATGTGATTGAAAAACTCTTATAAAAAAAGAGGTTTTAAAAATATTACAAAATCTCTTTAAAAATCATTTTGGTAACAAACTGGTACTGAAAGGTACCGAATTTTGAAGGAGTTCCGATAAGAAATACACTTTTAATCTATTTTATAACTCTTGAAGATATCAGCCAAATGTAAATTATGAAGAATCATGACTTGATAAAGACCATGACTTATGGCTTTAAAAAACATTCCTTTGTTTAATGCTAAAATAAAATACATTTTAGAAATGAGAAATGTAGGAATTCCCCAAAATTTCTATCTGAGTCAGAATTCATCATAAATCAGTATGGTCACCAGGCAAGAAGTTTGAGTTTGAGAGACATTATCAAAGCAAATATTTAGATTTTTAAAGAATCTACAGTAATCACTAGAAGTACGCACTAAGCACTAAATAAGGTTCTAAGGTTTTTTCTAAATTAAAGAAAACCTGACATTTCTTCAGCACTAAAAGCTTAAACAAATAGATTTCCACAACAATTTGTTGATTTTACCCAAAACTATTTACAAAATGTATCATATAGCCCAAAGACACTGTGGTCTTGCGCCTTATCAGACGACTCTTCCTCGCCGAGTCATACTTATGCCCCAAACTGTTTGAAATGCGCGTTCGTTATTCATTGTGCACCAACACCAAGGCAGGAACAACAACCCAACAACCTCAAGCTTGCGGGCACAGTGGGCAGTGCAGAGTGCACAGAATCGGGCCCACTGTGCGGCCCATGCCCATGGTGATGGACGCACACTCGCTCACGTAGCTCGAAGTGCACTAAATTTTTTACTCTCATCGCTGCTCGCTGCCAGTTGCCTTTTTTCGAATGCATTTTCTTGCATTGTCAGCATTTTGCAGCTCTGCGTTTTTAGTTTTCAGTTGCTGTGACGTGCGGCGGCTGCGCTGAGTTTCGTATCGTTCTTTGGCACACTTCGAACCGAACCCCGAAATCCCCGAGAGCCCCCCGTACCCCTTTGGGGGTCTGAAATTTGGGTCACTTTACAATTTGCTGACCGAACGATATACCCACCTCGCTCTTGTTTTCCGCTCGACGTCTATGCATATTTATTCGCCACTCGGCCATGCACACTTGCATTTTAAGTTTGCCTCCGTCGCAGCCTATTTCCCGGATTCGTTCACCAATCACCTGGTAAAAGCACCACCATATCACTATATCACCACCTCACCATCTCACCTCACGCATGATTCACTCTTGAGCGCAATCAATTATTTGTTTTCATTCACCAAAATGTGCACTGTGCACGCTCCGTGAATCAGCTTCAGCTACTGCTTTCACCCCCTCTCCATTTGGTTCCGCTCCGCCCCTGTCCCTGGCCCGCCCCCTCACCCACACCCACATCCACTGCGGGTTCATTGTGCGTTGCGTTGCGCATTTCACGGTCGTCGATCCTGCTGCCCGCACGCAACCAACGCCAAAAACACCCCGAAAAGCACTGAGGAAAGCGTCCAGGGAATGAGTCGGAATCGCAGTCGGAATCGAGTTGCGACCGGGACAAAGCTGGAAAAAGGGGTTTCATTAGGCTGATTACCTTCGCGGAATGCATATCGCGGGGTTTGCTTAAAACTAAAATATTTTTTTAAACAGTTTTCTATTTAACCTTGAAGATCTTGAGTGGTGGTAAATATAAAATTTTTTTTTTTAATTTTCCTGCCTTTGAAGATGGTAATAGATTCTTTTTTGCTAAAAACTAAAATATTTATACCCTTGCAGAGGGTATTATGATTTCAGTCAGAAGTTTGCAACGCAGTGAAGAAGACGTTTCCGACCCCATAAAGTATATATATTCTTGATCAGCATCACAAGACGAGTCGATCTAGCCATGTCCGTCTGTCCGTCCGTCTGTCCGTCTGTCCGTCTGTCTGTTTCTACGCAAACTAGTCTCTCAGTTTTTGAGCTATCGGGATGAAACTTTCCCAAAAGTCTTCTTTCTATTGCAGGTAGTATATATGTCGGAGCCGACCGGATCGGACAACTATATCTTATAGCTCCCATAGGAACAATCGGAAAAAAAAACTTTAAAAAATTCTAGCTTCGGTGTTTTTTGAAATATTACCTTCTACTTTTGGGGATGTTATTTTTTAAATATATCTGAATTTCGAATTAATTATTTAAAAAATCGGACTACTATATCATATAGCTGCCATAGGAACGATCGGAAAATTAATGGAAAAGTAATAGGAAATAAATTCTAGCTTCTTTGGTTTTTATTGTATTATCTTCTACTCTAGGATATGACTCTTTTTAAATATTTTCGAATTTCAATTTTAATTTGATCAAAATCGGACGACTATATCATATAGCTGCCATAGGAACGATCGGAAAATTAATGAGAAATATTAGAAAATTGAACATTTTTGCGATTTGTTTATTAATAGGAATGATCTGCAAGGGTATATAAGGTTCGGCTGGCCGAAGCTAGCTTCCTTTCTTGTTTTTAAAAAGGTTTTCTATTTAATCTTGAAGATCTTAAGTTCTGGTAAATATATAAACTTTTTTTTAATTTCCCTGCCTTTAAAGATGGTAAAAAACAGTTTTCTTTTTTATCTTGAAGATCTTAGGTTCTGGTCAATAAACATTTTTTTTTTTTAATTTCCCTGCCTTTGAAGAGTGTATAATATTATTTTTATCATTCTTAAAATAAATCTTAAATCTTAAAATAAAATCTTTATAAATGAAAAAAACTATTGAATACTATCCTTAACTGAAATCTCAATTTCTTTTTGCAGTTTTTTGTATAATATTGGTTTTAAATTTGTTATTATACATTATTTAAAACCCAATTTAAATAATTACCCATTATAAAAGCTTCATTTGTGGCACGCAAATCAAGTCATAACTTAATTACTTGAACTTTAACGTGGTGATTCCCCGAAAAGTCTTTGTTTTTAAGTTTAAATGACATCCTAAAGCTGGTACTAATACAAAACTCCGTCTTCAGCAAGGTGATTCCCCGAAAAGTCTTTGTTTGCATAGTCAAATACTATATGTACTAAAAAAAAGATGAGCTAAAATGCACAAACACAAGGCAAACTGACACCACAGGGGTTGGCGGCGGAATGCGGGGTCGGGTCAAAGTTTGCGAACGAATCGATATCGCCTCGCCACCGTGCCTGAATGCCATCGAATTTCCAATTTCAGTCAGTCAGTGTTCGGCGCCCTGCAAGCCGCAACGCTAACGAATAGTTTAACCCGAACTGAACGCTTCACCTTTCCATTTTCGCAGATACAACTCCAACGACAACAGCCTGAGGCCCGCCAACAACAAGGCAGGTGCAGCAGGAGTAGGAGGAGTAGGAGGCGGGAACGGAGCAGCAGGCGGAGCAGTGCGTCCGGTGGCGCAGGGCGTCTACAACAACACGTTTTTCATGCACTCGGCCACGGCGCTGGTGGGCAGCGTGGTGGAGGTGCGCCTGCGGTCGGGCAACATCTACGAGGGCGTATTCCGCACATTCTCGGGCAACTTTGACATCGCACTGGAGCTACCGGCGTGCATTAAGTCCAAGAATCTGCCGGAGGAGGGCAAGGTGCCAAAACACATTATATTCCCGGCCGACACCGTGGTGACCATCGTGGCCAAGGACTTTGACTCGCAATACGCCACCGCTGGAGCTTTTCAGACGGATGGCGCCATCTCTGACAAGTGCAACGGTTAGTTAAAGCTTAAAATCTTAAATCTAATAAACAAATATTAACTAAACTCCCTTTTACAGGTGCGCGTCTGGACGAGAAGGAACTGGAACCGTGGGATTCTGGCGCCAATGGCGACATCGACATAGAACTGGACAGTGCCGCCAACGGCTGGGATCCCAACGAGATGTTCCGCAAGAACGAGAACACCTTCGGTGTGACCTCCACATTCGATGACTCTCTGGCCTCGTACACGGTGCCGCTGGACAAGGGCGACTCGCTGGAGTTCAAGGAGGCCGAGGCCAAGGCCGAGAAGCTGGCCGCCGAGATTGAGAACAATCCGACATGCCGCGACCGTCTCGATTTGGAGAACGGTGACGAGGAGGCGCTCTTTGCGGCCGTAGAGCGTCCGTCGGGCGAGCAGGAGCAGCGCAACGAACGCAACGATCGCGAGAGGGAGCGCGAGGAGCGGGACAGGGACCGCGATCGCGATCGTGGCAACAAGCCACGCGGCGCCCCAGACTTCCAGCTGCGGGAGACCATGAGCAGCGATCGGTACATCACCAAGCAGACGCGCAGCATCACCGGACCGCAGCTATCGCATGTTGGCATGTCCTCGCAGAGCAGCGGCGGCGGCGGCCGAGATCGCGGCGATGGCAGCCTGATGATGCAGGGAGGGCCGGGCCAAGGCGTCGCCACGCAGTCGACGGCAGCTCTGATGCTCGCCGGCGGCCTGAAGGGCGCTGGTCCGACCCCCTCGGCCAACGCGGCCGCGGACACGTCCAGCAAGTATGGCGGTGGTTCGATGGTGAAGCGCAAGACGGTGCCCCAAAGCGGCAAGGTGATGCGCAACAATGTGCCCACGGGCGGCGGCGGTGGCGGCAGCAACGTTTCCGTGTCGCAGGGCGGCAACGGAGGAAGCTCTGTGGGTCAGAGCAAGGGCGGCTACCAGCCCTCGATGGGCATGCCGAGTCAGTACTCCTACCAGGGTAACTCGCAGATAATGCACGGGTGAGTTGGCCTATTCAAATTAGAGCCCTGCATGAATGGATTCAATGAATTATTTTGAATTTTTTGTTTTATATGAATGAATTAATTAGAATTTTGAGTTTAATAGAATTGAATTGAATGAATGAATGGCATGAATTCCGAAATAATTCAAAACGGCAATTTCTTTTGAAGAAGAAAGAGCCATCATTTTGTGATTAAATCTGCAGGAATTTTATTTTCTAAGCAGCTAACATTAATTTGTTAAAAATTTTCCACTTTTTGTTTTCAAAAGAAAGCACAAAAAAAAATCTAGCAAATTCAAAAAATTTATAAAAACTATTCATTCATTCATTCAATTCGAAATAAATCAAAAAAACATTCAATTTTTTTTCACATAGAATTGAATTAAACCAATCAGAAATTTCATGGCATACTATGATAAAATAAAAATTGAATGATTCACGCAGGGCTCTCATTTAAAGACTAAGTCTGTCTATCAAATACTAACACTTGGCTCTCCAACAGTTCTTCTCAGTACCGCAACCAATCTCACATGGGTGGCGCCAACAAGCTGAATGGCGATGCGAACGCCAATGCCAACAAGCCGCTGCCCCAGCGCCCGATGCGCCAGTACCAGGGCTCCCAGAGCAATTCGTCGCTCAACTACGGCGGCGGCGAGGCCCAGTCGCTGGGCAAGCCCATGCACGGCTCCCATGGTGGCCATCCGGGGCAGAACAGCAACTCGCCGCCGCTGCAAACGGGCGTGCCCCAGCAGCAGCAGCAGCAACAGCCGCCGCAGCAACAGCAGCAGCAGCACCAGAACATACAGACACAAGGGCAAAACACACAGCCGCCGCGTCAGGTGCGAACGCGCGATAATCAGATGCAGGAGCTGCGGCAATTCGGCCAGGACTTCCAGCTGGCCCCCAACAACACTTCACCGCCACAGCAGCAACCACAGCAGCAGCAGCAGCAAGTGCAGCAGCAACAGCAGCAGCAACAGCGAGCCTTGCAGCAGTCTGCCTCGCCCCCGCAACAGCAGCAGCAGCAGCAACACGTGGTCATGCACCCAGTGCCGCCGACGCACTTGCACCAGGCGGCCCTCTCACAGCCACACTATGTGCCTCAGCAGCAGCCCCAACAGGCGCCGCCTCCCCAGCAGCAACATGTGCCGCTGCACTTGCAACAGAAGGCCCAACAGCAGCAGCAGCAGCAGCAGTTGGTGGAGTCGCAGCATCAGCACGTGGCGAAGCAACAGCAGCCGCCGGTGCAGCTGGTCCAGGATCCATCGCAACAGCCGCTGCCCATTTACCATACAATGCCGCCGCCGCAAACGTCGCCGGTGGTGATAACCTCGCCCGTTCTGATGGAGCAGCCGCCGCCACAGCCCATGGCGGTGGTGGTGCAGCAGCAGCAGCAACAGCAGCCGCAGCAGCTGGCCACTCCCAAGCCGGAAGTGTCGCCGGCAGCGAGCAGCAGCACCACCACGCCCACTGGCATAGCCAGTACGCCCACCACAGGGGTGATTGTTAGCGCTGGATCCGATAAGTCCACTCCGGCAGCCCCCAGTGCGACGAGCAGCTCCACGACGGTGAGCGCTAGCGCAATCGCTGCTGCTGGCGGTGCCAGCGGAACCACGCCGGTGGTCAAGAAGCCACATGTGCTCAACCCGTCTGCCAAGCCGTTCACGCCCCGCGGCCCAAGCACCCCGAATCCATCACGCCCCCACACCCCACAGACGCCGGTGCCCATGACGAACATCTACACAACCACGGGCGGACATGTGCCGGCGCCGCCGACCAACCAGCAGATCTACGTGGTGCAGCCACAGCACCCGTTCCCGCCTCAAACACACCCGCAGGCCGGACAGCCACCGCGCCTACGCCGTGGTAACTACCGTGAGTACAAAATAGCCCATTTTATGATCAATTTTAAATGGGATAAATATTTTATATTACCTGTACACTTAAGGTATATTTATGATTTGAAATAACTGTGATGTTGCTACCAGCTTTATTCGATTTTTTCCGCCAATTAATATTTTTAAATACTCAGGCTTTATAACATTTTATTAGAAAAGAAACAAGAATCATAACAACTCCAAACAATTATTATTACAATGAAATTAAATTAAATACTGTGTTAAATAGGACTATAATTACTCAGTAATTATCCTAATCTGTTTGCTAGTTATGAAATATTTAAGGTATCGATTCCATAATCTTTGCATAAATGAGTTTAAATACATAGAATACTTTTAGCTTCTAATTAGACATCGGATTGTAGGTAAAATCTTGTTGGTAACATCCAATTCCTGTGATACTTTATTGACTACATATTTTATTGAAAAGTCAAATTAATTGTAACCTTAACAAAAATTAATTTCTAAATTTTATCGCCATTAAATCGGCCTACTTTTGGAAATAGAAAAAAATTGTTTGTTATTAGAAAGTTTGCCTTTGAATATAGAAAACCTTTCTAGATGAAGGTTTTTTTTTTGCAGTCATAATCCCCTTTCTAAGACATTGTTTGCAATATGTATATCCTGCAGCTATCCATTTTTTCAAAAGATAAATTAATGTTAATCTTAAAACCATTATGGTTTTTTAAGACTTATTTCTTATTTATTATACCAGCACTAGCGTTATTTATACATATGTAGTTATAATATCCTTTTAAGAATATTTCTTTGCAATATGTGCTAATAATGTTATATGACATCCTGCAGCTCCAATGGCCGCATCTCAGATGCATGTTTCGGCCTCAGCGGCCACGGGCCAGCCGCTGATCACCGCCGGACCCATACAGCAGTTCATCCAGTACGGCCATGCACCGCACCAGCAACAATTCCAATCGCATGCGTACGCGCCGATGCAGATGCGCGTGTACCAGGACCAGCCGCAGCAGCTGCAGTTCATGGCGCAGGCGCCGCAGTCGACCACACCGTCGCCGGGGCAGCCGCACCAGCAGTTCCATCCGCCGCCACAGCCCTCCCCCGCCGGCGGGGGACCCCAGCCGGCGTACACGCCGCCCACGCAGGCGCCCACTTACCAGCTGATGTGCTTGCACCCCCAGTCGCTCATAGCCAATCCCTACTTCCCGCCGCCGACGCCGCAGCATCCGCAGCAGAATCAACAGCAGTATCAGATCGTGATGCAGCAGCATCAGCCGCAGTGAGAGAACGCCAGCTGGGAAGGGGCAATGGCGCACGGGAAGGTGGCGAGCTGGAAGGCTGCTGAAGGAAGGGGGGGAGACGGAGGCTCCTCCTCCTTGTTAATGTCGCCGTAGCGAGTGGGAGCTGGGCAGCCACGGGCAGCCGTCATCAAGCAACAGTTACACATAACACAGACACAACACACAACATGAAGCACTCACCACACCCGCATCCGCATTCCCATCCGCACCTGCATCAAGCATCAGAGTCCGCAACCGCATCCGCATCAACCTTGATTTTCGCCAAGCGATTTTCGCCCCCACAATTCACACACATCCAACCACAACATCCTTATGCCATGTGCACGAGCGGCTCATCCTGTAGCACATCTCTCACAGACCGAAAAAACACCAACAACAACAACAACTAGGAAATTATAAAATACAATTAAAACAAAAGGAAACTAGTAAATTTTTTGAAATTGCAAGACTTCTACAGCGCACGGAAGCCAAAAAAACACAACAACAGCAAATGAAAAAGAAAAAAGCAAACAATCACTGAAAACACCAAACGTATAAGAAAGCAAATGCAAAAAGAAAAATAAGAAGAGAAACAAAACATAAAAATTAGAAAGCTAAAAGCAACTGTCGAATCAATTATTAATACGAGAACATTGAGCGTTTGTAAGGAGCGTTTCCTGCCCCGCACAAAATTCCAAAACTGATTGGCTACCAAATTGATACAATCACATTGTAAACCGAAAAGCAAATGAAGTAGAATCAAAAACTTATGAAGAAGAAAAGCAAAAAGTCGAGTTAAGATAAACATAATTCTTTGATGCACTTTTGCGCTCCCCTCTGCTATCTATAGTTTTATCCGCTTTGGCAATCGACCGGCACACCCCGACAGACCTGCTCCCATCCCCCCGGAAAAAAACCCCCAATACCCAGCCTCGCACGCCCCACACACACACACACGCCCACCCAGCAACACACAAAAACCCCAGAAGCAAAGCGACGACAGCGACAGACATTAAAAACCCAAGTCATCATTCCAAGTTAGTTTTTCCACCGGTGCAAGGAAAGGGCCAAGCTTCATCCAGCGCATTCCGATTGTTGACTTACTTTAGCATATAATGTGAAATCGGTACCGGGAAGAGTTGACCGAAGCTAAAAGCTGGATGAGGACGCTCTTTGCTTGCCCTGCGGGAAATGAAAAACGAATATGAGTTTTTTTTTTAAAGCGCTTTAAATTTATTCTTTACGAAATTCGGTAAAACTAATTAATTTTTGTTTAAATTGAATTTTGTTTTCACTTCTCTCTCCTTCTCGCCTTTGTTACACTTCTTTCGCTAGCATTTACCAGAAATGTTGTGACATCGCTTTAGATTATTGTTTTGATGTTGTTCTCGAACAAATTTCCTTGCTTCCCTTACAAGCTAAAGCTTGTAAGAGCTTCCTTTGGGTTTTAGTGCCTCCGTTGTCCCTAAATTAAAGAGAATTATCGAAAAGCAATCCGTATTACTTCTTTGCCCGTCATGAAATCAGTTTGATTATATTTCGTATGATCTAGAAGCATCTGTTGTGGTCTGTTTTGTTTTGTAAACTTTCAAGTTTCCTTAAATGAAAAAAGAATATAAAAATAACAATTATTATAAATTTAAATAAAAACAAAAACTACAAAAAAAGCAAAAAAACCAAAAAAACATCTAAAACTTTTGTGTATCCTTATTCCGAGGGCATTTTGGGCGTTGACGTCTGGTGGATCTGGTTTTAAAAGTAACTATTAATAAATGGCGCCCAACGTTGAGATTTCTTTACCCAAACTCGTCAAAATGGCTGTGATATGATTGCGAATACATAAGGTCACAAACATTTTAACGACATGGTATAAGAAAGATGCGATACGAACGGTTACGAAATATGATTTTAGTGCCCAGCTGCCGAAATTCGCACGAAACTCATCAAAATGGCTGTGATATGAGTGGATAATAGACAACATTTCACAACCCTTTGAGGAGTTACGTAAGAATTATATGTTGGATCACGAACACTTGTTGGTTTAGCTCTCCACCGTTATCCCTTCATCAACGAACCGGCTTGATATGGTATATTCCCTTTGGGGGGAGGTCACAGGTCACGATTTGCTATCGATGCTCATTGCAATGCCCATCAAAGCTGGCTGTGATACGATTCAAATGCAGAAATATCTTTCTTCAGCCCTTTTTGATGACATTGAAAGTAAGATACGAGCACACACACTATTACGCACCGCGCACACACAGATACGAGAGGGTATTATATCTCAACGAGCTCCGATGTAATTCACGTAACCGGCGACTACGTAAGGCGTTTGGGGCGTAATAACGGCATTTACATGCCGCTAAACGCACGACGTAAAGTAACTGAACGTAAGACATAAGCGGCTTTCCTGTGTGTGTGTGTGTGTGTATATGTGAGTGTGCGTTTGTGAGTGTGGGTAGGTTGTATCCTGTAGTTTTCCCATTTCCGGCCTCTCGTATAATTCGTCTGAGTGGGGCGGTTGCCGAGGGAACTGGAACTGAATTCAACTGAGCCAGAGGATTAAATTAGTCTCAAAGTGTACGCTTGAGTGTGTGTGTGTGTGTGTGTGACTGTATGTGCGCGTGTCCTTTTGCGCGCCTTGCGCAGGCTTATCCTTTCCTTACGTTTCTTCATTTCTTTTTTTTTCTGTATCCTCCTTTGTTCTGTAGGTTAAGTAGCCGAAATTCGTTGCATGTTGCATACATCTAGGCGTCACAATCACAGGACATGCCTGCATATGTATGCGAGCGAGTGCATTTGCATATGTGTGTGTGAGTACGCCGGCGTCGACTGCGATTGCGACTGCGGAAGGCGACCACCGCCCTCTGTCGCGGCCGAATCGTCTGCCATCCAGTCTAACTGTGCCTCCCGCTGTCTGTACGTCCGTCTGGCCGTGTATGTGTGTGTGTGTGAGTGCGGCCGGTTCACCCTTAACATGCCCTTCCCAGGATCAGGCGGCGGCGGCAGGAAAAGGAACGGGAACGGGAACAACAACCACCACCAACACACCGCCGAAAAAGGACGAATTTTTCGAAATTGAATTTGAGTAGCTGCCGCCCAAGGCATAGTCGATTTTAGATACATTTCGAAACATTTAGGGGAAGGACCGTTCTAACCCCATTCATTGCTAGCAAGAATCTCTGGTAATTGAGTTTAAATACACACTGAGAGAAATGTAGAGCTGCCCGTGGGCTCAAAAACTAGTTTTTAATAACAAATAAAACTAAATATTTAATGGAAATAAAATCAAATAACCCACATAAATAACAAAATAGGAATTTTTTTTAGAAATTCATGTGATTTTGTCATAAAAAATATTTTAAATATTAATAAAAAAAAATGTAATAAAAAAAACAGTATCAAAATAAAAACAGAAAAAATTGCTAAAAACTATTGAGACATTGATTGAAATGTTCTGTGCTTTATGCCTGTTCTAAGTTGTCAATAAAATAACTTTATTTCGACTAGGTTAGACTTAACCATAAACCATTAAAATCAAAAAAGGAAATAAAATCAAAATAAAAAAAAATTTTAAATCTTTTTTTGAAATTAAGCTTATGATAATATTGCAGGAAGCTTAAGGATATCCCGCTTTTTTTCGCTGTGTAGGGTGTTTCCCAGTCTGCTGATTGATTTGTGGCCAGTCTCGGTTTGTTGTTGCCGCTCCTTGGCTCCTCTGCTCCTCTGCTCCTTCCCGCGTCTGCTGCAGTTTTTGCAGTCGAGTAGTACCAGTACAATACACATAAATGTGTATGAAAAGTAAGCGGCGAGGCGACCATCCCTTATCCTTGCACTCCTCTCTCCCGCACACACACACACCCTACGCTCTTTCTCTTTTTCCTCTTCCTGTTGGCACTCTTTCTCTTTCTCTATACGCCATCTGCTGTGCCTGTGTGTGTATTACTACTCGTACAATCGCAGACGGACTTGGTCTCCAGACCCACCCACCCTTTTGCTTTTCCTTTTCCTATTCCTTTTCCATTTCCCTCTGCCTTTTCCTTTCCTCATCATCATGGTCATCGTCATCATCATCATCGTCAGCCTCGAACTGAAACCCAAACTCAAACTCGTCCTGGGGCTTTGGTCCTGGCGCTAGTCGGCGTTTGTCGTGTGTATACCGAAATACGTAAAATTCATTTATGACCAGGGCTGATTGTTGTTGTTCAGCCACTCCCGCTTCTTGATCCTTCGGCTTTGTTCCTGTTTCAGGGCGACGCCGCCGCCGTCGTCGGTGTCTTCACCTTCAGGAGCATATCCTTTTTGGTTTCATTTTTTTTTTTGGGAGTTCCGCCCAACAGCGAGATGTACTTAATGCGCTTTTAATGATGGACATCGATGAACCTTCTCCCGATTTTCCAGGGTGCTCCGCTGGACACTATATATCGAAAAGAGTCTCCTTTTTAATCCTGGCGCATCTGTATCCTGTGGATACGCTAGCGTTTCAGTTGCCACTTTTCACATCCGCTCCACGTATCCTTTTTTGCCTTTTGCGCAGTTTCTAAATGGCCGCAAAACAATGACTACGAGAAAAAAATGAACGCCGTAGCAAGCGTTTTTACGTTGTTCCCGAAAGGAAAGGAAATTTTCACCGCTTGGCTTTCACTTTGCTTGGGTTTTTCACTGCTCTCGCCGCTTCTTACGACATTTTCTTTTACACTTTTCAGGACCTCGCAGCTTGTTCGATTTTTAGCAATCGTATTTATTTATTTATTGTGCTTTTTACCATTCGATTAGCAATAATTTATTAACCGGTTTTTTGCCCGTGACGTTTTCGCCTTTTTTACAACCACACACAGAGCGGAGAACAGAGAACTGCCGCGGCGGCGTTGCTCGTTGGCTTTTCGTTTGCGGCCTCGTCCTTTCGCTCGTCCTTCGGGCCCGGCTCGTGTGTGTGTGTGTGTGTATGCGTTCGCCCGAGTGCTCGCTGCGGTGTGAATGTGAGTGTGAGATTTGGGCAGGACTTCGGGCCGCCTTCGTGTGTAGTTTTCAATTACAACAACGGGCCGATGGGTGCGCGCGCGAAAAAAGGGCAAAAAACGGCGCGCCCCCAACCGCCGACCGCCGAAAATACACAAAATGTATTTCGTCCTTGTTTCTTCCTTTTCACTTTCGACGGCTCTACGCCGACGCAATGAGAGTATCCAGCCACGCTCTCTTTTTTGGGAGAGCAGAGCTCTCTCTTTCGGCGACAGGATGCGGCAGGGATGTCAGCCAGAGAAAGAGAACCAGAGAGAGAGAGAGAGAGAGCATCCTGCGAGTGTCCTGTGAGAGGTTGAGAGGTACAGGAGGGTCTCAACTACTGAACTCTATTGAACTCAGGCGTCGCTTATTTTTTACAGTGTATTTTAGCTCTTTGAGTTTTGATTAGCAGTCATTGACCTTATCACTAAAGTAAGGATCTTTGAGTAGTATTTTAAATTTATATAGGAACTATCGGGCAACTTAATTACAGATACAGATTTCGTATTTATTAGGTTTCTATAAAATGAATTAAATTGCATTATCCGGGTTTACCTTCAAAGCTGTAGTTTCCTTTCCTTTACAGAAACCTTATGGACTTTATATCTGTAAAAGGTAGTTCGATAGTTCCTGTAAGACTAATATTTTTACTAAAAATACATATCCCTCAAATACGAATAAAAAACGGCTTTGAATGTGTTGGGTTCTTTATTCATTCATTAATTCTTTTACAATAAAAAAATGTTCAACAGCAAAAACATTACACAAGTTGCTTTTAAATGTAAAGAAGTTGAATAAATATTGTACGAGTTACACTGTGCATTTTTGATTCTGGTTGATCGGCAGTTGAGAGGGGCCAAGTGGTCCCAAGTTTTTTTTTTTTTTGGGGGTCTGGGTTCCAGGCACATGTGGGCATGTACAGACAACAATTAACAAGATCCGGAACCGCTTCAGGGTGAAAGTTACGAAAGTACGATCGCCTCGCAACCGGGCTATCTGAGTGTCGCATTCAAAAGGTCTGGCAAGTTAAAACTAAAAACGAGATACATATATTGTTCCTTTCATTTTTTTGATCCTTTGTAGATGGCCCATTTCGTTCCAGTGATTAGTGCATCTGGTCTGAACGGGGCCGATGTCATTACTATACTCGTGGGTATATGGTGCAATGTATATGTATGTGTATGTGATGCGTGATTCGTGTTGAGATACATTCGTCGTATGGATTGTATGCATGTATAAATAATGTAAGAACGGCTGAAAATCGAAAGGGGGGGTATTATTCTACAACATACTGCTCTACACATACATTATTAAACGATATCAATATGTTTAACATGGGCTTAACTCGTATTGCAACAGGGCCAATTTCCAAAGTGCTAAAATTAAGTTTGTAATTCGATCGGATACGATGCGAAATACGATATACGATATACGATTTACGATACGTTAATGATTCGTGAGTTCTTAGCTGCTAGGGGATTGGATTCTAAATGGTGTGCTGGGAGAATGCTAGGCCTACCATATGTGTGTGTGTGTGGGGTCAGGTCATTACAATTACATTAACGGTATTAAGTGGTAAAAATAAATAACTATAATTAGCGAAACATATAGAAGCGGATCTTCTCTCTATGTTGGGTTTTTTTTTTTAATCAAATGCATAATGGGGCTACCGATGGACCTTAAAGGATCACTCGGCATTCTTGATCTCGCTGAGGCTGCGGCAGGCTTCTCGTTCTCGCTCCCTTTCCCGCTCCCTCTCGCGCTGCTCCTCCTCCATTTTAAGGACCTTGCTCTTCAATCCGCACAGGATCTCCGCCGTGGCTATGTTCTTGATGGTGCTCAGGTCCAAATGGGGGCTATGATTATTGTTATTGTTGTCATCGTTGTTGTTGCAGTTGCTATCCTGATCCTGCTGCTCTTGATCCTGATCCTGATCCTCTGCCAGACTTCTACCAATCGCACTCAGCAACTTGTGTTTGCCCAAAGCCAAGGCTATACCATTATTATTATCCGATCCCGGCTTGCTATTGTTGTTGTTCGAGTCCGTTTCCATGTCCAATCCGCGATTATTGTTGTTATCATCGTACTTGCGATCGTATCCTGATGCTGGGGAATCCTCTGCCTCTGCGTGTCCATTATTATTGTGGGCAATTTCCGGCGGCGAAGGCAACTCCGTCTCCACTTCCCGCTTGATGAACTGAATGTCGGGCGTGGGCGTGGCGCAAGTGGGCGTTTGTTCGCGATTCCTGCTGCCATTTGCATTGGGTATCTGGACGAGATTCAGTGCCTCCTCATCGTTGTCATTATGGTTAATGTTGTTACCCGATTGCGGACTGCTGTTGTTCTGATTCTGATTGTTGTTCGTCAATTGAAGACTCTCCACCAGCCGGATCTTAAAGTTGTTGTTGTGCGTGGATGGTGGCGGCGTTTGTGGCACAATTGTCGTGATTATCGGCTCCATAATGTTGTCCTGGGCGTGGCTATGGTTGTTGTTCAAGGCGTCGTCATGCTGCTCGGCACTGGGGTATCTTTCGCGGTCCATCTCCTTCATCCTTTTCTCGCCACCCAGTTCCGTGTTGTAGTGCATCAGGATCTTCCGCTTGGCCAGATACTTGTGCTGTTTGCGTGCCGAGTCCAGCATCTTCTTGCTGTTCGCCTGCTGGATGGCAAAGGAGTTGCCCTCCGCCTCCGAGAGATTCAGACTCCCGTTGCTGGCGCCCAAGTGGTTGTAGTTGTTGTTGCTGCTGCTGCCGTTGTTGTTGTTGTTCCTGTTGAGATTCTTCATGAAAGTCTCGGCCAGCGTGGCCTTCGATTTGATGTGGTCCCGGAAGCTGGAGTAGTTGGGGTTTCCGCCAGAGGATCCACCTCCACTGGAAAGGGGCGTGGGGCAGCGGTTGGGTCCGTTGAGCGCGGGCGAGGGGGAGGGTTGCTCCGGGGGCGCTCCGCCTCCATAGCCGGCGGCATGGCCACTGGTGATGTTCACACTGTGCGTTCCACGCTCGTAACGGCACTCGGTGCCGTCGCTCTCATGGGGCGAACTTATGTCGCTGGCATCGCTGTCCAGGTTCTTCTGCAAGTGAGAAAGTGAAAGTTTTTTCGGCACTTAGAAAAAATGTATGCAATATTTTTGATTTTATTTTAAATAAATATTGAGCTTGTAATTCTTCAAATTTTACTTTAAATATTTAAGAAAGATAATTATTTTTTAAAGTCCTGATTAGAAATACTTGAGATAGAGACGCACAATGCTTACTAGTGGTTATTCTTTTTCCCCATAACTTGGCAATGAATGGTCCGATTTGAAAAATTCTTTCGCATTTCGATAGGTATTTATAAAGAAAACATAACACATTTACAAAACCTTTAAAGCTGTTAATGCCAGATACATTTTAAGACGATTCGTCTCTTTACCCCTTTTCTTTTCGCAACTATCTCCCACTTCTTCCCCTTAAACTACCAGACCAAAACTCACCTCTGTGTGCAGCCCCTTGATCTTCATGGCCTCGGCCACCTTGAGGAAGACGGGCAGATCCTCGTACTTGACGTTCACCTGGCCGCTGTACATGAAGTCCAGCAGGCCGGCCATGTGGCTGGCCTCCACGTCGGCCATCAGCAGGATGGGGTGACTCGATGGGTTCTCCAGGAAGATCTGCTGGAAGTAGGGACTGCAGACGGACAGGACCTGCAAAAGACACGGGGGGAGAGAAGAAGAGAAACAAAGATGCTTGGCATGAGTTTGGGAGTTCCGGTCGCTGAGCCACTAGTTTACCAGTTTGTGGGCCTTGAATATCTTGCCGCCGGCCGCGATGGTCACGTCGACCATCTTCTCGTCCTTCTGCAGGGAGTGGAAGCCGCGGCACATGTTCCCATGGAAGTTGTTCCACGACAGCAGGTACTGGTCGATGGTGTTGGGATCGGTGTAGGTCTGCTGCTGCTGCTGCTGCTTGTGGGACGACGACTGCTGGTGGAGCTGCTGCTGGGCGGCCTGGTGCTGGGTGGCCCTGATGTGGATCTGCTGCGCCGTGGTGGGTGGCGAACTGGGGCTCGGTGTGGGCGGCTGGTGGGGTTGTTGTTGGTGGGCGGCGAGTTGCTGGTGGTGCTGTTGCTGCTGTTGCTGCTGCAACTGTGCCTGATGCTGCTGCTGCTGCTGTTGCAGCTGTTGCTGCAGATGTTGCTGCTGTTGCTGCAACATGTGCTGCTGCTGCTGCTGCAAGGCGTGCTGCAGTGCCGGCGGCGTCGACGAGGACGACAGGCGATGTGGATGCGGCGATAGGGAGGCCTGTTGGCCCAGGAATCGCTGGTGGTGTTGCTGCTGCTGATGCTGATGCTGCTGCTGCTGCTGGTGTTGCTGCTGCTGGCGTGCGTGCTGCTTGATCTTGACCATGTTCTCCTGCTGCTCCTGCTCCCGATGGCGAATCAGCTCCTGCTTGATCTTGTACTGCTGCATGGAGAGATCGTCGACGCTCTTGGACAACTTGGCCATGTCGCTGTTGCTGTTGAACTTGCTGTTCAAGAGCATGGGCTTCAGCTCGAATTTGTAATCCCCACTGGCACCGCTGGCAGCGGCGGCTAATTTCCGCTCGGCAGCCAAGGCTGCTCGCTCCTTTTGCCTCTGGACCAGCTCATCCATGTCCATGTACGCACCACTGGTGGCCGCTGCTATGGCGGAGGCTATGATTGGATCATCCTCGAAGACACTGTCATCGAGGGTCTCCTTGAGGGTCTTCGTGGAGGAGAAGAGACGCAGCGAGGGATCGTTGACCTGGTCGCTGAAGTACACATCCATCAGGGTGAAGAAGGGCCACTCGCGCCTCTTCGGCTCCTCGGACATCTTGATGGCCTTGTACTCCTGCAGCAGATTGTTCCACTTCTTGATGATCTTCGACAGCGGCAGCGGCACATTGAGCTCCCGTTCCACCACGCTGACAAAAAGATTAGAAATGGAAATCGAAATCGAGAGTTATTGATACGGTTACGCAAGGGGATTTATGATTCAGTTACTTACGCCCAGGCATATTTGGAGGCATTGCGTTTGCCCGTGAACAAAGGCGAGAGTTCCGCCCGCAATCTGATCAAAGATTTGACTTTTTCCGCCTCCCCTGCAAAGACAGAAACAAAAAGTGAAAAATCAGTTAATGTTCGATTAGGGGCATTGAGCAAGAATGGGCGAATTGAATGATGGATTGGCACTCTGCAACAATTGGGGAGACAAATCGACGGGGCAATGCTCTCCTCGGCTGGCAGCCACTTTCCACCTGCCAAATGCAATTCAAGTTTAGGCCGCGCTCCATCGATAAAGACCTCTGGCCATAACGGCAGCTTCAGCGGCAGCGGTGGCGAATTATAGAAAACTGCACAAGGTTTCAATGAACCCGACTTGCAGTCGGAATCGAAATCGGGTAATGGTAATCACTGCAATCATCTGGCAGCGGATCGGCATCGACCATTTACGGCTAAACTCTGCCTGTGCTGTGATGTGAGCCTTGCGGTTAATTGCTATAACGAATCTAGCAACTTTTACTGAACTGAGCTGAGCCCGCGGTCCAGAGCCAAAAATCGAAGCTACTTCCCAAGTTAGAGCTAAAACAGAGGTGGTAGCTCATGTAACGCAGCAAAAAAACAGAGATAAAAAAATAAATAAATCAAGATAGGTTCTCATTCGATTAAAAATTTAATAGTTGAAGTCGGAAGGGAGGATTAATAAATTGAGAACCTTTTTCTCTTCTGAATGTTTAATTTAAAGTAGGGTTTAAACCTTCAAAACCCAAGAGAACTTAAAGTTAAAAGTGTACTTTAAATTTAGGAAGCGAATAAGAAGCTTGGGGTTCTGAGTTGAACAAAATCCCAGGCACAAAGCCCACCATTCATCAATAAGGTACATTTTAACTTCCACATGGTAATCTAAAAGTAGGGTTTAAAACTAGATTTTTTGTTGATTTATTGCTAAATTTAAATAAAATTTTTTAAGAATAATATCAATTGAGATTATATCATTAAATCCCTTAAGGTTATATATTTTAGGATCATATCATTGAATCATTAAAGATTATTTGACATATGGAGTCATTTACACCTTTTTTCTCCCTGTGCAGCCATTCCCATCTCCATTTCCAGCTGCAGATGCGCAGGTCCGTCAAGTGATCGCTGGAATGGAGGAATGGCTTTGGCTATGGCTGCCCCTGCCCGGTTACATGGCTCTCAAGACACACACATATGTACATTCGAGTGGCCATCAAGTATCAAGTATACGCCACATACAACGGCTCTACCTCTACTCTACGTACACTCGACCATAATGACTGAAAACTATTCAACGTTGAAGAATTCATTAGCAGATTTCACTTTCGCTCATGACGACGAGGTTCGCGTTCGCTTATTTCGTTCGCTTATTTCTCTTAGCCGTCTTTCTTTATTTATTTACCGTAATTTCTACTCGTTCACTTTTTCCGCTGGCCCCTTCGGGCCAAGTTTTCGGCTTTGGCTGTCGGCTTTCGTCTTTCGGCTTTCGTCGTTTGGCTCTTGGTATTTCTCCCAACGTTTCTTGACTTTGGCTGCGGTTGATTTCTTGTTTCTTGTGGCTGCATCCAAGAAGTCGCACAAGCGCCGCTTTTCAGCCTTGCCTGGGCTTTCAACGTGTTTTTCCCGCGAGAGAAAATTGTTTGGCGATGCAGCGTCGAGATTTTTGAAGCCGGATCTAAGGAAAAGCTTACTCGGCGGCGGCGGCTGCTTTGATTTGGCTGGGAGCAAGTTGGCCACTGCATTCTGCAGACTGCACCAAAAATAAAAGCCAAGCTAATGGATATTGCTTTTAAATTATAAGCTATTTAATAGGCTAGCTAAATAGCGTTTAAAAAAAATATAAACAGTCATTTATTATATTTTAACTTTATAGCTTGAAATAAAGTATCTCTTTTATAGGTTTAGATTTTTAGTTTCTCAATTTAAGTTAAGAAAATGATATTTAAAGTATTTAAACTATTATTAAGTCATTTTACAAAAATCTTGACTTATTATTTTACATTTTACAAAAAAATTAATTATTATTATATTTTACAAAACATCTTGTTTAAAATTTTCTACTAAATGTAGTTAACATTTTCTTTATGTGCAATCAAAAGTTATTGGGTTTTCCCTCTGATTTGATAGCAAGAATGTCCGTTCGATGCACTGGAGTACTTTCTAAATTTTCGATCGCCTGGGGTTTCGCCTCTGTGAAACTCTATTACTCACTGGCCTGCTCTAGCTCTATGTCAAGGCAAGGGTATCAGATCGACATCTCAGCGCTGCTGCTGATGGTTGAGCAATTCCCAAGCCCCCATTCGATTCGTTTAATGGTTTGGCAGCATTATAACCTAGCCCAACCCAAAAGAGCGCTCGTTAAGAAATCTCTGCGTCAGAGACGAGGAGAAATACGAACGAAAAATTGTTGGTTTGGTTTGGCCAAATAAGTAAACATAACAAGTCAGAAAGAAAAAAAAAAAACTTAAATTCGCAGGCAGCTTGCAAAACAACCTCAACCTTCTGCGTTGCTCTACGCGCTTGATCGTGACACGCTCAAGTTGCACGCTCCCCTTTTCGCAGGCCGCTCACAATGGGTATACTCGTATATCCAGGGGTTTCTGGGGGGCAGGGGCCAAAAGGCAGGGGACAGAAGACAGAAGACTGGGGGCTCACAAAAAAGTTTCACTTTCTTCGCAACAAGTTTTATGTGCGTCGATCGTGTGTGTGTGAGCTCGAGTCTTCAAGTGCTTGAATGTGTTGGTCTTGGCCACTTTATCGGGGCCCCTGGGCTTACTTCTCGCTTCTTTCGGTTTCTACTTTCCGTTTGCGCCCTTTTATGTAACCCAAATCCTCGGATGCTGAGGCTCAAACCGATGCTGTGGTCGCTTCTTGCGCAGACAATCCAAGTCGCTTGCCATCAGCCGAAGAAACAACGTTTACCGTTAGTTTCTCTTTTGGCCTATATTTGAACGAAGCCATAGCCGAAGTCGATTGCGAGTCTTCAAGCCTAGTCTTCTCGCCCCGAAGACGGTTCTTTATCTGCCTCTCTCCATCTCGATCGCTATGTTAGCTGTGCTTTACTTCCGTTTGGAGCACTTTCGTGGGTCGAGAACCGGTTCTATGGCTCGGAAATGCAGGCCCATCGTAGATTACACGGAAAGAATTGAGCTATTATATGCATGCCTAATATTACAAGATCACTTCTGAATTAATATGGCTGACTTTTACTAAGTTAAAGAAGATCCTAATATATTCTAAAATAAATTAACTGATTACATAATATCAACAGTTAATTCTTTAGATACTTTAAGTATTGGATGGTGTATCTATTTGGGATCATTTACTTAAGATCATTATTACTCATACAATTCCTTATAATGAAATTCTAAAATATTTGTTGTAAGGTTCAAAATATAAAATTTAAAAAATCGTTCCAAATGCTGGAATTTAAGATGGTATCTGGGAAAACATTAGTGTTTCTTTCTCTGCATGCTTTGTATGGGTCTTGGGTCTTGTTGTGTTTTCATTTCTTTTCTTTACCTTTCTGGGAGATCTTAATGATTCTTTCGTTTTCGGGCATGTTTGGGGCTCCAATCACGTTGCCTTTATAATTGGCTGCTACTTTGTTACTTAGCTACTTCGAATTCGAACTTTTTATTGCCACTATGGACTGTGTGGCTACTTAGAATGGCTGCCAGTTGGTAAGCTTCTTTTGGGCCGGTTCCATTGTGCTGAGCCGCGTTGGTTCGTTCGTTAGGTTTCGTTTCGTTTCGCTTGCTTTCTTTTTGCCACGCTTATTTGGCTTCCTGCACTTTTCTTTTTCTTTCACCAACAGCAGTAGAAGAAACAGGCAGAAAAATGTGAAGGCGATGGCGATGGCAAGTTTTCTTCTTGCTTAATTCTTTGTTTGTTTGATTAAACGTGGAATTGTTAGCCGTGACGTTTCTTTTCGTTTTGTTTGGTTTTTTCTTTCTACTTCTCGATGTCCAACGTTTTCTTCGCTTTCAGTCTCCTCTTTGCGTGAGAATTTCTAATTGGGTCAGGATTTTTCCATTTTACTCTGAGACTGCAAGCGGGAATTAATGAAGCATTTGACGTGCCCTACTCCCGATAGTCTATAGGAGTACCGAAAGTGATAGGCAGATCGCCGAGGAGGCCGAAGAATGGAACTGGATTGGATTAATGGAGTGGCACTCTATGCCAGATTGGGCAGAGATAAGGTCTACGAAGGCGACATTGATTGATGGAAGCTGGATTGACAGAATACGATTCTTGAAAGCTTTGGATTTCCTACTAATTTACAATTCCAAAGAGCAAAGAAAGGTACTGTATTTGGAATTTCTCAATAAATACACATTTATTACTCTGTGAATGTTTTATAGGTATGGTGAAATGTACCTTTTCTTTTGCTGAACATGAACTTCAAATCCCCAAGCGAATGCCAGAATTCGTATGGGTCTCAACTTGGGCAAAAGCCAAGGTAACCAGACTCCCAATTCGAATCCGAATCCGATTGCAATGAAATTGTAGCCGATAGCTTTCCATCCCAGATGCAGTTTCAGATCGGTTTTCTTCTTTTCTGCCGCTGCATTTCTTTCGGTGTTTTCACCAGAGACCAGCGGCCATAATGCGCATACGCCCCGTGTGGTTGTGGCCGCACTTACCGTGTAAGTCATCGACCAGGCTTCAGCTTTAGCTACAGCTACAGCTATAACTTGAGCCTCAGCCAACGGCTAGTGGCATTTAATTCTTGGCTTTTAGTTTCTCCCAAATGATGCACAAATGAGTCTGGAGATAGCAGTAACCATAAGCACCGGGCGAACGGTAAAAGAAACACTCTTGTTTGTTATGATTTTTCCAGCGAAAACCTAGAAGAAAGTCAAAGCCAAACAAAGCGAGAGACGAGAGATGCAGTTGCTAATGGGCTGGAAAAGCGGGAAAGCCTCGGATGATATAAACCAGAGTCGAAAAACTGACAGAGTCGTGGATTTCGAGCAGCGACGGCAGAGGCACAGGCAACTTGTTGTTGCGGGGAATTTTCTATCTATCTTTCGCCAGCGGGCTTTTCTCTTTGTGCTTTCTGCTTTTCCATTTTGCAGTTGAATGTACGCTAGCCAACTGTGGAAATTCCGCACTACATATAATCATGACCATCGGCAACATCATCATTGGGTTGGCATTACGATCATCATCGCGGCAATTATCATTATCCTCGACATCGTCAGAAGTAATTTAGGAAAAATATTTTTTATGCGCCCGCTTTGTGCACTTCGCTGCCTTTCGTTGGGAAAATTTTATTGTAGCTTTTCATGTATGCAGTTTGGTTTTCTGCTTTTGCCTTAGCTTTTCCAGCTGCTGCCTGCATTTTGCAGAAGCCAAAATTCGTCTTTGTATTCGCTTGTAGGTAATCTCATTGTTTGCGAGAAGGTTTATGAACTTTTACAAAAGATTTTTCTCTCCGCCGTTTGTCATGCACTTGGAGTGGAGTGCATATTTTCTACCTCCACTTTTATTTTTCGAAAGTGCAACACGGCGGCTGAGCGATCTTTCTGTGTACAAACATTTACCATTTGCATGCTGGCGCTTTTCTAAGTAATTGCCGCTGTGATTTAACGCCTCACGCTAATGAGTGGCAGTCGGGTATTATTTAAAAAAGCGAAATACATATGTGTCACTGAGAAAATCACTTTTGATTTCAGTCCCTCGCATTAATATTCTTATCGAGGCTGGCCAATCGTCGTGATCAGAGGTATATAGGCACCTGATTTCGGTGCGTTCGCACGATTCGTTGGCTTAACTTGGCTCAGAGCTCAGCACACTCACCAGTTTACAGCCCAAAAACTTTCACTTTGCGCTGTCAGAAGCGCAGAAGGCAGCAGCATAAAGAAAGAAAACAAAAAAGCTCTAATGTTAATGTAAATAGCGGTAAGAGCCAACATACATACAGGTATACATATATACGCATGGCATTACGTGCTGCCGATACTTCAGGCCAGATATATTGAAACAAAGCTTCAAAGCGACTGCAAAAAAAACCCGAAACCGAAAAATATATTCAAAACAACAAATCATTTATTAAAACTATTGTTGATGTTGGCGAACCTCAAGATATCTTGTCCGCCAGCCAAGAAAATAAAATAAAAATCAAATTAAACTGCGGCATCTTACATAAAAACTTAACCTTCCCCACACACACGATAGTCAAAATGTTTCTTTTTTTCTTTGAATTTTTATGTTTATGATTTATTTGTTATTCGCAGTTTCTTGATCATTTTACTGCGCCCTCACTTGCAATTATCCACTCGAAATGAGATGACTTGTGGTTAAACTTAGTTTGGTAACTTTCTATTGAGATCCCACTTGATGTCGGGAAACTATTACTCATCAGCCCTGATTGGACATCTCTCAGCATCTTCACTTTCTGGGTCAGCTCTTCTTCGCCACCTATTATTCAATTCCATTTCCAGCCGAGAGACGAGAAAAACGATGCGAAAAAGGCCCCCAATTGAAGCGGACCTAAAGTGAAAGTTCTAATAAAGCAGCGCTACAAGAAATATGCAACCAAGTGCGAAAGAGACGGCTGCACAGAGGGCGCCACTGTTGCGGTAGTCCGAAGAAAGAAAGGTAAAAATAAATTTAAGCATTTCTTTCTTTGCCTTTTCTTAAGCTTTTTTGCCAGTCTTTTCTGTTCGTGCGAAATACAAATGCTTCATTTATATTTCTTTTCTTTTTGGCGAACAATAATGTCTGCGGCGAAGGCGATTCTACAGGTAATTTCGAATTAATTGCAACTCCAAGGGGGAAATGTATCTGGTTTTTTGGTTTTTTCTTTCTATCGATCACCGCTGGGCATTTAAGTTTTGGTTGCCAAGCTGAAAGTCTTTTACACAGATTGCATAAATGCCTGGCCACATCTGCCGCCAGCTACTCACATTTAAGTCTGCGAATCTGAAGCGTTTCCTGGCTTTCAGTGGCACTTCTACTCCATCCGAAGCTCGCACGTCTGCTGGCCAATTAAACGGGGGCCGAAAAAAGCACTAACCCACAACGCAGGCATTATAAAAGAATTAATAAGCAATTGCATAATAACGTGGCTACGTGTTAAACTAGGAAGAAGGCAGAAATTCACGCAAGTTCAGAGTAGAAAGCCAAAGCTAATGGGGCATTTACTACGATATCATCTGAAAATTGGGCACTGAGGCTGCTCCGTGTTTTCACTCTCAAGATTCATGGCCAATCTGCTGATCATCTGCTGATCTGATGGCATCTTTTTGACTTTCCTTAAGCTTCAAAACGAAGCTGACAAGATATGTTGCATAACAACAACCCATACGAATCGAAAATAGAAAACAGAAAAAGAAACAGAAACTAAAGAAATTGATGTGTGTGTAAAATCATTTGTAGCGGTTTATCATCTAACGGCATTATTGGGCAACCTCCACCACTCCAATTTCGATTCCAATTCCCATTCCACTCCAACACTTGGCTCGCCAACGCCAGCATTTAAACTATTTTCTTGTTATGTACTTCAGTTTTCGGTGTTTTCAGTGTTTTCAGTGTTTTGGCATCGATTTATTTTGGCCAACCGAAAATCCCATGCGTCATTCCCGATAATTGCGCGTGCCAGCCAGAAAGCCAGAAAGCCATAATAAATATTTATGAAACTAACTATTTATAAATATATGTGTAGAGCAGAGCAGAAATCAAAACTGAAACCGAAATCGAGTTAGCCCTAGAAATATTGCGTATACGCTTCGAGAGAGATCCACACGCGCCTCGTCGCCTCGTCGCCTCGCCAGGAACTGTTGCAATCCGCAGACCCAACGAATGGGACATTGAACTCGAAACGAACGAGCCAACCTGCCCAGCTAGCTGAGTTTGTAAACAAACCTGGCTTATGTAAGCGCTTAATTATAATGGAAATGGAAATGAAAATGCCAAAACGACAGCCAGAAACTGTGCTTTCGGTGGGAATGGCAATGGTAAGTGGTGGTGAGGTATTGAGGTAGTGAGCCAATGGTAATGGTAAATGGTAATGGTGGATGGTAAACAAGCTTGAAGGCTGCGCTTTTGGGGATATGCACTTCTGGTTCGCGATCAAAACCATTTGCATGGCAATGAAATGTGCCAGAAAGTGGGTCAACTTATGACAGGACTCAAAGCGAACAAACAACATTAACCCACAGAGAAAGAAACAGGGAATGGAGATGGAATATCAGACTAATTATTTACAATTACTGGTTTTGACTTTTAGACTAATAAAATAAATTTTCCCAAATAAACAGGTTGAAATCAGCATTTAAATTTAAAAGATAGATTTAAAAATGTCTGAAATGGTATTTTATATTTTTACTAATAAAAAATAATTAATTTTTGTATAATAATATATAATAATTTAAAACTTATTAAAAAAAAATAATAAAAAACTCATATAGGACCGGGTAATTTTTTTCTGTGCTTCTAAAGATTTGCCTGACTTTACTAGCAGCGAGGAGAAATTACTGGATGGCTGCAAGGAAACATAAATTCTGCAAACGAAAAGGGATCTTTTTTTGTTCGTGGCTGTAGAAGTGGCAGCGACGTCGGCAGAAGCAGCGACGCCAACTGCGACGGCGGCTTCAACGAGAAAGAAAAACCGAAGAAACGAAGCAACAACTTTCACCTATTAATATTCGTGTCGTAGCAGCGGCAGAAGCGAGCTGCCAAGCCAAAGCTAAAGCTAAAGTCGGGCCAAAAGACAGGGACAGATAGAGATACAGTCAGCCAGCAAAAGATACAGATACTGTAGAAGCAGAAGCCACAACTGCTAGTCACCGTCGATGCTCAACAAAGGCAACACATCGCATACAGCATGCAGCATGGATAGTATAGTACTGGGCGACTCCAAACTGGCTGCGACTCGGAGTTGGAGCTCCCCTTCCTGGGGAAACTTTCTACAAAAAAAGCAGCTTTTGCTTTTTGTTTTGAAAATTTCTTTCTTGCTGCGCAGGTTGCCCGAATGCTTGTTTGTTTGTTGCTTTCGCTGGGCATTCTGGCTTAACAAAAAACCCCTATCCCCTTTTTTTTGTGTGGGCGATTGGAGTTTAGTCTCCACTAATTGTTAGAACAAGTTTGAAATGTGGATGATGGGTTTATAAGAAGAGATGGTAATATATCATAGTACAGTTGGACCTCTATAACTCTGTCAGAATTATAAAATCCCAACAGATAGTTAGTAAGTTCCCCAAGTTTAAGCCAACACTTACAACAATATCTGGTCGAGTATTGACAATTCGCATTGACTATGGGTGTCGCATTGACTATGGGTGTCATAATCTCGTTGGCAGCCATATCCAATTCCAATAGTTTGTAGATAATAGCAATCCCGCTGGGTATCCTTGAGCTCGGTATCGCCAACTTTCCGTAATCCAATGGGCAAATGGGTTTTTAAAAATTAAATTGTATTTCTTTTTCGATAGTTTCTCTTCTCTGCGACGCTTATTTGGTTGGCTGGAATTGCCTGGTTTTCATGGTACCAATATCAATATTTGTCATTCAAGAGGCACATTCACACGCACCGAAACACCGAAAAATCACTTTCACTTTTTTGCGTTTTGATATGCGCAGAACACAAGGCAGTTAATCTGAGGGGGTGTTGGGGTACAGAGAAACTTTAGCTCAAAATCCAACCGCAAAGTCAAAAGAGGACAACATTTTGATTGCACTTAGGCAGCATGATGCTGTGGTCTGGTCTTCACTCGGTTTTCCACACTTTTATTATTATATCTTCTGTTTTTTTTTTTCAGTTTTTTTTTTGTGAAGTTTCTGCGCAGGCGCGACTTTCTACGAGTGGGTTAGCGATTCTTGCGCGCCGAACGGTGGAACGTAACGTCTGCCTCGAAACGCGGTAGACGTCTGTGCGGCAGCGCGCAGTGAAACCAGCGCTTATCCTCAAAGATCGCTAAGAAATTTCATGCCATTCCATTTCGTTTCTCGGCAGCAGCGACGCTTTCGCTTGCCGCACTCACACATGGGTAGAGTTGAAGCTCAGCAGTTGGTTCTTCGGCTGCAGAGTGCTTTTACCATTTCTTTCTCTCTCTGTATACATATACTTCCGCGGCACACACACCACTGCAGTGAGGTGCCTTTTCAAGTTTGGTTCTTCGTTGAAGTCTTTTGTTTTGGTCCGCCGCCTGGCTCGTTTGCCATGTGCTCTGAGTAAGAGTTTCGCCTTGGGAGCGAACGACGGTTAATTATTTACAGCTTACCATCCATCGTTTCGATTCCAGTGCGTTCCCCAACTGCTTTTATAACTTTAACTTTCATCGCTGCCTTCTAATACCGCTTCGAAGTTTTAGTTTTTTAGCTTTTACCTCTCCTCTTCTTTTTCTCGCCAACCGCTGCAAATTACAACTTTCGTCTATTTTTGTCAAGATTTTTTTATAATTATATAATTTAAACGCTCTGGCTTCTTGTCGCACATTTTTGGCCCCCATTCCGCTGGCAGTCTTATTTTCCATTGTGCTGCCCGTCGCCGTTTTTACTTTTCTTTGCATAAACCGCACGGCTAATTACGCACAAGGAGAGTGAAACTCCATTAGATTCTTAATTATAGTTTAATTGCCTGCGTAGAAATGATGTGGAGCTGTGGAGAGCTGAGGAGTTGCATTTGGAAATCTTTCACCGCTGCATTTCTCATTGTTGGTAGTACTGGTGGGGTACTGGTACTAGTACTGGTCTACCCATGCGCAGTGAGCGTTGCAAAGCTCTTTCTGTCTTCAGCAGGCTCCATTTGGAGTTTAGAGTCTGGGTGCTTTTTGAGGGGGGTTGGGGCTTGGGGTTCGGGATCGGGCTCTCTGCACTTACAGTTGTTTCTTTGTCTTACACTCGATGCTCTGGCTGTAGCTGTAGAAAACTTTCTAATGTAGAAGATGTCTGCAGCACTTCCCCTACCCATTACCATTGTACTTGGATTGAATTTCCCCTGCCCTCCCAGCACAGTAGTAGGCCTCTATTTACTCGCCGTTTGTCAGCTTTTTCTTTCTTCCGATATTTTCCCAAGCCCGATGAATTGTCGGCGAGAATTTCAATGTATTCTATGCTTGTCACTTCACACCGCTGCCGATTGATCGATTCTCTTACCATCCAGATAGAGTCCAGCTGGGTGAAAGTTGCTCGATGTTACATATAGAGATGTAAATCATCTCTCCATTGCGATGCAGAACCAAGATCCATTTAGTCATAGTCATAGTGCAGTGCTCAATCATGTGTTGCAAGACTACCTCTGATACTTTCCAGCCTCTAATAGGCCCGAATTCGTATTTACATGCTAATGAGCAACGGAATATTTTTGTTTCTGCTGAAAACGAAAACGCATTTTTATTTTATTGCCAAACGATGAGCTTTGTGAATAGGAGAGCTAATGGATTTAATTGGATGGTCCGGTTCGTTATATAAATCCCAATCTCGGCTGGGCCAGAACCGTTTGCACTGCTTTTTGGGAGAAGAGAAAGAAAGAAAACGAGTCAAGATAAATCGCGGCCAAGTGATTAATGCAGCCAAAAGCCGAGACCCCAAAAGCCAAAATCGTATTTTCACTTTTTAATAATTAACATAAAATTATTAACAAGACAAGGTGCAGAGGGCGAGGCAGCAGCAGAACCAGTGAAGATCCCAAAAAAAAACGATGCCAAACGCATTAAGCACCTTAAAAAAAAGCTACAAAAGAATAAGCCAAGAAAGTTGTGTAAAATGCGATGAGAGGAGAGGAAAGGAGAGATCTCCGAATTTCATAAAGTCTCGTAAAGAACAAGAGCCCAGCTGCCGCATGACTAACAGCGGGCACTAAATATATAAGCCAGAAGAAGAATTTTAAGTGAAATGAGTTTGAATAGCTTTTCCCGGCGACTGACCCACTTACCCATTTAGGCCCGAAGTCCAAATTGATGTGGTGGCTCCGAAAAAAGAGGAAGAAATGGCCCAAAAGAACGAGAAGAAGAAATGGAAATGTGGGGAAACTGAGGCACAAGACGAGTAACAGTTATGTGACGGGCAGACAATCGAAAGTTTATGTCATGCTGCCGGCAGCAACGCAGCAGCAGCAGCAACACCAGCAACAGCAGCAACATCTACAGCAGCAACATGAAGTCGAAAATCCGATGAGCAGATGGTGCGTTCCTTTAATTCTCAATCCAGATTGATTTTCCGTTGCTTCTTTAATGAGCAATGAGTACCGAAAAATCTGAAAGTAATACACATATCTGCGGAGCGAAGTGTGGATTTTTCCCCCGCACAGCAACACAGCTTTTCGAAAGTCATGCCACGAAATAAATGGTTCTTGTATCTACACACGTACATATCTCTTCTCATAGGCCTAAAAGCGACCAGCAGCATGAACAATGAGAGCAGTAAAGGCAAGAAAAGAAAAAGTAACTTCACACAACCACACAAACGTAGCCATATAGCTGACCAGCAAATCGAAAAGATACACGAAAGGAGAAACAGAAAATAAAATAATAAAATCGAAACATGAAACATTCTGATTGTATGGACTAAAAAGTGGGTCAAGCAGCGCGGCCACTGCGCAGTCGCAGCCTCAGTCGGCGTCATCGTCATCGCCATCGCCAACGCTCCAATGTTCGTGGCTCAGGTTTTGGCTTTAACTTTGCCTCCGGTGGTGATGGTGATGGTGGCTTTAGTTATGGTGGTAATGGTAATGGTGCTCGTGTGGGTCTGGGTCTCGGTCTCGGTCTCCAGCGGAGCTCGGCGCTCTGCCCGTGAAACCAACACAGGCGCGAAGAACAAAAAGCATGAAACGAAATAACAAAATAAACCCGACGACCACTCCGCTGACGGAATACTTAAGCATCCGCGTCCACTTGCACTTTCTTTTTCCAGCTCAACTCGGCTTGGTTTTGGTTTTGCTTTTCTCATTCTGCTTCTACTTCTGCTTCTGCTTCAGGTTCGTGCCTTAAGTCTTTCGTTTTGGCCGGGGAGCACGTTTCTTTCCCTTGGCTTTCGCTTTGCGCTCTTTCACCGACTTAGGTGCCTTTGCTGCCAGCGAAAACGGGTTCTGTCGAGCTTTTCAGGGGTCTGCACTAAAACTCCTCTAATAGTTTATTAGTTTAGAAGTCTAAGACACTGATCAGGACATAAAAGGATAACAGTCTTTCTAATTATACCCTTGCAGAGGGTTAAATGAGCTCAGTCAGAGAAGGAGATGCTTCCGACCCTGTAAGATATATATATTCAGCATCATTAGGCGAGTCGATCTAGCCATCTCCATCTGCCCGACTGTCCGTTCGTCCGTATCTCAGCTTTTAAGCTATTAGGCTAAACCTTCCTAACCCAAACCTTCTTTTGTAAGACGGAACAAGACGAATCGGAGATATATAACATATATATTTTATATATTATTCCCATAGGATCGATCAGAAAAATTAAGAAAATTCAGCAGCGCCACCTATAAATTACAAAGCCGAAAAAGTATGCTGTCCCAGGTTTATGTCTCGACTATGTAGTTTAAAATTTAATATATTAAGGCAATAAAACATTAGCAATTAATTAATATGTATTGTAAGCTGTTCAAAACGGTACGCATTTTTAATTTTGGACAATTATAAAAAATTATATTTTAGCCAAAAATACAGATCCTGACCCAAAACAATAAGTATTATGGCCAAAACAATCGAAATAAACATTTTTCAGTACAATGCACAACATTTTCAATCGATTGGCATTTAACCTGTTTTGTCCATTATTTGCCAACAAAAATCCTGTTCCTGTTGCCAAGCCAATATTTTGGTTAGAAAATGGAACATATATTTAATTATTTTTATCTTATATATTTGTTTCTTAATATTTTCTTAATTTAATATGCTTTGCTAAATAATCATCAACTGATAAATTCCAACGTGATTGTAGAAATGTCTACGATTCTGCCCATAGCCACCAGGCTCTTGCTCAACACACGATGACAATCAAGGCAATTACCAAATAAAACACTTTGGGAATGCCACCAATTCACTTCCGAACAATCAGATGGTATTTTTAGCCCAAATCTACATACGATTATACATGTGGGCAAGCAATAAAAAATGTAAATAGAAAGAACTAAAAAATAATGCAAATCTACATAAAAGGATAAATACAAAACGATTGAGAAAAACTAAAATACCGAGATGCGAATGCATTTTCCGTCGGTCTGGCTGGCTATGGTTAATTGCTCTGATAAATGGTCGTCGGCACGGCGATTTCGCAACTTCGGGACTGAATCGGCGCCGCCAAATGCAGATGTAAATGTGAATGTAATGCGATTGCAGCTTCCTCGAGCACCGCGCGCGGAGATCTCGATCAACCTTGATGTTGATTTATAGGTGTCGCTCTGCTTGGCGCATCTATTTTGGTTTTGCCTTGCTGCGTGCCCGTTGAAATGTCCCATTCTCCCAGTCCCTCCCATTGATGTGGATGTGTGGATGTGCATGTGGATGCCAATTGTCTTGCGTCGGTCCTTCTAAGGTCCGTTGCTATTTTCTGAACTCTCGGCGAGGCGAGTGAGTCGTCGGCCGCTGCAGTGGGCCACCAGCAGGATGGGGGACTCGGAACGGGGCTAATTGGCCACTCGAGAGCACTGATTGCCGCCGCGGTGGCCCATGCTCCCTCCGACTGTCACGCACATCTGCTAATCACTCGTCCAAATCTTGCTCTTATCTTTATCGAGCCTTTCTCTCGTGACAACCCCTACAATGATTGGGAAGTGTCCTATAGGTCTTATAAGATTAACATTCCATTGCAGCCCTGTGATATTCTAAAGTAGTTAGTCTAGTTCCTAGTTTAAATACTCAAATTATGGGCTAAGACAAATAATACAAATAAAAGAATTAATTTGATATGAAAATGGAAAAATTCAGAATGGGAACAAGAATAAAAGATAACAATATTTCTGGTCATGCTCTACAGATTCACAAGGCTTTTATCAATATGAGCGATATAACAGGGCCACTTTTCCATCCTCGGGTGGAAAATTAAAGAAATTTTGGTATTCCAAAAATATGCAACTAAAAAAATTGTATCCAATATCACCCCGTCTAACAAACACAAAAATCCATAGATCCGCCACTGATTTTTGGTTATTTTAATAAGCATTTACTCCAACCAAGTCTGTTCCTATCATTGACGTAGTAATAATAGTATCGGACTTTAAAATCTAAAAATGATTTTTGCTGAAAACCCCCAACAAAATATATTATTTTTAAAAACTACATGAAATCTCCTCCAACCAAAGATGTGTATTTAATTCATCTAATAATATAATTTTTAAAATATCTTGGATGGATATTGATTATTTTTTTGTCTTTCTGCTTTGCTATCACACTGATGTAACTTAAATGTAATATATTCCCAATTATTGCCGCAGCGCATTGATGTGTCGCTTTGGTATAAATAAATCCCCAAACTTCTGCCATGCTCAAGTAGAACAATGAAAACTGCTTATATGGATCGATTCGAGTTGATTGCTCCGCAGCACTTTCGCTCAAATCTTTCTCTGAGTGCCGCAATGGCAACCAACTCAAATCGCTTCGTGCGAGAGCCTCGATATAAAGGCAGGACAGACCGCACGGCGTGCCATTTGTTGTTGAGTCTAGCCGTCAACAGGAATCGAACGTGCGACTTTATCCAAATTACCTCCTTTCGTTGACCTAAAAGGTGTGTGAGTGCGACCGCAATGTCGAAGGATTCAAGGATTATCACAGAACAAAGCCATCAGGATTAAGGATAAACAGCATTTTTAAAATTTCGGTTTAAATTTATTGTGATTTCTTACTTTCCGTCCCCACTCTAAAGTTCAGTTTCTATTTATAAAGTGAAGAGTAATCTAATCGAGAAGAATTTCTAATTAATTTGATCAGTTTAATTTGAGTTCTATGAACTGTTCTTTTAGGATATTTTTAGAGCAGTGTTCTTGATTCAAGTGGATAACTAAATAACACGAATCGTCAGTAATTGGAACACAAATTTTTAAATTTAAAGTCTTCATAACTCCAACTAAAATAAATATTTTGTGATTCTTATTAAAAATGATATTGAAAACGAATTTTGTAGGATATTAAAGTAATATTTAAACGAACAGCTTAAAAGAATGTAATGTGAGAATATCAGTTAAATAAAACAAATTAACAATTAATTGCTTATCACTCAGAAATAATGATTATTTCGCTAAAAAATATTATAATATTATATTTTCCGTTGAGACAAAAATTAGTTTTCCAACAATTTAGCAGATATAGTATTTGGTGGCTTTGTAGCATAGGAAGAGGAATAAATCTTCTTGAAAATGAGCTCATTTTGCCATTCCCTCCCCCAGATAATCAACTGCCAAGATGTGTGACGATGATGCGGGTGCATTAGTTATCGACAACGGATCGGGCATGTGCAAAGCCGGCTTCGCCGGTGATGACGCCCCCCGCGCTGTCTTCCCCTCGATTGTGGGCCGTCCCCGTCACCAGGGTGTGATGGTGGGCATGGGTCAGAAGGACTCCTATGTGGGTGATGAGGCGCAGAGCAAGCGCGGTATTCTCACCCTCAAGTACCCCATCGAGCACGGCATCATCACGAACTGGGACGACATGGAGAAGATCTGGCATCACACCTTCTACAACGAGCTGCGCGTGGCCCCCGAGGAGCATCCAGTATTATTGACCGAGGCCCCCTTGAATCCCAAGGCGAATCGCGAGAAGATGACCCAGATCATGTTCGAGACCTTCAACTCGCCGGCCATGTACGTGGCCATCCAGGCGGTGCTCTCCCTGTACGCCTCCGGTCGTACCACTGGTATTGTGCTGGACTCCGGCGATGGTGTCTCGCACACGGTGCCCATCTATGAGGGCTTCGCCCTGCCCCACGCCATCCTGCGTCTGGATCTGGCTGGTCGCGATCTGACCGACTACCTGATGAAGATCCTGACGGAGCGCGGCTACTCGTTCACCACCACCGCCGAGCGTGAGATCGTGCGCGACATCAAGGAGAAGCTGTGCTATGTGGCTCTGGACTTTGAGCAGGAGATGGCCACCGCCGCCGCCTCCACTTCGCTGGAGAAGTCGTACGAGCTGCCCGACGGCCAGGTGATCACCATTGGCAACGAGCGCTTCCGCTGCCCCGAGGCCCTCTTCCAGCCCTCGTTCCTGGGCATGGAGTCCTGCGGCATCCACGAGACCGTCTACAACTCGATCATGAAGTGCGACGTGGACATCCGCAAGGATCTGTATGCCAACTCTGTGCTGTCTGGCGGTACCACCATGTACCCAGGTGAGCTAATTACTTAATAAAATAATTTATTTATCTATTTAATAATCAATAAATATTTTAAACTCCCCTAGGTATTGCTGATCGTATGCAGAAGGAGATCACTGCCCTGGCCCCCTCGACCATCAAGATCAAGATCATTGCGCCGCCTGAGAGGAAGTACTCCGTCTGGATCGGTGGCTCCATCCTGGCCTCGCTGTCCACCTTCCAGCAGATGTGGATCTCGAAGCAGGAGTACGACGAGTCCGGCCCTGGAATCGTCCACCGCAAGTGCTTTTAAGTCTTTCGCCCGTTGCGAAAGCTCTTCAAAGGCAACAACCAGCAGCGACGACCAACCACTCAGAACCAACAACGAGCTTTTCAACAACCAACTCAGCTCGCACAGTGATAGACAAAAGCAGCGAACCCATCGCACAATTATCATCCAACTCAGATTCAAAATCACAACTACAGCTCATCCTTCATGGCCACTTCATCGGCAGCGGCACAGGCTCAGAGGATTTATCCTTTGAATATTACGGATTTATCCATAAGAATCGTGACTGTGCTCCATGTCGAATAGCAATAAAATGTATATGAAGAGCTTTTAAACCCTAGTCAGTGAATTGAAAGCCAAATATATCTTCCATTAAAACTATTAAATACTTTAAATAAATACATTTTTCTATTACCCCCATCGGTGTACTGAGAAAAGCGATTGGTTGGTAACAGCTTTAAATTCCTTTAATTCACATTAAATTACTTTGTTAACATGGTGTTTTGCCTTAGACTAGCTACGTCGTTAAAGTTAAAGTTAAATGAAAATACAGCGAGGATACTTGGTACCGGGACTTAGGCGATTGGTTGTGGGGATATGATGGATTGAACATTTAAGGGCTGGCAGTGATTGTTATTCTATGTTTCAAAATGTTTCTCTTCAGCAGTGTTAATTAGATGAATAGTTTGGTTTTGGCTTGTGCTTGTGGTCGGGGTATCCTAAATAATATGAGTATTCGTTTTAGTTACACATACAATTTCTCCTCCTCTTCTCTCTCTCTCTCTTAACTAATTTATTGCGAAGCTTAGCTAATACAATTATTGTACAGACCGGCATTGCACTAGTTTAGTCGAGCTCTTGATATTCGGAAATCGTCAGTGATGGAAAAGGTAAATATAAAGTTATGGGAATAAGAGTAAGGGTAGAAGGAAAGTTATGTTAACTTAAAGACTGTATATATTTTTTTGGCGGCCTAAAAATAGGCCCAATTTGAATTTTTTCATGCAATAATAGTTAAAAATGCATTTCTAGAGTTTAACTAGATAAAGTTAACAAGTACCTTCCATCACTGTATATCGTTGGCATAAATACGGGTTTATCTGAGCGGCCTTAATTACCTAACGGCTACCGTCCGACTTATGGATTGTATTTTGGTCAATCAAACTTGGGAGCTGTCCGTGTCCTACGTCATCATCGCTTACCCCCGCCCCTGGGTGATGATATAGTACACAGACGTAACTCCCCATTCGCTATATTAAAGGCTCTTGTCCACTAGTATTTACAATACTTAATACATTACATGGCAATAATATCTAGTTACTAATTTCGGGTGAAATATATAATATGTACAGACGTTTTTTTTTTTTTGCGATTTGCGTTTTTGTTCGGGCTTCTTCGACGCGATTCCTAAGGTTTTTCATATGTCTATCCTAACTAATATTCGAGAATACTTTCAACCATCGACAGTGGTTATTGCGCTGCACTCGGCTCTTGGTAATGGTAATGCTTGGCTGGGGTAACCCTCGAATGCTGGATTAACTTGACCCTTGGTCCTTCCCGGGACGTAGACCCGATTACCGTGGGAAGGTCAAACAAACTTTCCCGTTGACTAATCAGTGGCTGCAGTCATAATACGTCCAGGTAGAGACCCGAATTGGGCGCAATGTAGCAACCGCCGCAGTAACCTCCGCAGAATCCCCTCCGCATCACCGATGTGGTATCGAACTGGAAGAGAGATCGTGATTTGATATTAGTTATTGGAATAAGTAACTTAAAGACATCGGACTAAATGCAAAAAGCATTTTTAGTTTTCTAAAGTCGCACGACTATTCTGCATTGGGCACACGTCGATTCTTCTTTGTGTCGCTGTCTGAATTCCATTGAACAAAGATAAATACGTTCTCAAAAATTTAAAATTAGATGTAAGCTTGAACTCGAATCTCAAGAATACTATTTTGCACATAATCCAATATCTAGTAATTAACATACCTCACTGATACGCTTCATGACCGAGTATTGACCGTGCGTCTTCCACACGGTGCCCGGTCGAATGGTGAAGTCGGTGCTCTTCATGTTGATGGAGAAGTCGCCCTGCGGACACTGACCGATGCGGTTGTAGCAATCGCCCGCTGATCCCAGCTTCTGGGGCAATCCGCGCGTCTCGGCGAACTGAAAGTCATTGTCCACGATCCGCAGATCGGTGATATTCAGTCGCAGCTTGCTAAAGTGCGTCCTTCCGGAGTTCTGGTCGTTGTAATACTCGTGGGCCCGCGACTCCGGCGGACAACTGGTCGTTTGCTTCGTCCTGTACTCGTAGAAGATGGAGTAGTTCTCCTGCGGATCCACGTTCACATACTCGCTGGGCGTCCTACTGGCCATCTGGTGGCAGTAGACGTTCACCATACGCGAACGCACCTCCAGCTGATAGTTTCCGTCCTGATTATAGCCGTACATCTCCCTTAGTTCTAAGCAGCTCCTGGCTCTTCCTCCCTGGTGCCTTGAGTTGGTAATGGTATTCAAGCTCCTGCTGTTACTGATTCCAGTGGTGGTAATGGCACTACTGCTCCTGGGTCTGCTGCTGATGCTGCTCCCAATGGCGCTTCTCCTGCGGCAGTGGGCCGGTGGAGTGCAGCGGTGCCTCTCCACTTTGGTGCGACTGGGACATTGGATGCGACCCTTGCGCGAGTAGCACATGTCCCGCCTTCTCTCAACGCCTTCTCGCAGTTGCACTGAAAGATAGGGAGAATTTCAGTTACTAATTGTTCAGATTTTATTTTTATTTCCTTTTTTTATTTATTTATTTTTTTGATTTTTTTTTATTTTTTTTTTTTTTTTTTTTTTGCATTGGAATATATTTTTTTGTTCATTTACTTTAGTTATTTTCTATGGTGTTTTTTTTTATTTTTTTATTATTTTGCTTATCTTTGAGTTTTTTTATATTTTTATTTTTTTTTTTTTTGTATAAAGTTTTTTTTTTTTTGAATTTATTTTAGTTAATGTTTTTTATTTTTTACTTACCTGTGTCACGACCTTTGACTGCCGGCGCACGCAGTGGCTGCAGATGCGTTTCTTTGAAGGACGCTTCTTGACATCACAATGCTTGTCCTCCACGCCATCACCCTGCCACGTTTCGCATCGCACATCCCTCGTCTGGTACTCTTCCGAACAGTCTGCCGAACACCTCCTCCAGTCCGAGGCATTCCACTTGCAGTTGATGCGACAGGACTTGGTGGTGGTGCGCAGCTTGGGACGATGCACCTTGCGGCTCAAGCAGAAGGATTCATCGATGTAAACCCGACGCTTGCGAGTGCCAGGCACATCTGGTTTGTAGACCCGCGTGCAGGTCTGCTTCTTCCTCTTGACGCCCTCGCCACATTGCACCGAACACTAAATAATAAAATGATATATTTTAAGATATTTCAATTGTTTTTAAGAAGATCTAATCAACACACCTCTGTCCAATCGCTGGTGTACTTGATGTGGCAGCACTTGCGGACGTCCTTGGGCTTCCTGTTCCCACAGCCGATGCCATAGGGATTTGAACAACTCACAGATCGCTTTTTCTCACACCAGTCATTGCACTCGCCCCACTCTCCAATCACCCAGTTACTAACTGCCACGGCATTCTAAATGGGATAAAGGGTAAGTTTAGTATAGATTGATATTTAAGGATATCGTCAGGTTCTGAATTCTTACAGGTGATTCGGTATATGTGGGGCAGGACTCTGTGTTGCAGACCCTGATGAGAGCATTCACTTGCGGCTTGGTTCGGGGATTACACACATCTTCGCTTATAGGGAAACCCTGCAGCTGGCACTCAACCTTACGTTGCTGAGAACCGGTGCCACAGGTCTTGGAGCACTGTAATGGGGAGATTATAATTTGTATCTTCTGAAGGATCTCCAACCAACTCACCGTTGACCAATCCGATAGAACCCAGCAGCCCTCGCGACACTCCTCGTGATAGGCCACATCGAACTTCAGCTTGCAATAGGACATGTCCACAATATTCGAACGCTGCATATTTGTGAATGTCTGAACGCAGGAAAAGGTCTTCTCGCGGGTGCCCAGCTCTCCACAGGCGGCCGAGCACTCTGAAATGCTCGTCACAGTGAGACTGAAAGTGAATTTATTTAGTAATTAGCTTTAAAATATATAATGGAAAGCTCACTTGAGGCGGCAGTCGGTGTTACAGGGTCGTTCTTCGACTTTGGGCTTAGCGGACTTGTCACAGAACTGCGGGGCTACCTTCAGACCCTCGGTGATACTAATGCAGGCCGGCTGCCGATGGCTTCTGCCCTCGCAGAGCGAATCACAGTTGCTGGGCGCCTGCATTTCCCAGCGATAGATCTCCACCGTATCGTGATCCGGTGCCTTGTCGATGGTGTAGGAGTAGGACATCAGTATGGCGTCGTGACTCTTGTCCGTACTCACGTCAAGGGAAATGATCTGCAAATTAACATAAAGGCTTTAGACCTTTCTAAATGGCAGGGATATCTCTAAGTAGTACCTGTACTATTAGATCACGTGACAATTTCCATGAGTAGGTCGTGTTCACCTGCTCCACCTCACTGCTGGCGCCGGAGTACTGCATCGTAACACCAGCATAGACGAACTTCAGGGGATATGTCTTAATGCCTGGCTCACCGTTAAGAAGGTTTTTGTCCTTGTCATCGCTCAGCACTATGTAGTTCTGGTGGGGATAGCTAGTCTGGGTGATCATAATATTGGAGGCACCTGTGGATGAATGCAAAGAAATATTTAAATACTTTATTCAAAAGCTACATCTACTTAAAATTGCAAAGCGAAAAAGTTAAAGCAGGCTGTTCACAATGGCCGTCGCTGTTGCAAAAGCAGCTTTCTTCAATTTCAGATCGGAGCAAGGAAAATCTTACAAGCCTTTTAATAATTTTACCATTTTGAAGTTAATCGTTGGTAGGGTAACTGTAGCTTCTGAACCTTCCAAAACATCCTATGTCTAAACATCTTATAAATGGCTTTTATATTAGAGGTGGCTTTTATTTCGATGTTTTAAGATGTTTTATCCACCTCTATTTTATATCAATTTTTGATAGTTTTCACATTCAATGTATCCGGTATTTTTAGGGATTTTCTAGCACCATTGGCTTTCGTGGACTATTTCGTCATGTCATGGAACAAAACCTTTGTGTGTGAGAATTTCTCAAGAATATTAAAAATGCATTCAATTTACAATATTGCCGGTAGCGCAGATAAGAAATGGCAATGCCAAGTGTATAAAAAAAATGTTATTAATGCAAATTTAAAATCAGTGATGATGCAGTTGATTCGGAGTGCCTTTGCACAAGGCCTGGAATGTTTCAGATTACCGGTGGCGCCAGAGGCAGATAAGGTGCATCGATTCCCAGCAATAAATAGTATAATGAATGGCCAATTTGAAACGGAGGCGACTACCGATAGCCCTAGAATCGGAAAGAGTGCAATCTTGGCGTACGTGAGGCGGTGGGGTGCGTTCACCTGGCGCCGTTGTACCTGATCATCCGGCGACAACTCTATCTATATACTATACTCGCAAGTCATGAGCTCTCCACGACCACACAACTAAACACGTAGGTAAGCGATTTGCCCATTAAGCCCGAAAGGCACAAACAGATACCATTAGCATTCATTGAGGAAATTATTAGCCAAAACTTAATTAAAGAAATGTATTTAGACAAGCACATGTCGTGTGCTGTTTGCTATTGCAAATAGGTACACACCTTTTGGTATTCTCGTCACATAGTAGAGTGTCTTTTTCGGGTCATTCCCATCGTTAAGCCCCAGGAGATTGGATACTCGCAGATTTCCGGTTACCTCGTGGCATGTGTCATTGCGGCCCTCGCACACGCCGCACTTGTCTACAAAGACAACAGCGGAAATCGATTAGTCATTGGGATCCCGTAGAGAATCGCAGGGAATCAACTTACCCAACTTGGCAATCGAGTTCAGCTCGTTGTCGCAACCCGCCGGTCGGCAAATTCCATTGACGCACTTGTCGAAGCTGTCCACCGCACAGGAGGTGCCGTCGGTTACCGTGTTCTTGAGCATAAAGTAGGTGACCCTCATGTCCATGCGACAGAAGAGCTTGCAGGCATCCTCTGGAAAGGGTGAAAGAAAGGGTTAGGGGGTTGGTTAGCTCAGAGATTCAATTATCCAGAAAAATAGCGAGCGCAAAGGTTCTTAATTTGAGAAGAATTTTTCTTGAAATCAAGGCGAATTTGCTCTCAAAATTGTTTTTCGAGAAACTAAGAGCCAGAGCTTAGACCGATCTTTAATTTTTTTTTTTTGGGAAGAAAGGATTTTATAACCTAACAAAACCCCAACTTACTTTCGTATTTGGGCACCCACTTGGTGTCTGGGTTGACGCCCGGAATGTTCAGGTCGCGTCCGTTCATCGAGTAGCACTGCTGTTCGCGGGCGTCCATGCTGCCCGGCGGACACGGATGGGTGTTGCAGGAGCGGTACTTCTTTCGGCTTCCGGTACAGTACTTCCCGCCGTTCTTTGGCGCAGGATGACTGCACTCCCGCCACGACTCCTGCACTCCGCCGCCGCAAGTCAAACTGCAGGGAGTGAACGGTGTCCAGGGTCCCCAGCCGCCGTTCACCTGCTGCTCATAGCCATCCTTGTTGGACACACACTTGCCCCGCTGGCACCAGCGGCCACCGCTGCCGCAGGGCGTGCCATCTGCCCAGGGCAAATTGCTGGAGCGGCACTGGTCGTCCGTCTTGCCCCACGTCCGGTTACACCACAGCCGACGGCACTCCTCGCCCGAGGGGCAGTAGGAGAAGCCGTTGCCGAAGCTCAGCTGGCACTGCTGGTCCAGCGAGTAGATCTCACCGGGCAGCTGCTTTTTGCTGTAGTCAATGTCCCTGCCCACGAAGGTCTCCAGGCAGGACTTGTCGGTTTTCCTGGTGGGGAACGAAAACCAAAAACTCTAGTAACTCTGCTAAAAAAGGGGTTTACTGAATGCCACACTTACTCGAGAAACTCGGAGACATAGTGGCGGGAGCACTTGGACCACGACCAAGGGGTGCATGTTGATGCCCATCACGCTGGACATGATGTGAAGCACCTTGCTGTTGTTGCGCCTGGCCACATAGGGAATGCACTTGTCGTCGTCGTCGTGGTGCATGTTTAAGCTAAAGAAAAGGGGTAATAAAATTATAGCTATATTCGAGGAACTTCTAAATGTTTCTGAAAGTTTAACTCCCCCCCCCCCCCCCATAATAATCCAGATTCTATAAAAACTTTTTATGTAAGATGATATTTTTAATTTAAAGGATTTTAATATTCAGCTAAAAAGAAAATCTTGTAGCCCATTCTCTGCCGCCAGACGCACAGTATGCAATATTCTTACTTAGTATAATACTTTTATATGTAAAATCACCCTTTTAATTTTGAAGAATTTTAATATTCAGTTGTAAAGTGTAATCTTTTAGTGGTTATATTATAACCATTATTACTTACATATGCCCCAGCTCGTGGGCCATGGTAAAAGCGGTGGGCAGTCCGGTGTCCTGGACGAGGGAGCAGGAACTTGGAGTACAAACCGTGCCCAGTTCGGCCAGGCCCAGCATGTGGCAGGTGCTGCCCGGTGTGTTGCCACAGATAGGTTCTCTGGATGGGTGGACAAAATGTTTGATATTAGGAAGATACTAAAAAATAGGGAGTATCCCCTTCCACTCACCGCGTTATCAGCATGGCCGTGTCCCTGCCGTAGTTAGATTTGTTGATGTAATTGCAAAAGTGTTTCAGCATTTCGTTGCTGGACTTGGTTTGGGGATTGAAATTGGGCAGGCTGATCAGTTTGACGAGCGATATGCGTATGGAGTTGCCGATGCTGGCGTCCGCAAAGATGCTGGCCACGATCGACATGAGGATGAAGATGTAGGACTGCAGATCGGGGCCATGGAATCGCTCCATGCTGGTGTCCACGGCTATGAGGACCTCCAAGGTGTACACCTGGTTGTCCTCGTCGTTGTAGTGGCGCTTTCGTCGCTTTAAATTCGGGGACTTGGCCTTCTGCGCCTTCTCCAGCTGGCTAACCATGGCATCCAGGCCCAGTTCGAACTGGGAGACAGCCTGTCTGGCGTTGCGGTGCGACTTCCTATAGACCCGGTGCAAAACCTCATCGCTGCTGGTCCGGTTCACCGGCTCAATGAGCAGCGCGCCGAAACTGGTTTTGATATAACCAGTCTGTAGATGAAGAAGGGGGGAATGGTTATTAGTAGTCATATTCGGCGGCATATTGATAAGCATAATTTGCGATATGCAAATGACTGAGATCTGATCGAAGGTCAGTCAGTCAGGCAGTCAGGAGCTACTTGTTGGCCTTACCATTCCGCCGCAGAGCGAGACGGACACCATGGAGTGGGGATCGTCCTCGACGTAGCCGGAGTACAGACAGCCCAGGTGCCGTTGGTCCTGCTCCTCCTCTGGCTCCCCCTCCTGCCTCTCCTGCCCCTCCTCCAGGATCCGAATGCGGGGCATCGAGTGGTTGCGGATGAAGGACGAGTCCTGTCGCAGCACCAAATGCAACTGGCGACCAAACACATTCAGGTTGTACTGCGGATGCGGGTCCCAGATCTCATTGCTCAGGTTGCGATACGTTCCCGTCATGCTGAAGGCCGATGCAGACTCTATAAGAAATATTAGGAGGTATATTATTGGTTCCATTAACATAAAATATCTAAAATATTATAAAGAATTAAATAGTAATTTTCAATATTTTCTATAATCTTTAATCTATTAAAAGTTATGAAATATTAAGGAATATTTGATAGGATCCATTAGCATAAATCATTTTCAATATTATAAAGAAGTAAAGATGTAATTTTTTAATACTTCCTATAATCTTGAATCTATAAAAAGTTAAGTAATGTTTTGAAACATATCATTGGTTCCATTAACATAAAACATTTTCAGTATTATACACAACTAAATTTTTAATTTTTTAATATAACCTATTATCTAGACAAAGTTAAATATACAGATCTAAATAGGTAGTATAGGTATATATTTTTATACCCTTGTAGAGGGTATTATAATTTCAGTCAGATGTTTGCAACGCAGTGAAGGAGACGTTTCCGACCACATAAAGTATATATATTCTGATCACACCAATAGCCGAGTCCATCTAGCCATGTCCGTCTGTCCGTCGTCCGTCTGTCCGTCTGTCCGTTTCTATGCGAACTAGTCTCTCAGTTTTAAAGCTATCGCGATGAAACTCCGAAAGCCTTCTCTATGCAGGTAGTACATATGTCGGAGCCAGCGGATCGGACCACATATCTTAAGGCTCCAAACAAATAAAAAAATATTGTAACTTTGTAGGAAGTAGGCGTTTTGATTCTGACTACTTAAAAACAAAATTGAAATAAATCGAAACCTGAATTGGAATCCTGGAACTGCACCAGTGAGTATTCTTTATCTACAAGGGTATATAAGCTTCGGCTGGCCGAAGGTAGCTTCCTTTCTTGTTTAATATTTTCTTTATATATTCCTATAGAGAGGATCAAGTTAAGAACTCACCTTTCAGAAAGCTGTTGATATCGCTGTTTCGTTTCGACTCGTAGATCAGATCGCCTTCGCTGAGACTGTAGTTGTAGACCTTGGTGGGCGTCACGAAGGCGCTGTGCTCCTCCTCTTCCAGATCCTCGAGGCCGTCGGGAGGGTTTGGCTCCGCCAAAGTGTCGCTGCCAAACTTTTCTGTATTAAATGTTTCTGCTGGGGCTGGAGGAGGTATGCTGATGACTTTGGCTAAATGCTGCTCCTTGAGCGAGTGGTTGCCCAGGGGCAGATCCACCTCCTCTCGCACTTTATAGCCACTCGGCATGCCGTGGAAGAACATGATGCACATGAAGAGCAGGAAGGCGATGCCGCAGGCATACAGACAGGCGTGCTGCCTCCAGTGGGTGGACATCTTTTGGCTGCACTCGTACCTGTAGAACCACCATTCACACCTCTTCTTCAGCACGACCTGGAATGGGAATGGAAATGGGAGAAAGGGGATCTGGTTAGCAGGTTAACAGCAGGTAGTAGACTACACTAGATTATGGGCCATGCTATCCGGCATTCTCTCACACCTTGGGTGCGTAGTTCGATTAGTTCGATGGGGGCGGCTGGAAAGCTGAAAAGCTAAAAAGCTGAAAAGCTGGCCAGATAAGTGCTTAAGCACGTTCCACGTGCCCCTGCGATGTGAGCGATTGACTTTTGAAAGAATTATTGATGAACTGCCGCCGCCGGCGAGCAGATACCTTGACCACCTGTGAGATGTTCGGTAGGAGGAGGAAGGCCTTTGGCTGCAGCCAAAAGGGAAGAGAAGCTGTTGAAAACACTTCCTCGCACCGCGAATTTTTGCACATTTTGTTGTTTAGAAATAAACGCTCGAACGCTGAGGTGTAAAGTGTGCCAACGGCAATTTGCGCTCGAGAAGATAAAACAAAAGCGAGGCGATGCCGAAAAAATGCGAATAAAAAGATTCAGTACCCCGAAAGCCAACAGAAAATAAAATTTAAATTGCCTCTAATTTGTAAATTTATGTGAGAGCTCTTTGTTTGCACCTCCTCCGCCGAAATTGTTTTGGCCAATTCATACATCAGCGCAAATAAATTAAAATTCCCCCGCGAAATTAGCGAATTAATGCCGCTAAATGATGGGCTGTTTTACATAATTTTATGGCAGCTCGGTGAACTCTACAACCGGCGACACATTCGTTATGCTCATTGGCCACAGTGTCTGCATTTTTTCGCATGATATGTCTTTGGATCAGAAGTCGTTATATCAGTATTTCAGTATTTTAGTATTTCAGCTTTTCGGCGTGCCGTGTGATTTCATTCCGGTGGTGATCACATTTCCGGCGTATAATGAAGCACTTTTGCGGTTCTCGCGCTGAACTGCAAACCGCAAAAGGGGGAAACACTATTCGGAAAACTTTAAATATAACATTTAACTGAGCACATTCAGGGCGTAAAACTTGTCCTTGAAATTCCTCTCAATTGCTATTGACCTTTCGCAGCGCCACCGAAAGTTACAAATTAATTAGTTTTTGTCTTGGCAAATAGCTGAGAACATTGGGCCATAAAATTCTCATTAGGTTTAGTGTCGGCGCCCTGTGCCACATTTGGGCTTTTAAGGCCTTTTAACGATCAAGAAGATTATTATCAAATGGGTTCTTAAAGATCGAGTGGTATAGTTTGGAATTACTTAGCTAAAGAACTATGTTGCCTACTTTCAAGAGCAGTTCTCTTAGTTCTTAGATCATATAATATAGGAATATAGGTAACCTTAGTTCATTAAACTTTCCATTTAGATAGTCATTACACAGATGAATTTCTAAGGACTTAGTGGTATAGTTCAGAATTTCTTAAGTACCCACTATGCAGCCTACTTTTGAGAACAGTTCTCTTAGTTCTAAGATCCCATAATATATGGGTAACCTTAGTTCATTAAACTTTCCATTTAAATTCGCATTACCCAATCTTTCCAAACACACAATCAACGATTTGATTAATGGCCCGGGTTATCGTCGAATTACCCGGGTTACCCAGAACCATTTTTATCGGTCAAGATGTTCTGTGAAACGAATTGAAAAGAATCTGGATCGGTTGGCTGGTGTGAGGCTTATCGTAAACCTCATCCCATACTTAAATGCTTGTGCACAATTTGCAATGCTAATCGGGCATGCCGCGATGCGATGCCCCAAAGATATATCCATGTATTTATGTACTTAATTAAAGCCCCATTCTGGCGATCTCGGCCTTATCTCTCTGCGGCTGGTTAGTTATGCATGCGTTGGGGAGTGCTGCTTATTAACTTGTTTCGCCGAGCGGCCTTATAAATATTCTTATTTATTCGGAGAAGCGTTAAGCCTGGTTAAGTAGCCCTGCAGATGTGCCGTTCTTCTTGATTTTAGGGCTTCTTATTGTCTCTGGTGTATTCTTTGTAGTTTTTTGGTATCTTCGGTTTAATTTATTATTACTCTCTGACTAATTGACCAATTCGATGGTTCGGCAGCAGAAGAAGCACATCTTTGCGGCCGAGAAAACCTGTTTACACTTGACTGAGACCGAGACTGAGAATGGAAACAAACAAGCGATTTGTGTGTCAGTCGATTGCTTTATATTGCCGAGTGCCATAATTTATGCCAATGGCTATGTGGTTATTCGGCTGAATGGCCGACACACAGTCTGCAGAGCCGGAGCGTCGCCGTTCAGTCTGTCCCCGTGAAGGCCGCAGCTTCGTTACCAATTCCCCGGTGTAAACCACCGACCAACGGAGGTGTTAACCGACGAATGCGTGGAGCGTCTGGCCAGACAACGCGGCGTATGCTTAATTACACGGCTGTGTGTTCGACGATGCTGCCCAGCCAGCAATTGTTGGCTGTTAATTTGTATTTAATGACTTAATTGCACTGCTGGCCAACTAAACTGGCGCCCTATGCCGCTTTTGGCCAACGCTACGTATACGCGATTTAAGTGGCATTTGCGCATGCGCAAATGGAAAACCGAAAATTATCACATTTGCTGAGAACATATTTGGAATAAATCATAGAGGCAGCGCATCTATCGATCGATTTCAATTACATTCTCTCACACAATAATTTATATCCAGGCCATTTCTGACCTTATATGCGATTTGCAACATGCATCTCTTGGCATTCCTACTTTGTATGGCCAAATACAAAACTTTTCCACTTTGTAGAATTTGGGGCGCGTGTGTTTACAGTGCCTGCCGCTGCTGGCGAATGATAAATAAACTTGTACACTTTATGGTCGTGCGATTTTTGGGGCCGTTATGCATGCGCGATGCGTGACTGCCTCAAACAAAATCGAAATCGAAATGGAAATGGAAATCATTCTCTTCTAATTACTTTAAAATCTCTTGGCAGATCAAAATATTCTTTAAAAAAATGTAGCTAATTCTGGTGAAACAAATGCAACCAAGCAATTATTCGAAAACACAGGAATTACGTTGAAAGTATTTGTAAATATTTTTAATGTGCAACCGATCATTCAGAATTCGTGGAAATGTTTTTCCCATTTCCCATTTTTCTTTTTCCGAATTGACAAAAGGGGAAGCGCGATGCGGCGTGGCCCTTGAAATTCGCAAAATAACAAATGGAAAAACGAAAACAAAAAGCAAAACCCCGGTAAACAGCCGGCGAAAAACAGAGCCATAAAAATCCTATTCTGCGTGATTCCCTGGAAAAACTCTGAGTCGAATGGTAAACTCTGGTCATCCGGTGAATCCCATGCCCCACGCGCCAAACCAAAATTTTGAATTTAAAACCGTCTATGACCGCATAGACGCATTTCCATGAACTATAAATGCAATCGTATATCTAAATTGAAATCAGCCTTTGGTGGCTAAAGTGCATTTACAACTTCAAATTCACAATTGAAAGCCATCATCGCAAATTCAATCAATTAACCTTGGCCGAAAGACGAAAAATGTGCAAAAATTTAATTGAAAATGGGCTACAAAATGCATTAGACAGAATCGACCAGAATCGACAGCCGTCTGGCTTTTGGTCGCCTGACTGGCTGGCTGGACAACGCCTGTTTTTTTTTGCCATGTGTTGGCCTTCTCAAGATCATTGGATATATGGTGTAGTGAGTCCCCGAGGAGAAGGTGGAGAACTGGAGGGCAGGAATGTTTGTTTACTGCCACACCGGCCTCCTATGTTGCTTAAAAAGCACATTGCTGCCGGTCTAACCTTGAATTCGCATGATATATCTATACATTATTGGATCGTTTCAAAACTATAAAATAATCAACATTGTTTAGCTTTCGTTGCGATATAAAATTTGTGCAAAAAAGGCAGAGCAAAAAAACGACCGACCTCCCACCGTCTCTAAGACAATCGATCGACCGAAGAGATTAACTTAAATATCAGATTGGTATGTGCAGGTTATTTTAATATTTTTTAAAGATCAAGTTATTCAAATCATTTTGATATGAAAAAAAGATTATGTTTTATCTTATTTTAAAATATTTTTTTAAAAAAACTTTAAATTTGGTATTTTAAAGCAGTATTTTTATAACTTTTATAAAATGATAAAATATTAAGTGGATTTGTTTGAATCATTAATTTGGCATTGATATGAAATAGGCTTTTAATTACCATGTTTCATTTAAGGTATATATTTCTGCGTATATTGTGCAACTTCGATCTGTTTATTTTGGAACGTGGGAAGCTGGGGATGAGTCAGTTGGTTGCAGCCTGTTGCACTTCTACAGAAAGCGTCGTAAAGATTGTACTGCCCATTAAATTGTAATTCTGGGTTTTTCGTTTTTATTTTATTTTGTTTGGTTTTGTCATTCGATTAAAGCCCGTTTTGTTTGTTTACTCGTGTTTTATTTAATACACGTTTTAATGGCTTTGCTTTTGATTTATTTGGCACACTTTTGCGAGTGGCGGGCGATATGAAAAGCGTAGACAGGCCAATATATATCTCTATGGGCATACACTGCGTATGAGCAATGTGCGAACATTTGGCAATTTGTTAGGCTGTGCAAACTTGCAATTAGTTGATAAATTAATGCATTTTTTTATAAATGTTTCCCATAAATTCGAATCATTTTTTTTTTGGTTCTGAAACTCGTTTGTATGCATTTCCTGACTTAAGCCTTGGTTCCATTCGCAAAGATCACATTCTCACACCCGATTTATTTACTGTACCTGCGGTGTGTTGCCCACGCGGCCAACGAAACATATAAATTACAAATATTTATTTGCTCTGCGCCGCTTACAAAGTGTGTGCGTGTTTATTTGGACAGCTCAAGATGAAATCCCCGCGGCGAGGAGTGGGAAACAGGCTCTGCACCTGGCACACCTTCTGGAGACCGAAATTCGAAATCAAGAAACCGAAATCCGAGCCTTAATTAAAAGCCGTTTCGTTTTTGGTAACGCACCCGTTTGGAATATAAAATTAAATTTAAATTCTGTTAAATGATTTTGGAAACGCTGTAAATTAA